CTCTTTGGCATCTTCTCATCCCATCCCATCCCATCCATCCCATCCTGCACATTGCCTCCTGCCTTGGTCCCAGCACTGCCTACTTGCCTATCCCTCCCTCCCTCCTGCTTCTTCATCGATCATTGATCCAACCTTCCCCGAAGCCATCCCCCCGCCCCCATTGCTCCTCGCTCGCAACACTCAACTCCTCCTCCTCCTCGGCCGGCCTGAGGTGTCATCATTACTGTCATCAAGCGACACAACATGCCCCCTTCTTCTGCCAGCACTACTACTCCCTCCATACGCCGAGCAAGCGTAAACGACCTGGGCCCATCAAGCCGCGAACCAAAACGTCAACGCGCAACGCCTTCCCCTCAACCCAGGCCCTCTATCAGTCGCGCAAGCTCAGGTGTCTCGGTCTCCTCGGTCGCCTCAACACGCGCAACCGAACCTAGACGTGCTACCGCAACCTCCGCCAGTTACCTCCACCATCGCCATGGCAGGCTCTCCGTCTCGCACTCTGATACTTCGGACTGGGACGACGTAGCTCCCCCGCTACATGTCCAGACATCGCCCCCCTATCACGCGCCCCGCGCCTACAACATGCAAAACTCGCCACCACGCGGACGTGGCATGTCTGTCCCGCTAGTGCGTACCTCAAACTCTCCCATTTCCCATTCCACATTCCCCCAGATCTCCCAAACTGCCAAACACCCCCCTCCCCTCCCCTCCCCGGGCGTGACAAACATGTGCTCATGTGCTGACAATAGACCCAACTTCAGAAGAAGCTTTCCAACGTCTCTCTCGGCAAGACGCGGCCGACGACGCCAATCTTGAGCGAGACAAGTCCCGAGGCAATGACCCGAACACCGACCAGTAGCTGTCCCGCATCTGTGGATACGCCCCCACTAACCACAACCCCGCCAAGGCGCCGTTTGCCGAGAGCACTGCTTCGTCACAATACCCCTGCACCATTGACTACACTCTACGACCAAGGTTATTTGAGCTCTGGCACTCCCAAGCCAGATAACCATACTCTTCTTGGCCTTGGCTCTCCGTTTGCCTCAAAGTCGGCACTGGGCGATACCGATCTCGCGTCGCCAACCTTCCCTCCGCCCCATCATCATCAAACGCACTGGGAAGAGACGGATGCTGTGCCAGACCTGCAGCCATCTGGCAGCTTGTCGCGCAGGACCTGCACAAACGCCGACGACACTGGCTCATGCACGTCGGCTTCCTCTGTTTTTAGCTCGGAACGACACGGACAGCAAACCACTCGCCCATCCGTTGTCAACGTCTGGAGTGCCAGTAGTATCAGCGACGAAGACGATGACGTCTCTGTCCACGTTAAGAGGACCACCTTTTACGGTGGCTCGGCGCGTTCAGCGGACCAGTTCTGGCAGCCGACGCGTCTCTTCCAATCGTCACCCGGAGCTACCTCTCCCTTTTTGGCAAAGTCATTCGCCCCTTCCCCCATTAGCAGTCGACCCCTCTCGCCATTGTTCCCTTTGCCACTCTCCCGCGTTGAATCTGCGTCCTCAACAGCCGCCCTTGAGAATGAACCAACCAAAGGTTTTGAGCGTTGTGATGCCAGCAAACTGTTGATTCCCTCGGTCGAGTCCCTGGGACGCCGCACGTCCGACCCGGCATACCCTTCGGATCCATCTACCTTTTCTTTTGCCCTCATGAGCGCGACTCGAGACACTCAAAGCGAAATCACGCATCGCCACATATCTAGCTCGCCGTCTTCCTCTGACGCAAACGAAGCCGAGTTGACTCCTTCTCGGTCGTCGAGACACGCAACGTCCGCTCTCCCCCCGAGACCTGCCCATCACCTGACAAGACAGCGGTCCGAAATGTTTACGTTTCCCGGACCCGCTGAGAGCGTGCCGAATTCCACCCCACCCAAACGCTCAGACCCTTTCGTTCCCACGAGACCTAAAATGCCCAAAAGAGCTACCCTGCCAGAAATGCCTACGGCCAGAGGTACCCCATTGGGTCGCCTTCACCACTTTGGTGATGACAAGCCGTCCCCGGCAGCGTTCGAGTCGTCGGGCATTGCCAAGAAGCGGGGCGAGAAGAACAAGCCTCGGTCATCTCTGCCTGTCGCAACACACACTACTCCACAATGGAGCCCCATGCCAAAAGCTGCTCCGCGTACTGCGCAACGGCCGGCACGCTCCTTCCTTGCCAACTCTTCATCCGCATCCGGTCTTCCATCGCGACGAGGTGTCTGTGGCGATGGTGATTCTGATATGCGTGAAGAGCTCTCGCAGGAGTTTGACCTAGAGGACACTGATCAGGACGACATGAGTCCGCTTAGACCAATGCGCTCGTCTTTCCGTCACTCTATCGGATCCCGCCACCACCGTGTGTCGTCTACCGCGTCGGAGGCCATGACATCGCCCATCAGTAGACGGACTCGCGGTCACACGAGAATGTCGTCGACCGCCTCCTCGATCGGCGGATCGAGAGGCCTTAGACGAAAGGGAAGCTCCTTGTTTGGATCAGGCGCCAGTGACAGCGAGATGCCTTCACCTGCAACGCCTACCAAAAATACGCCAATCGCCTTGAGTGAGTCACAATCGCGGCACAACGAGATATATTTACTAACTTGAAGTACAACCGCGGTTTGGCATAACGACGCCATCGCCCACGCCTGCATCTACCAGGTATCCGTTTGTGCGCCGCCTGTCGATGGCTTCAGTCACGTCTGTTGACATATCACCGACGGCCTCTCCGCTTCTATCCGGACGCGTCCGAACATTGTCTGCCACGGGGCCTGTCGCCCGAGCGTCCAACCCCATGCTCGCCGCAACATTCCGGGCGCATGCTCATATGCCCGCGACACCTGCCTGGGAGCTGCATATCGGCGACACGTACATTCCAAAGGAGGCACGTGAGGCTGGGGCAGGACGTTACGAACGAGACTTTGTCACCGTCCAAGCCCTTGGCCAAGGCGAGTTTTCCTCTGTCTGGAAGGTCCGCTGCAAGGCAGATGATTCCATGTGGGCCGTCAAGAAAGGCAAGCCATACAGCGGCTTTAGAGATCGCCAACGGCAACTGGAAGAAGTCGCCATACTTCGCGCCATCGGCAAGGCCGAGCATCCCAACATTCTGCGCCTCGTCGACTCATGGGAGGAGGCCGGCCGCCTTCATATCCGCACCGAGTTGGCGCTGTGCGGCGACCTGGCGAACTTTTTGCTGTCCGTGTCCGAGTTTGGGGGGTTGGAAGAGGGGCGCGTATGGAAGATGCTCGCCGAACTCAGCTCGGCGCTTCAACACATCCACTCGCAAGGCGTGCTTCATCTCGACTTTAAGCCGTCGAACATTCTCATCACAACCGAAGGAAGCCTCAAGGTAGCCGACTTTGGGCTTAGCGTTTTCGTCATCGGGCCAGAAACCAGCGGCGACTTGGGAAATGGCGACCTGAGCATTGTCAGCAGTGGCAGTGACCGTAGCCTTGGTCCAAGCCCTGCATCGGATCACGAGGGCGACCGCGAGTATCTGTGCCCTGAGGCGCTGAACGATGTGCCACCTGCTCCGCCGGCGGACATCTATTCTCTGGGAATCATGACGCTCGAGGCGGCGCTCAGCGTTGAGCTCCCGTCTAATGGCGAAGCATGGATCAAACTGCGGCATGACGACTTTTCCGACCTCGACAACCAGTACGCGCTTCGCGGAGGGCCAAAGCCTGACGTGATCCCGGGTGAGCCGCCGACGCCCGTGGTCTCGATGGCGCTCGTGTCGACAATCCAACACATGATGGCATCGAACCCTGCACAGCGCATGACGCTTGCAGAGCTGCTATCCCTTGTGCCGCTGCGGCGGGCGCAGGAAGCGATGGCCCGCGGAAGGGAGGAGGGCGGGTTGCTGCGAGGCCGGATTGCGGGTCCGGCGCTCGCGGAGGAGGACGACGAGTGGACAGCATATGTGCTGGGAGAAGTAGCATAGTAGTTGTATATATCAATGCCACGAGGGTTATAATTGCCACACCAACCTTGATGTGTGCTGCATGACGAGTTTCATGACGAGTTGAGGGCTGTGGCGGAGAACAGTTGTGATCGGGCGCCACATGACGTGAAAGTGTGAGCATGAGTCTGGATTTCTCCGGGTATTCAAGGAAGGGACAAGCTTTGAGCTAAAGCGATCTCCGCAATGTCCGGAGCTGATGTTATGCTGAAGACAGGGTCAGATGCATGCATGCACGCTGATCAAATGCGGCAATGTCGTCGTCCCTCACCCCACATATCGTACAGTACATGACCTCGTCCATCCATCCCAATCTTCCGCGACTGCTGCAAAACAACGACGTCGACGTGGTCGTTGTTGGGAGAGACTCTGAGAGACTCCAAAAACACCAGGAATTGAATCCTGCCGGTCCTCGCCGCGATTCGAACGCGGGGCCACTCCCATAGCGTTCCCTAAGAGAGTATGATAACCACTACACCACGAGGACGTGGATGCACGGTGTGAGTGGCGGGGGCGCGCCACTTGGGCGTCGGAGAGCGCGTCGCGGCGCTGCATGCGCTGCTTGCGCTGGGTGGGAGTTGGGGATGGTGAGGGGATGGGGCGGAGGGTCAAGCTACTTTGTTTCGGGGGAGATGTGAGATCCGCGCTCGGCATGATTTACTGGTTGCCGCCCAACTGATGATGCGTATACGACGCGGGTGTGCGCCGCCATCACTTTCACTTCACGGACCTGTGGAGCGTCGTTATCGTCTCGCATCGTTATATGAGGCGACGCGTCGGACGGTGCTTGAGTGCTTGATACCTATGTCTTCTGGCCACGTCTGGAGCATGTAACGGCTATTTTTAATGAGATCTCGCCAGAAACACGGAGACACCCCCGTTCCAAGCTGCGGCACGCAGAATGCCGGATGTGCACTTGCTCACCTCAGCTTGGGGCGCACGGACTGATCAGACAAGTCTGCAAGACTGGCCCCGATGTGATCGCCGGAGCAGATTCAGCAAAGCGTTTCAGCGACATGTAGCCTGTACATGTGTGACAGCGCGGCCGGTGGTCACATGTTCTCGAACCGATCGAGTGTGCATTCCGGCGGTTGTGAAATAGATCAAACGTGCCTGCCTCTTCTGGCCGACGCGACTGTTCTTCGTCGCGTCGAGCTTGTGCCGTGTCCATCCATAGCGAATGTACTCGGCAAATCCGGTGGGAAGATGGAAGCAGACGACGTGCGCGTACGCAAGTACGCAAGCATGCTAGAGGTAGAGTGCTGTCTTGGGCTGTGGCATCGAGACCTTGGCGCCGCACTCCTCTGGCGCACACGAGCACACGAGCACAAGCATACCACCCTAAACCCGGACGACAATGCAGGTGGGAGTATATAGATCGAGGCCCAGACTTTTGCACACTCTTGCTCAGTCATGCAGGCCGCAGGCCTCATACCCCGCCGCCATACGCCATATATGCCACCACACATGCCCTCCCGCGTGGCGGCGATACAGTGGCCCGCATACTGTAGCATGAATAGCTGCGGCGCTGCGGCGCCGTGCCCGGGCTGTCGGCGTGCGCCGGGCGTTGAAATGGACACAGGGAGGCGCGAAAATTGAAACAGGGACGAGGATTCAGGACGTGGACCTGGGGTGGACGCACAGAACAGATCTGGAGGCATGCATGTCGTGGTCTTTGTCTGGAGAGAGTGGCGGATGGGTAGTGCATGTCGTAGTGGAGAGGAGTGCAATGGAGAGTGAGCGAGTGAGCGAGTGCGAGTGCAAGTGCGTATTGCATTGTGCAAATGAGGAGAGATCGGATGATCGGATGTAACACGATTCCCCTGGATGTCACATATCCTTTGGGTCTGCCCCCGACCCCCGAATAGGACGAGCCCTCCTCTTCAACTCTTCCTCTTCTTCTTGTTCCCTCCTCTTTGCTCTCTCCTCATCCTCATCATCCTCCTCATCCTCATCCTCCTCGTGCTTATTCTTCTGGAACGACGCTGCTGGCAGCATCCTCCATCCCCTGACACTTCCTCTTCATCTCCATCTCCATCTACTACTCATCTCGACTCTTAGACGCAGGCCGTCGACTCCCCTCCGCCTCATCCAACCCCTGCCCAGACTACCTACGTACACGCTCCCCTCCCCGCCCATCACGCCCCCCTCACACCTCACCCCATCCATCACGCTCCTCCCTCCTCCCTCCTCCCTCCTCGTTGCGAGGCAACACGACAACATCCATCTCTTTCTCTTCATCATTCTCAGCATTGCATACAAGACGCTGCGCGTCCAACACCCTACAACACCCCCCACACCGTGCACTACGCTAGTCGTAGCCTCGTCCACTCTCTCTATTAGCCTCGTCCATCACCTCTCCCTCCCCGCGCCAACCCCGGCGACTTCACATCATGTCCCTCGTCATCGCCACCTCCAGTGTCGCCGCCGCCACAGTATCCCTCATCAACAACATCCCCTCCGCCATCGCCTCCAATGGCCCCACCCTAGCCTCCCCCGTCGAGGCTGCCCCCCCGGCCGCCTCCTCAAACCTCACCCAGATCATCTCACAGCAGAGCAAGGAGCAGCGACTGCTCAGCCGCACCATGCCAATCTACCTCATCATCGCTTGCGCCGTCATGCTCGTCATTGTCATGCTCTTCGAACACCCACGCTTCCTCGCCCGCTGGTTTGCGAGCATGCATCGTCCCCGTACTCCCGCTGCCGAGGAGGCTGCACGCCCCGCATACGAATTCGACATGGCTCATCAAAAGCGCATTGAAAACGCAACCGCCATGCCCCGCGTTGTTGGCGGCGGCGACCTCAACAAGGGCTGGATTCTGCGTCGTGGACGCGCCAACGCTCCTCCTCCCGTCGCCTCTACCCCGACAATGGGGACCAACGCCACCAACCCCTTGAAAGCCACCCGCTCGCTTCCCGCTGGCGTGCAGACCGACCGCTCAACGCTCGCTCCTCCTCCTCACATCGCGCCCATCACTGCTCGCCTCCCGTGGGCTTCCTTCTTGCAGCGCGAGCCCTTCGCCAACCTTCCTTGGGGCCTGCACACTCGCGCCGACCTCAAGACAATCATCGTCGCCGTCGTCTACATTGTCGCTTGCACCCTCGCGTGTACATACAAGAGCGTACTTCACCCGCCCAAGGCCAGGGTCTCTGGTTACGGCAGCGACTATGCACGGACTGGATCCATTGCCATGGGACAAGCCCCTGTCGCTATCGCCCTCGGCGTACGTGGCAATGTCATCGGCCTGCTCCTCGGCAAGGGCTATAACCATATTCGCATCCTCCACAAGATCGCTGGACGCATTGTTTTTGTTGGTTCGATGCTCCACTCGGTCTTCTTCTTTTACAAGTGGAACTCCATCGGCAAGCTGGCCGAAAAATCTGCCACCCCGATCGGCGTGACTGGTATCGTTTCTTTTGCTGGTGTCTGTCTCATCACCGCCACGTCTATTCCCGTCTTTCGACGCTACATGTACGGCACCTTCAAGATTGCGCATTACATTGGCATCCTGCTGTTCCTCGCCGGCCTCGGTGCGCATGTCAAGCAGGCCGTGCCCTGGGTCGTGGCCAGCGCCGTTCTTTACGTGGCTTCCATCATCACGTCCATGATCAAGACGCGCGTCGCCCACGCCGAGCTTGTCGCACTCGGCGGAACCTGCACCACTCTCATCACCATTCCCGAGGTTACAACTGGATGGCGTGCGGGCCAGCATGTCCGCCTCCGCGTGTTTGGTCTCGGTTTCAAGCAGTCGTTTGAGGCACACCCATTTACCATCGCTAGTGCTCCTGACTGCGGTGGCGTGGTCCTCATGGCGAAGGCTGTGGGCGGCTGGACAAATTCCTTGTACCAGCTCGCCGCGTCGGGCGGCATCGCAGGTAAGGCACGCGGACTCGAGGCCGGTGTGTGGAAGCAGGGCGCCCGGGTGATGATCGAGGGCCCATACGGCGGTCCAGGCAACACTCTCCCGCTCTCGTTCTCCTCTGTCTGCCTCATCGCTGGTGGATCAGGCATCTCCCATGCCATCGGCATGGCTCAGGACCTTATCTCCCGTTCGCCTTCGGGTGTCGTTGCCGCCCGCACTGTCGACCTGATCTGGGTCGTCCGCGTGCAGCAGACTGCCCGCGCCATAATGCCAACTCTCAATGCCCTAGTCGAGCAGGCGCGTGACTGGGAGCGCAAAGCCCTCTCCATGCGCCGCAGGGGCAACGACATTTCCATCCCCACGGCGCTGCGAGTGCACATCTTCGTCACGCGTGTCCCCGAGTCTTCACCTCTCACGCTTGTCAACGAGAAGCGCATGAGCAAGTGGGAACGGTCGTCCAAATTCTTCCCATCCTCAGTACCCAACTCGGCGCAAGGCCACGGCGACGACGACGAGATGGAGGACCTCGACGACGACTCGGTCGACCCGCACTCGAACTCGTCGAGCTCGGACGGGCACGCAGACTCGGTCGGCCACGACTCGGACTGGTGTGTGGACCCCAAGCGCGACTTTGAGCACAGCTTCCCTCCCCGGCGTCAGGTATCCGCGGCCGAGAAGACCAAAGCCGACTGGCTGCAACGCAACCCCTCGAATGCAGCCATCGCGCGCCTGCACGAGCGCATGACGGACTGGACACGCCCGATGAGCGCGCTCAGCGCATACCGTGGCCGGCCCGAGTTCAAGACGGTGATCAACACGATCGTCGAAGAGACGCTGGGCCGCCACGGGCGTGCCATCATCGAGCCGACGGGCGTGTTCGTCACGACCTGCGGGCCCGAGTACATGGTCACGGACTCGCACGAGGCAGTGCGCACCGTGGAGCCGTGGAAGGCGCGTGCGGCTGGCGGCGTCGAGTTTGAGGGCGAGTTCTTCGGCTTTTGAGTGGGCGCGCATGCCCGCCCACGCACTGTCGTATCTGTCGTATCTGGTCTCTAGTGCATTTACTCCATTCTATACTTTCCTCTGGTCCCTCTGGCAGGGCACAGAGAGCAGCACTGTACCATATCACGCATGTACATGTACTCGTTCGTTGAGCTGTTGAGGAGTTTGTGGCATTGAAACGTTCGCCGTGACGTGATAGGAACGGCTTACGAGATTTTGGTCTGGACTGGAAGGTGGTGTTTCTCGCGCGCCTCGCCCCTTGCGCCTCAACAACGGACAACGGGGGTCACAACGCAGCAAAGCAAAGCAGCATCCTTTCTCCCTACAGACAAATCTAGTACGCCAGGGTATACAGCAGCCACATGCCCATGTATCACATGTCGCCCGCCATCGCCCGCCATCGCCCGCCATCGCTCGCCATCGCTGGCCCACGCCGCCTACGTGCCCGGGATATTGAGGCCTGCCAAGAAGGCCGCGACGCCGTCGAGCTCCTTCCACACGCCGGGGTTGCGGCTCAGCACCTCCTCTGTCGTCTCGACAATCACGCCCTGCCCGTCAAGCACGCTATTCGGCTCGCCCGGCAGGCCGTCCGGCCCCTTGAGCGTGATGGCAAAGCAGTCGCCCGTGAACTCGTACAGCGTGCGCACGAGCCGCGGGTCGAGGATGAAGTCGGCGCGCGGCCGCTTCGTGTGGCTGAACAGCCGCGACGGCTGCAGCCCGTACCGGTGCTTGAGGAGGATCGTGTGCAGGAACGCCGGCTTCGGGTGGTACTCGGGATTATGGCGCTCGCGGGGCGGCGTGAGGCCCCACTGGATCATCGAGTGGCCGCAGAAGTAGTCGGGCGAGGACGTGCCGTCCTGCCGCTGATACCCGCCCACCGAGGCCAGCAGGCGCGGCGCTTGTTGGTAGTTGAGGCCGAGGGCGTAGAAGGCGTAGCGCTGGGGTTAGCGAGTCGCCGAGCGGAGCGAGGGGCGGAGAGGGAGCGGCGGGGGGAGGAAACGCTTGGACAGCCCGCGCGAGACCGAGTCTTGGCCAACCACTCACATATGTGTCTTTGTCGCCGTACCCCAGGTTCCCGTACATCTCGTTGTTGTCCATCATGTGGTTGGAGAGGTGGAGCACGGCCAAGTTGAGGCCGTTGTTCCCGCTCTTGTCAAACACCACCTGGCCAGACTCGGCGGGCCACTGCTCGTCGCTGCAGGTACGTCCGAGGATGCGCCAGATGGCATTGTCCGGGTGGTCCTTGTTCAGGTCGGCCCAGAAGACCGAGCCGGACTGCTTAAACTCGACCGACTCGAAGAGCTCTTCGGGGTCGGCCAGGGGGTAGTTGTCCTGGTGTCAGCGGATGTCAAAGGGGCAACAGGCTTGTCGCGAGCGGGATGAGAGGCGAAGGTGTGGCCAGCCCCCCACACTGTCTGCCTCCCCTCAACTCTCCTTTTCCTCCTCCTCCTTCTCCTCACTCGCCCCCCCTCTCAACTGCCCGACTCACGCTGTCCATGTACACAAACTGCGTAAACTTTGACTCGATAAACGCCGTGTTCTTGATCAACCACGTCTTGCCATCCGTCTTGCGGACCGACACCTCACGGATGTCGACATTGTACTTGCGGGTAAGCTCCTCGCGAGCCGTCGAGTTGTCAAACTCTCCTGGGTAGTGGTAGATCTCGACAGGCAGCTTGCTTTTGACGACGTTGCGCAGGAAGTGGAGGCTGACAGTCATGCGCGCGAGGTCCTTGCCGACGCCGGAACCAGTGTAGATGATACCACGGCGCATGTTGCGCGGGGTACTGTTTTCCATGCTGCGGTCCCACACGAGGGGCACGTTCTTGCGGTCGAGCTCGCGGAAGTAGTCGACCATCTTCTGGCGATAGGAGCGGACCTGGTCCTTGGTGATGCCGTGCCAGTATGGGTCCTTGCCCTCGTGGAAAAAGTAGGTGACGCGCGCAAACGTGAACATGGGGCATGCGTAGCGGTTGGGCAGCTCGGCCTCCCAGTGGTCGAGGGCGGGCCTGTTGACGAGGTTGATGAGGCGGGCCTCGAGTGTTAGTGGGACGCCGTCGGCGTCAGGGATGCCGCCGGAGGGCGGGGCGACGTGGGTCGCCATGGAGGGGTGGACGAGAGTGGAGCCGCCGAGGGCCGTCTTGGCAATGTATGCGCGGAGGTTGTCGCGGCGCTCGCTGCCTGCCAACAGAGGGAGGCCGATGATGAGGGCAATGCCGGCCATGAGGATGAGGTGGAGGGGGCGGACGCGCATGCGGATTCCGCTGGCGACACCGCCTGAGCGCCCGGCGTTGACGGGGCTGTAGGCGGTCGACATGATGGCGGTGTGGAGATGTGAGAGAGAGAGAGCGAGAGAGAGAGAGAAAAGAAAGAGTACGAGGATCCAAGCTGTCGAAAGAGAGTGCCAGGTTCAACTATGTACGCCGGTTCCGTTCCCGCGCTTCCCCTCCGCTCATCCCGTGCCTGAAACAGATCTGCAACCGTCGCGCGTCTCGTCCCTCCCTCCACAGTGCACACGACGAGTGCCTCGGCCAGCACCAGGCAGGGTGCACAAGTACTGTACACTCAAGCACTGCTTGCACAGCGGAATGACTAACTACTGCCAATGTCCATGAGGTCTTATCAAAGAGGACTCGATGAGGAGGAGGAGGATGGCTGGTAGCGTGAGTGAATTGATGCAAAGTGAATTATGCTCTGACTGCCAGGTGGAGGCGAGGCTTGAACGGGAGTATTCTTCTAATTCATTGCGGAATCCAGGCGCAACGCCCCAGGGGCTGGGGTCGTGGAGACGCGTTGAATTCCACCCCTCGTCCATCTCTTCTTCATCATCTTGACACTCTTTTCTCTCTCTCTCTCTCTCTCTCTCTCTCTCTGTGTTCTCTGCGCAGGTCGCCATCACCCCCCCCCCTCCCTCCCTCGGCCTCCCCAGCATGCCGCCTTTCCTAGGCCTAGCCAGGCGGCATCGCGTCGTAGTAGCAGCAATCCTCATCGTCGCTGCCTTCTTCGTCTTTACACGCTCCTCAGATCAACCACACCCAGCACGCGTCTCTTATGACCGCACTCCAGGTCTCGGTCTCCACGACTGGGACGACGACGTCCCTCTAGAAGAGGATGATGTCTTCGCACCATCCAGGAGTGGCCTCAAAGGTTGGTTCCAGTTCAGCGGTCTCAAGTCGCGTGGCCGCTCCATCCTCATCACCGGCGGTGCCGGCACCCTCGCCCACGCGCTTGCACCACGACTCATCGACGAGGGCTTTATCGTCCATGCTCTCGATATCGTGCCCGAGCCAGCTACCCTTCCCCGTGGTGTCGTCTACCACCGCGGCAATGTCGCAAGCACATTCCGTGCCGTCCTCGAGGCTGGAGACTTTGACGGCATCGTCCACTTTGCTGCCGTTTCTCTCGAGCAATGGTGCGCGCCCAAGGAGGAAGAATGCACCCGCGTCAACGTCGACGGTACAAAAGCCGTCATGGACGCCATCGAGGATCGCTTCGCCGACTCGCGCAAGTCAGGCAAGGGCCTCTTTGGCCTCAGCTCTAGCACAAAAGTCCCGTGGATCCTCTTTGGGTCTACGATGGACGTGTTTGGACCCAACGCCAAGGACCCCGTCGACGAAGGCTCTCCGCAAGAGGCCGAGAGCGCTATCGGGCGCACAAAGGCGACTGCCGAGGCCGTCGTCCGCGATGGCTTCGAGCGCGCCCGCCAGGTCTCTCTAGGCATCACACGTGGGGAAGACGGCTCGGATAAGCGCGACGACAAGGCGGTCAAGGCCAAGACCAAATCACTGCTGCACGCCGCCGTCGTCCGCTTCGCCGACATTTACGGATACCGTCGCGCGAGCTCGATCCCCTCAGCCTTCTTCCCCAGACTCATCCTCAACGCCGTCACCTCCCTGCCAATTCAGTTCTCGTCCGACAGAGCGCCCATGGACTTGCTCCATGTCGAGGACGCAGTGGACGGCGTGCTCCGCGTCGTGCAGCTGTGTGACGGCATTGCTCGCCTTGGCGACAAGGCCGAGCCCTCGCTCCTCACCGTAAACCTTGTGCACGGCGGCAAACGCTGGCCCGAGCAGGAGATTGTGGATGTCATCCGCGCAGAGACGCAGTCTCTTTCGCCTGTCCGCGACATTGGCGACAACAAGGCCAACGTCCGCGGTGTCGCAGAGTTCTCGAACAAGATCGCCAAGGACACTCTCGGCTGGGAGCCAAAGATCAGCCTCCCCGTGGGCCTCGCCAAGTCTGTCATGCACCTTGCGCAGGACGCCGCCGACTACGCGAAGCACTTCCTGATCGACCACTGCCCCAAGGACTCGATTGTGCAGGAGCTCGGCGTTGATGGGCCTCTCCGTATGCTGCGGGAGGACTCGCGCAACACGCAGCTGTGGAAGCTCAACAGGTGCACTGTCAATGTCGCTTTCGACAACGGCAACGGCTATCTGCACCACCTCAAGTGTGAGGATGGCAAGACATGCAACGCCAACGGCAAGAAGGTGCCGTCATACAACTGGAACTCGACCGTGTGGGTTGTCGAGGAGGTGCCCGGCCAGGCGCACACGGGTAACGGCAAGATCTTGGCCCGCCTCTGGCAGGAGAACGGCATGGGGTACCTCGGCATTCCGGAGCAGGAGCTCCAGCTCGGCGAAGTCCACTTCGAGATGTACACCAAGGACGACAAGACCCCGCACATTGACACGTTCGAAATTGAGGTGGCCCACGACTCGTCGTTCCTGTCCCTCGAGATTCCCAAGCACAACATGCAGGTCTGGACAAAGGCAACTGCGGACGAGGACCAGAGCGCGTTTGAGCTCATTCCCAGCCAGGATCCGCCTGCATACAACATGCGCATGTCGGTGCTGTGCTGCCCCTCCGAGGGCGACTGGCCGCTCCTTCTCGACGACCACGAGAGCGCCGACTCTCGCTTCGGGTTTACGAACCAGATCCCCTCCAACTCGTCGCGCCGCGCGCACTTGTGCCAGCGCGCACACGATGCTCACACTTATTACATGGACATCGCCGAACGGTCAAAGCAGGCCGCCAAGGAGGCGACCGGCGAGATGCCCACGTCCAAGCCCCAGCCGCTCGCACCCCACCCCGACCAATGGGCCCTGAAGCAGCTCCCGGCGTGTTGGAATGACTGCGCGTCGCCCACTGTCTGCATGCAGACGGGCAAGTGTCGCTGTGTGCAGGCCGACTCGTGCCCGCGTCGCCGTGAGAACCCACTCACAGCCATCGCACGTGGGCCACGCGTACCGATTACTCCCAACAAGTCCCCGCTCGGCCAGTTCAAGGGCTACGACTCGACCCTCAAGGACATGGTGCCCAAAGTCGACTGGCGCGACCTTCTCTACCCCGAGGGGCGAGCGTACCTCGCCGCTCACCCCGAGTTTATCAAGGTGCACGTCGTGAACGGCTATCCGCGCCAGCAGGAAATTGAGAGCGCCGACTGCCACAATCTCCAGCCCAGCCACTGCTTCTCCGCCGACGCGATCATGTACAAGGCCATGCGGCATCTGAGCGTGCCGGCCGAGGAGGCCGACCTCATCGTGTTGCCGGTGTACCAGCACTGCACGGGTGCCGACTTTATCCTGCACGAGGTGTGGCACTACGCCGCCACGACGATCAAGGGGATTGACGGCTTCAGCAAGCCCACATCTCTGGTCATGACGCACGACTGGGGAATCTGCCTCGCCTTCGAGTGGGAGATCTGGAGCTCGCGTCCTCAGACCAAAATGTACCCCGACCCGCTGCTGCGCAACACGATCGTGTTCAGCGTTATGGGCGACTGGGACTCTAACTGCTACCGCCCGGCGCAGGATGTCGTTGTGCCCGCTCGCACATGTCTGTCCAAGAAGCTGGTGGACACGTTCCCGAACGTTGAGCACATTATGCCTGCACGCGAGCGCCCCCGCCTCATCACGTGGTCTGGCACGTTCTGGGGCACGGGCAAGAACGAGCGCCTCCGCCTGACCTGCCCCCGCGGCGGCGTGGCTGACGAGGAGCTGCTGCCGGGTCAGGGCCCGCAGTCCAAGTTCCCCCGCGCATGGGACGACTACATGGTGGAGCTGAACACGGCACGTTTCTGCCCGCAGCCGCGCGGTGTTGCCGGCTGGTCTCCCCGCGTCAACGATGCGCTCTATGCCGGCTGTATTCCCGTGCTCATGGCTGAGGCGTCGCACTACCCCTTCGCCTCGATGATCGACTGGAGCCAGATCAGTGTGCGCATCCACCCTACCGAGCTCGACCAGGTCGAGCGCATCTTGAACGACATTCCGATCGAGCGCGTCGAGCAGCTGCAGGCTAACATTGTCGCGATCCGCGACGCGTTCTTGTACGCGACGGACGAGCGGCCAGAGGACGAGCTGGACCGCCGCGGGCCCATGTTCTTTGCGCTGCATGAGGCGGGGATGCGCCTGCGCACACAGTATGCGCGCGCCTAGGGATTTTTTGTGAGGGGCTTGTTTGAGATTTATGCATAGACTTGAGGTTGTTTGCGATTGTTGACGGGGGGCGCGTCGTCGGGTCTTGGCAGCCAAGTCATCCGTCCGCGGAAATCGAAAGCGGCGGAACTTCCACAAGTGGAGGCCACGTGAAGTTACATAAAGCGGAGCCTGGTGCCGAGCCGAGCTCGGGTCGGTGCGCCCACTTTGCCGGCATCTCTCTTCTCCGCTCAGCCCGGTCGTGTCCAACAGCAACAGCAGCCTTAACAACTCGCGCCCCCCGCTCCCCTCATCGCTCCTCGCCGGACGACTTGCCCACCCTCGAACGCTTCTCGATGTCTTTCATCACTCGTATGGCTCCCCGCATGGCAAACTCGACTGCCTCTGCCCGCCTGGCTGCCGCCAAGCGCCACCTGAGCTCGTCGACGCCCGCCATGGCCGTCAACTCTGGCGGCGCAGACGTCGGCATCAAGCTCAACCCCGACACCGACCACATCAAGTACGAGAGCGTCGGCAACACGCGCATCTACAAGCTCAACCGGCCCAAGGCGCTCAACTCGCTTGACTGGGACATGATTGCGTCGCTGGCCAAGCAGGGCGAGGTGAGGAGGAGGGGAGGGGAGTTCTAAACTTTGCTGACCCCAGACCTGGCGCCAGAGCGAGCTCTGCAAGCTCGTCATCGGCCGCGGCGACGAGCGCGCGTTCTGCGCCGGCGGCGACGTTGTCGGCCTCGTCAAGCTCCGCCCCCAGTACGGCGCAAAGTACCCCCTCGGCTTCTTCAAGGACGAGTACCAGGTCAACTGGGAGATTGCGCGCCTGGGCAAGCCGTACGTGTGCATCATCGACGGCTTCACCATGGGCGGCGGTGCGGGCATTTCGCTGCCTGCGCAGATCCGTGTCGCGACCAAGAAGACCGTCTTCGCCATGCCCGAGACCAAGATCGGCTTCGCCCCCGACGTCGGCGGCAACTACTACATTGCGCAGCTGGACGGCGAGATCGGCGCCTGGCTCGCCATGACGGGCCAGGAGGTGTGGGGCCGGGCGGTGTACGAGCTGGGCTTGGCGACGCACTACGTCGAGCCCGAGGCGATCCCCTCGCTCGTCGAGGCGCTGAGCCAGCTCGAGAACCCGACGCTCGAGCAGCTGAGCAACATTGTTGCCTCGTACCACGTGGCTGCGCCCGAGGGCGCCGCGCCCTCGGGCAAGGGCAGCCGCGAGGGCCCGTCGCCGATCACGGGCGAGATCCGTGCGTTCCTCGACAAGACGTTCGGCCTCGCCTCCATCCAGGAGGTGTATGGCGCGCTCGAGGCCGCGCAGGGCGACGCCGCGCTGTCGCAGGACGTCAAGGACTGGGCCAAGGCCCAGAAGGACATCATGGACCACCGCTCGCCGACGGGCATGGCCGTCGCGCTCGAAAACTTCAAGCTCGCGCGCAAGGCGCAGTCGCTCAAGACGGCGCTCGAGAACGACATGCTCATGAGCACCGGCTTTTGCGGCACCGACCGCCCCACCCCCGAGTTCGACACGGGCGTCTCGTACCTCCTCATCGAGAAGGGGCGTGAGCGCGCCAACTGGCAGCCCAGCGACATCAACGACCCCCGCCTCAGCCCCGCCGAGATCACCAAGAACTACCTCGACCCCAAGACGCCCCACCTCGCCGAGACGCCCAAGCTCGTCTTCGAGCCTGCCCCGACCTCCGAGGGCGCAGACTCCACCTGGGGCAAGTTCCGCCAGTGGGGCCTGCCCGCCGAGAGCGAGATCCGCGCCGTCATCAAGGGCGAGGCCGCTGGCTCGGGTGCGTTCAAGCTCAAGCCCGCCGAGGTCATCGAGCAGGTCCTTGCCTCCCGTGGCGAGCAGGGCGGTCCCCGTGAGAAGGAGATCGTCGCCCGCGTCAACGCCGTCATCGCCGCTCGCACCAAGGCCGACGGCGCCGGCTACCTCGACTGGGTGGGCAAGTAAGCTTGCTTGCTTGGCCTAGCCGAGTTGTAGTAAAACAAAATGCATGCATATCTAGAGCAGCGGCAGCGGGTCTAGGTCGTCAACTCGTACAAGTAGTCGTCGAGGGTGAAGCGGAGCTCGCGCGCAATGTCGCGCGCGCCATCGTAGTCGAGCTCGCAGCGGAGAGTGACGTTGTCTAGTCGGTCGGCGGGGGATGTGCGGCGCAGGAGGCCTTGGCCCTCGAGTTCGGGGATGAGACTCCACAATCTTGTCGAGTGCGCGAGGTGGTCCACCTCGTCCTCCCACCGCTCGTCGAGCTCTATTTCTTCGTCGCGCCGCCGCTCCGTCTCCGCAACAGTCTGGTACGCGTCGTACCCGAAGCTGATCTCCAGCTCTGCTGGGCGTGGTGCATGTTCCGCGTACAGTGAAGAGAACATGGCGAGCAGGCGGTCGAGCGGGAATGGCTTGGGGCCAAGTAGGCGCTGCGGCACTTTACCTACACGCGTGCGGCCATATCCTGCTCGTCGGGTACGACCTCCCCGCCTCCGCCGCCCATCTGGCCCCGTACCGCGCCCAAAGAGCCGGATATCGCTCGTTGCGGGGTTGTACGACGCGCAGAACGCCGCGACGAGCAGATACTTGGCGGCCAGGGGGAGGTCCAACGGCTGCGGCGGGGGGAGGACGCGCTGTGCAACAGGCCGCAAGTCGCCGTGCGCATCCACGGGGGCGAGAGCACCGGCGAACTCGGCCCGGCCGACGTGGCGCGGGAGCAGACTTTCGCCGGCCGCGGCGAGCGCGAAGACCAGCTGCGCCTTGAGGCTTGTGAGGCGCTGGATGTCGATCACGAGTGGTGGTGGTGGATTTTCGGGGTCGGGGTAGGCCTTGCCGAGCAACGTCATCTCGGCGTGCGGCGGAAGCGTGGCCGTGTACAACGGCCACAGGGCTCCAGCGACGTACTCGAGGTCAGGCGGAGAGGCGAGAGAGCCCATCGTGGCGAGGAGGAGGTCGAGGAAGCGCGGGTAGAGCGGGTGCGCACTGCCTGGGAGAAGGAGGGCAAGCACCTCTGGTGTCAGCGAGTGGCTCGATGGCCCACGTACCCTGCCGCCGCAATGGTTCCAGATAGACGTGGACGGGCTCGGGGGCGTCACACCGGGCCGGGCGGAGGTCCTCCCACGGCATCTGGGAACAGAGAACAAGTGTGGCGGGGAGCCCGGTCTAGGTCAGCGGCATCGCAGGCCAACTCACCAGCTCAGCGAGACGTGTCATAGCCGTCCATTCTGCGCCAAGGACCGCCTGCAGCCGCTCAGCCTTGGTGACGAGGATGACTAGCTGCGCGTCACCTTGCTCGCCGTCCGTCTTGCGTTTCCGCTTCTTCTCAGGCGGCGCCCACGCCGCACGCAACCCGCGTGCAAACAGGTCCCAACTCGGCACTTCGCCAACGTCAGCGTCCTTTCCCAGCGCGCGGGCGAGCCGCGATATCGCGCCCGCATACAGCAGCCGCGAGGTGTGATGCTCGACCGCGTCGAGTCGCACGACCCTGCATCGCGCCGGCAGCACCGGGTCGATCGCCGACGACGCGTGGTGCGGGTGGTGCAGGTGAATAAGGCTCGGTGCGCCGGGGAACTCGAGGAGAGCCGCGAGGTCGTCCATTCGAGTTAGAGGGTGGATCGGTGAGTTGTGGTGGAGGCAACAACAAAGATCACGAGATAGCGGAGCCAAAATTCGGCATGCGTGGATCGAGAGCCGCCACCCTTGACGGATCGTCGCGAGTCAGCTTCACCCACTCTCCAAGTTTCTCCATCGCCATGGCCCGTGCCCGCGCTATCCCGCCTGCGCCGCAGCCGTACCGCCTCGGCGGCATCGTGCGCTACGACAAGCAGCCGCCACGCGGCATCCGGCGATACCTGTGGAAGAAGGGGTGGGTGGGATAGGCTGATAGACGAGAATGAGAGCCAAGACGCTGACGGACAGAGTACAGATTGACGCGCACCTCTGCTTCGCGATGCTGGAGTGGTGGGAGGCGTTGCTTATTGGTAAGTCGTGCGGACGCGCGGCGCGGCGAGGAGGCGCGTCGCGATGGTGTGTGGGGGAAGGAGCGTCCCTGAGGCGTTGTGCCGAGCTCCGTCCTCATTTGTGTTTGCGTCGGTCTGATCGCATCGAGACGGGCGACATCCACTCGCTTTTCCGCTGCACTGCCAACATGCCGCGTGCTCGGCCGCTTACCCCAGCCCTCATGGTCCTCCCCGTCACCCTCTTCTTCTGGTACTCGTGCTACGCCTACTTCCCCGGACACATCCGCTACCTCTCCCGCCGCTTCGCGTACTATGTCTACGGCGACGACAGCGTCGACTTGGTGGCCGGCGCGCGCGCCTACGTCGCCGAGTGGGTCAATCTGGCATGGCTGTGGCTCTGCCGCGTCCTAGGCACATCCCCCCGCTTAGAGCTATAGTCATTCCTCACTTTGCACACTCCGGCGCTGGCGCTTCCTACATATACATTGTCCGTAGCTAATGGATCCTTGGATTGGTACTACAACTTGGCTGCGGACGGCTTCTCCGGCAACTTGGCAGACTCAGCCGTGGGCTGAGGCTCAGCGGCAGCCTGCGGGGCGGGCTCACTCTCCGTCTCGGCCTCGGGCGCGGACGTAGCCGACGCGGGTGCCGAGGATGTCACGGTTGGCGTCACCGTTTCCCCAATGCGCTTGTGAACCCAGTTTGAGATGAGGTCGGCGAGCTTGGCAGGCTCTGGAGCTAGCTCGTTGTGCGGCTCGTGCAAGAGACCCTATTTGTTAACGATAACTAGGCTATGGCTGCTTACCTGAAGAACCTTGGTCGTCTTGTCCTTGGCGACGACCATGTCGCCGAAGCGCACCGCCGCCTTGGGGTCCGCAACCTGGTCATCGCCGCCGTGAACAATCAGCAGCGGCAGGTCCTGCGGGAAGGCATCCCAGGCAGCGTGGGTGTCAAGACTTGCACCGTACGAGATCATGTCACTGAGGGACTTGAGTGATCCGTACGCTGCGCACATCGGGTCCTTGGCAGTCCTCTCCTGCACCTCGAGGTCCTTGGTAAAGTCCTTAACATCCAGCGGGATGGGAATGACAAAGTTGCCGAGGCCGATGGCCGCCGCGAGGTTGCCAGCCTTGAGCTGGAGGAAGCCGGCGGGCTTGGTTTGCCGGATGAACGGCGCCGAGGCGATGATGCCGCTGACAAGCTTGAGCGTCTCGGGAGCGGGCGGTCCATGCTTTCCACGCGTGCAAAAGCCCAGAGTCAGTCCGCCACCCTGCTTGTCAGCTCCCACACGGGTAAAAAGCGAACCATAGAGTGGCCGTAGAGGAACAGCTTGCGCCCTGCCGCCTGGGCGCGCTTGGCCTCGCGCTTAACCATGAACTCGAAGTCTGGAAGCTGGCGCGCCCACCCGCCGGTGCGGTGCTTCTGTCCCTTCTCTGGTACGACGGTGAGACCCTCGTCGCGCCACTTCTTGATCTCTGGCGCGTCCGCAGCTAGCGGTTGCTGGCTCGTCTTGCCGTGCCCGCGCGAGTCGAACGCAGTGATGTGCAGGTTGTGCGGTGCGGCAGCAAGTAGGCGGAAGTAGGCATCATACCGCCCAATGTGCTCGGCAAAGCCATGGTGGAAAAGAATGAAAGCATCTGGCGTTCGGCCGTCAGTGGGGTAGTACTGATGTCAGCGCCAGCCCATATCCGGGATGAAGAGGGTGGACATACCTCGCGGGTGTAGAAGGGAGTGCCGTCGTTGCCGAGGATGTACTTTTCCTCCATTGTGACGGGTTGCTGCTTGCCCATGGTGAACGAGTGTGTGCTGGTGGCGAAGTGGGAGGAGTGAAATGAATGTTGTTGTTGGCCGAAGAAGGGTGGCCAGATCCGGGCTTGCGCGACACGGGGATGGATTCCCAGTGCCCACGCCAGCACTGGCAGAGTGGTGGCTCTCGTCGCGGTTGTACGCCTTGGCACCATTATGGCGATGGTTAGTGCTGTGCTGCTTGTGAATGCATTGTGCATGCATCTGGCACTGCTGGCAACGCCCTGGCCCCCGCTTCCGCTTCCCAGATCGCGTTGCTTCTCTCTCGACATGTCATTGTGATTGCATAATTCGGAAGGCGGGTGGCCAAAAGAACGGGCCAGGAACAAAAAGCCATGGGATCATGGGAATGATTGGAACGCGCTTCCCGTCGCGGCGTTCCCCGGAGATGAGGCCCATCTCCGCGTCATGTCGAGACGGCCGCAGGGAATGTGATGGACGGGCAGCGCGGGCACTGCGGGAAGAACTCTGTTGCGTTTCATCTCCCCTCCATCTCTTCATCACTCACCATGAACTCGCTCAACGCGCTCGGAAACAGGCAGGTCGCAAGTCTTCAAGCAGACTTGGGACGCATGGAAGCAGGCGAGGGCGGGCCCAACGTGCAAGGTGAGTGACGTGCGAGCAGCTGCGACTGTACCACACCAACATTGCTCGCACACGACAAGATTCGGCAGCGCTAACCACAGGCCAGATCACCACCACGCTCGCCGCGCTCTCGCGCTTGATAGATGACTATGACTCGATGGCGCGCAAGGAGATGCAGACGGCGACGCGCGAGAAGGCAAACACGTAAGTGAAGCGGGATGGGTGCGAGATGATGCTGACAATCGTCGCTATTCGGTTCACCGCATTCGCCACGTCGCCAAACGTTCTCCACGTCGCGCCTTCCTTCGACTATCTGTCACGCTCGAGAATATCTCCTTTACGCCTCTCGCCTCCTCTCCGCATCCTCCCGCCTCCTCCGCTTCCCCTTCTCCGCCTGCTTCCCGAAATAGCCGTGTTGCCAAGCTGAAGAACGAACACAAGGAGCTGAAGGCGCGATTCGAGCGGGCAAAGTCAGAACGGGATAACAAGGTGAGCTAGCTGTCTCTCCGGGTTCTCTGACGACAAGGCGCGCAATGAGCTACTAGGAACAGCGAGCGGCGTCGCGTCAGGACCAGCGGGCATGGCGATGCGGCGCGGGCAAGCCAACCACACACCTGATCTCGCCGAGTCGCCGTTCGCGCCTCGAGAGGCTGATCTCTTCCGGCCCAACAACGAGCGGGAAGAGTACGCGTTGCGCGAACACAGCTTTATTCGCGAGAGCGAGAGTCTTATCGACGGGTACATTGCGCAAGGACAGGCAGTGCTCGGCAATCTCGTCGAGCAGCGTGGCATGCTCAAGGGCGCCAAGACGCGCCTCCTTGACACGGCCAACACTCTGGGATTGAGCCGCGAGACTATCTCGTGGGTCGAGCGCCGCACCAAGCAGGACGCATACATCTTCTTCGGCGGAGCAGGGTTTACCCTCCTCTCGTTCTGGGCGATTTGGCACTATCTCGGCTAGAATGTACGACACCAACTATAATTGTCGCTAGATGACATGCCTGTACCTATGACCGCGTGATGTGTCTACTGACGGCAGGTGAGTCATGGTTGACATGCCATTGAGGATCCATCTCATCCTATTCTACTGACAAGGCTACAGTCTGTGACTAAAACTTGCGGAGCTATGCTCAGCTTGTGGCATGTCTACCCACTCACATAGGCTTTAAGGTGGGCGCCCAAACTACCGCTGCGGTGCTCAAGACGGCCATCGCTGCGGATAGCGGCGAGAAGGTGAACACGAAGGACGTTGATAACCACCTGGCGCCAAACCTCCTCCTCCTCAGGAGTCCAGGCCTGACGGGCAACGCTCCGGCGGTTCTGTCATAAGCGAGGGACCGGCGCGAGACGTACTCGGGCAGGCGAGGTGCTGTTGCGGTGCTCGCGGCCACGGGGAAGAGGTGAAGGGGAACGGGCGCGGGGCATGGCTGAATTTCTGGGCAGGAGCTGCTGAACAGGCTCGGCGGAAGGCTGGGAGTTGGCGAGTGGGAGACTGAGTGGTGTTGGAAGTGTGGTGGGAAATGTTGTTGGTCAGAGTGTGCTGAACTTGGCACAGGTATGCTCTGGGCCGGGGCCGGCGGCAGCCAGTCCACCTCGCGTGAGGAAAGTGCTCTCGCTACCCCCAGACACTCTCCAATGGATGCCTGTGACAGAGGAAGTCACACAACTCATGAGTCATCTTGACCTGCGCCAGCCTCGCCCCCCATGCACTGTGCTCGCTCTCCTCTTGACGATCCGTGGACGCGCCCCATACCGTCCATCCAACTATAGACGGCACCCGCCCCGAGTCTCGCCTTTGCTTTTTGCGTCTGCACTTTCGGCCTTTGGCCAGTTTAATTCGCTCCGTTCGCTGCAACGAGGGCACACTGTGCCCCATCCCTCCTTTTGTAGTCATCTGACCAGCGGCTTCCTTGCATCTGGCCCAGGTCAGCTGCTTGATTGCCCGAGGCCGATGCAAGGGCATGCAAGGACGGGAGGGGGCCACTTGCACTCACCTCAGCGACATCAGTGTCCTCAGCGGCCTCATTAACCTGACCGCCCTCTTCTCACATCTAACCACGGTCTTCTCCTGTCCCTTGCCTAGCAGTCCTCACCCGCCACATCGCTACACTCTCCCGCCCAACATCTACCACTCCACCTCTACGCACACAATGACCCTCTCTGTGAGTCCGCTCTACCTGCCTCTCCACATCCTAACTCAGGCCGAGGACAAGACCCTCGTCATCAAGATGCTCGTGACCTGCCAGGGCATGTACAAGGCCGAGCACCCGGGCGTCAACCGTCCCGACAAGAAGCACAATGCGTTCATCAACGCTGTCGCCTCCGAGCTCGGCATGAGCAATGCGGAGCGCGACGAGGCCCGTGCGGCCGGCAAGGGCGGCGACGCGCGCGCCAGCAAGAGCAGCCCCGAGGCTGGCGAGACAGCCACGCCCAAGGCTAAGGCCCCGCCGAAGACGGCTGCCAAGGCCAAGGCTGCACCGCGCAAGCCTCGTGCTCCAGGCGGGAAGAAGGTCAAGGAGGAGGAGAAGCCGTCGCCCCGCAAGCGCCGCCGCACTTCGGAGAGCGAGAAGACGGATGAGAACGAGGCGATGGACGAGGACGAGGCGGAGGGGGCGGAGGCCGGGGATGAGGACGAGCTGACGGCATAGTGGGCTAGGTTGGCTAGCGGGGAAATGCAACTGTATAAAGGCTCTCTCTGCAGCGTAATCTCACTAACGACATGAGCTGCATTGAGCCATACTAAATCTGCAACCCCGGTCACATCTGCTTCTTCTCTACTCGCTCATCAATTCCTCGCTTTCGCTCTCCGCCTTAACCTTCTCAGCCTTCACCATCCTCGCCCGACCGTTCTCCTTCTTGGCCTTCGCAGCCTTGCCCTCCCCGGCCTTGCGCGCCGCCATGGCGCCGTCGACGACCTCGGCACCAAAGCTTTTGCGGAGGTACGCCAGGATCTTCTTGCTCAGCTCAGACCCGCCGTTGCCCGCGACACTCGCAAGCTCGGGGCGCGCGGCGATCGCCGTGCGCGACGCGACTACGGTCTCGACGATGGCGGTGTAGATCGCGCGCTGCGTCAGCAGGGTCGCAGCGGGCGTACCTCGATCTCGGGGGTGAAGTCCTCTTTCTTGGGGATGTTGCGGGAACGGCGCTCGGTCTTGGTGCGCACGGGGGGCATGGTGATAGGTGTAACGATGGGTCGAGGGACGGTGGGAGTTGAAGTCTAGGCATGAGGCGGCTCCGCTTCGCCCTAGCGGCAGTCAGCTGCCATCGTGCTCCTTCAGCACACAGATTCCCAGTGTGCCCTTCTGCACACTGCTGCACGCTCGACCTTGTGTGACCACTTATAAAGCGATTAGGGGAATCTTGCCTGGCGGGGCGAAGTGGGCGGCAGGACACAGCAGCTCGCAAGGCCGGCACGTGAAGGGGTCGCGGTCGCCTATGCCGACGATATGTGCTCGGCCAGAATATGCAGGCCGAGAGGGCTTCAGACGAACGATATCTGAGTGCACCACCTGAGCATGTGCCAATGAATCGCATTACTGTGAACCTACGCTACTGCTGGGAATCGATCTTGGCCGCTGTTTTGCCGCCACTTTTGTTACGTTTCGCACTCACGGGGCATACATCCCAGAAGGATGCACGCTGCGCCCACAAGCTCTAAGCCGAGTGAGTGGGCCACTCACGTTCCACACAACTCACTCGCTCCCAACGGGCGCCGGCATGCACATGATAAATGACGGCTACCGCGCACACTCTCAGTCATCCCCGTCCCCATCTCCCACCCCTCTTCACTCAACGCACACCTCTCAACCACCCACCCATCCCCCCGCCCACCGACCGCCAAGTATGCCCGCAGCTCCGGGCAAAGGCACGAAGAAATGGGAGGACGAGCACACTGTACGTCCCACGTCCCGGCGTCTTGCGCTGACGCGACAGAAAATCCTCGTCGAGGGAATCATCCAGCTGGTCCAGACGCACCGGCGGAGCTTGTACGCCCTGCCCGGCATAGTTGGCGAAGTTGACGGGCACGGCAACGACGCGACGCTGCGTACGACCTACCGCCTCCTTGCTGCTTTTGCGCGGGCGAACGGCGTCGATCCCGCCGTCGTTAAGGATAAACAGAAGCGGAAAGTAGAGGCTAAGGATAAAGACGGGGCAGAGGAGAGCGAGGGGGCGGGGAAGCGGAAGATGCCGCGCAAGAGCGGCAAGAATGTCAAGACGGAGGTGTAGGTGATGCACGGATGCCGAATGTGCTAGTGATGTGGAGGACTATGCATCATAGAGTACTGCCAAGAGCTGAGGCCAAGATGTGACGGACTTTGGGAATTAGTACCACGGCTCACGTGCCAGCCCGCACCGACGACGGCTCATTGCCGCTGCACCGACATGAGTGGCGTCGAACATCGACGCCGCCGCAATGCCGCCACCACGGCGCGCCGCCGCACGCTCCACCGACAGCGCAGGCCATCACAATGTCAGTGCATGGTGGCTGGGCGGACATGCAAGTGGCGCCACCGCTCGAGCCAGCCTCCATTCAATCCGTCACAGGCACGTCCTGAGCATTCAATAGCTCGGAGAAACACCTGGGATATTCCACATATATGCATACAGGATTGCGGGATGTAGGTCATAGTAGGGTCTTGGGATGTACAATTGGGGCGGCGGATGTTGACGGGTGGATGAGATGTGCAGTTTCGGTAGGAGGGGAGAGTGGGCAGTGGACAGTGGAGAGTGGGAATTCGGCGTTCTAAATGTAGAGGCTGCCACTGCGACGCGACTCGGCGCACAGACAGATGACGCAGTGGCTTGAGCTACTGGAGGAGATGGGCGAATGTGTCGGGGATGGGGACGCCGATGTCCTTGATGATGGGGGCTAGGTCGCGAAGTGCACGTTCGCTGGCATCCGCGCGAGCACGCTCGAGTACGAGCTGAAGCTTGAGGCGCACGAGCGAGGTGCGTCCGGTTGCCTCTGTGGCTTCCTTGTGAGCAGGCAAGGTGGGCGACTGCTCAAACTCGGAGCCCTTTGCGGGCTGCTTGTCGACTCCAATGTGCGGCTCAATGACCTGGACAGGCGACGGGGGAGCGTCCCACTCCATCGTGAGGTTGGCACCCTCGGAAGCCGCAAAGCGACGTAGCGCCTTGGCCTGCTTTCAGCGAGGGAGGGGGAAAAGAGTCAGTTACCTGCCGACGAGCGATTAGCTGGAACTTGATGAGGGACGCTTCTTTGCGCGCCGCGCGATACCACCCGGCGCGTGCCCGCATTGACCCGATGACAACGCGGTCATATGAGCGCTTCTTGGCATTGATGGTCGAGACGTAGCGTTCCAGCCGAGCTTCCTTGGGCCACTTGCGCCAGCATTCACGCACACGCGGGTCGAGGCAAGTAATGGCGATGGGGGGGAGAGTGCGGGGGCGGGGCACATCGGCATCGGCGTGATCCGAGGATATCTGTAAAGGGTTTAGCAGGGCAACGCCGGCGCGGCCTTGAATAGCATCGCCGCGTACCTCGGGGTTGTCGCATTCCTCCTGGAAGAGCTTATCGCCCCCTTTCCCGCGCTGGCCCTCGGTCTTGGCATCAAACGCAAACGCCTCCTGGAACGTGGTGGCGTCAAACGCCCGGACGTACTGCGAAGCCTGGGGTGCGGCCGCGCGAGGGGGCGCTGGATCAGTCGCGCAGTCCTCAGTCACCTCGACCTTTACCGTCTCGGGCTCGGCAGGCTCGTCAATCACGTGCCCGCTGATGGTGGATGAGAGGACACTGGAGGAGCTGACAAAGGCGGTGTCTGGAGTTAATCGGCTGAAGCGCACTCTGAAACCTGGGCTCTTTCAGCGGTGGCGTTCCCACGGATGTGATCGAGGGGTGGGGGAGAGGATGATCGATGGATACTTACTGGACCGACAGAGCTGCACGGGTGGGACAAGGCGTGCGTCGCGCACAAACGGACTGGCAGTGCGGTGGCGCTGGGTGGTGTCCATGGTGACACCGTCGACCGGGATGGGCCGCGGAGAGTACGAGTGAGTCCTGAACTGTGTACGTGTCAGTCTGTCAGCGACAGCGACAGCGACTGGATGAGCGGAGATGTCGGACGACATACCCGGGGAGGCATGATGGGTAGCGAGTAAGAGGAGAGGGGGGGATGATGATGAGAGAGAAAGAGGAGAGGACGAGGACGAGCAGTGAGTGTGGCACGACGACGGAGAGAGGGGGGCGAGGGGGGAAGGACGTCAGAGGTGGAGGTGGAGGGAGTGCTTAGACGATCTTCGCTGATGATGTGGCACTGTGGCGACTCCCTCGCCGCGTTGCCGACCGCCCCACTTACTTACTCCTCTCACCTCCCAGATCCATCCTTGCTACTCTCCCTCACCCCCTTGGCCCCCCTCGGCGCCGCCGTGGGCTTGAGTCATGTCGCAACTCGCAACAACAACAATCGATTACCAGAGGCGTACACCTCATGGCTTGATCAACTCCTGGAGGCCTGGATGCCTGCAAGGGAATGCGAGCTGGGCGGGCATTTTGAGGAATTGCACATCGTTCTTACCTGTCTCCTGAGCCAGAGTGCCCGAGGCATGCATACCGCACTTTGAACTGTTGGGGGAGCGTCTGCGCCAGCGCCACCGTCTGGCCGATTGGCCAGCTGACGGGCCACGGGGCTCTGCGGAGGCGTCGTGCAGAGGCGTCGAGGGTACGCGCCTGCTCGCACGATCGCGAGATCGCAAGCTGGCAAGATTGCAAGGTCGCCAAGCAAAGGCATCCGATCAACGCACGGTAGCGTCCTCGCACCGGCACCGACACACCACGCACTCCGCCACCAGGCCTCCCCGTCACACGTCACCACCAACGTTTGCGACCGTGCTGGTCGGGGAGAGGGCGTCGGGCGACAGTGTCGTCTTGCCGTGCCCATGGTGGTTCTCATGGACCTCCCCCCTCATGGGCCTTGTGACACGCCTACCAAACTTAATCCGTATCGGTGCCTGATATTTTGTCGGTCTGCCAGCCACCCCCGCGCCCCGCCGCTGTAGTCGGACGGACCATCCACGGCGGATGCATGCAGCACGCCGCCTTTCGTGACTGTGACTGGTGGCTGGTGGCGGCAAGACAACTCACTTGTACCCGGACGCCGCCAAGTATGGTGCGGGGGCAGGCGGACGACGTGGAGAGGGAGGCACCATGAATGTTAGCGAGAATGATTTGTAGAACACGACGACGCCAGGCTCCGCCACAGTCGGGTTCTACGAATTCTGGCGGGCCCCAGATTGCCAGATGTCCATCTAGGAGTAGTCAAGGCCGGCGGTCGGCGATGGCGGTGCCAGCGACAGAGGGCAACAGCGACAGCTGGGCCACACTGAGCTTATTACATGCTAAACTGCTGATTTCCTATCTGTGGGATGCGGGGGACGGCCGACCTGCCGATGTGCCGACATGCCAACAATCACCAGGCCAGTAGGCCGACATGCCATATTATTAACGTCGGCCTAGACAAACAGAAACGAGGGCGCAGAGCTGCTGAGCTGAGGGCCGGATGTAGGCAGCAGCCGGCTCGGCTCGGTTTCGGTTCGGTCTAGCTACTCGCGACCTCTCGAGATATTTCGCGCATATCTCGCCGGTCCTCCGGTTCCGACGCCTTTCGAGTTCTGGTTGAACATTTCGAGTTCTGGTTCTGGTCGAGGAATGCAGCGGAGACATAGGCACGGCGCAGGAGTCGGCGCGGCCCGGCGCCACCCCCGACCCGCGGCGCAAGCGACCCTTGGCCTCGACGGGCGCGGCGGCATGCTTGCGGGCGCCGCACGCCGCACGCCGCAAGCCTGCTTGCATGTATGATGTTGGTATAGTAGCCGGGCAGGACAGGGCCTAATTATCCTACGATCTTAGGGCACGCGTCGGCAGTCTTTTGTTCGCGGCCATGCCCTGCGGTGGCCTCGCTTCCCCTGCCCTTCGCACCGTGCCACTGGCGCCATTGTCCTTGCTCCTGGTTGGAGTCTGGCGTCATGGCCTGCGGTTCTGCAGCGCATGCAGCGAGAGCGAGAACGGAGGAAATGCGTCTCGACAGGCGTGACATGCGTAACGGTAGGGATGCCTGTTCAACCACGATCTCAGGAGGAGCAATCTGGGACATGAGAGAAGCTCGAGTATAGGAGGGGAGGAGGGTGAGGATGAGGATGATAGGGCTGGCGCGTGGGCTCTTGGACGAAAGCAGGAGGGGTGGGTGGGGCTTGGGCTATTAGGTTATTGGGCTCGAGCATGGCGCGAGCGGGCGCGTGCAAGGCACCCGTTGACTCTATGCCGGCCTCGGCGTGCGTGCAGCGTGGTACTGGTGCGAGAGTGAGAGTGAGAGGAAGAGCTGAGCGCGCGCGCGCACGCGGAAAGATGGCATCGAAGCGGAAGCGGAGGCGCGAGACCCCAGATGCACAGAATGGAGCGCAAGCCCAGCGCCGAACTGTGCAAGCGCGCTTAGACACAGGCACGCTATCAAACCCACGGACGCAGGAGGCAGGATGCATGCCTCATCTCATCGCCATGGTGCGCAGCTGCGGCTGCCGAGTTGCAGATGGCATGGATGCCACTTGGAAGCGTGACGAGACATGTCACCTTGGCCAGTGATCGCGAGAGACAGAGCCAGAGCCAGAGCCAGAGCCAGGTATTCGTCGGTTGGCGCCTGCTAGCGAGATTGACCTGATGAACTATGCATGCCTGTACAGTAGCCTGGAGGCTTTCCCGAGACAGTAGTGCTACATGTATCGAGAGGCATCGAGATCGAGAGCGGCAAGAGCAACAACAGGGACATGAGCTATCTGGCCATCTCTGGATAAACCTGGTGCACAGACTTGTGCCTTTTTGCCTTGGCTTACCCTTATATCCCTTATCCTTAACTTGAATCTTCGGCTCGGCTACTTTTTTTTTTTTTTTTTCTTCTTCTCACAACTCCGATCCTCATCCCCCTCCCGTCTGCGATTGACAGGACTTTTGGCTCTGACTTCAAGTCAGTGCAGTCAGTGCACAGTCTCCCAGGGGGATTAGGCGAACAGGACAGGGCTTTCGGTGTGGCTGGCTCATGGTCGGGTCTGTGGGGGAGCGGGGGGAGAGAGGGGGAGGGGGGGGGGGGGCTTGGGCTGCGGAATGCACGAGGCGGAGGACAAGAGAACAAGGGCTTCTGGTGGCCACGCGACCCAGTTCTCTCGCCACGTCGCCGGGAACTCTGCTGTGAAGATGCCAAGACATTCTGCTGGCTGCCACCCAGCAGCCCAGCAGCGTGCAGGCTGTACAGGTATACAGGGCAATAACCGAGAACACCCTAATCGCCTTTCAACCCTTTACCCAGATCCGTGGGATAACCCAAGCGGTGGCCGGAAGGAGAGCGAGAGCGAGAGTGAGAGAGAGTGAGAGTGAGAGAGGCAGTTCTTGTTCTCGTCTCGTTTGCCTGCTGCCATGCCCATGCCTGCGGCTCTGCGGCGCTGCGGTAGCCAACGATCTGTAGCTCACGGCCCACGACCCACGGCCCGTAGTCGACGCCTCAGACGCCACGGCCACCATCATCTTGGTTCGAATCTTTCCACTTCACCCTGCAGCCAGCGACTCATAGCCCGCTCTCTGACCCCGAGGGAGGAACGTGGACCAGCGGAGTTTGTGCGCCCAATCCCATCCTCTGTCAATAGCTGCGTTGCAGGACGCATGCAGGACTGCAGGACTGCAGGAGAGAGAGAAAGAGAGAGGAGACGTCGGATTGCAGATGGCAGGATGCGATGCAGGACGCAGGATACAGGATGCAGCCTGCAAGAAGCAGAAAGCAAGAAGCAGGTTGAAGGCACTCCAAGTCCCTCGTCGAGTGGGAGAAAGCCTGCCATAGCCGGCAATGTGAGACTGACTGGTGGTTGATCCGAAGTCTCAGCATCATCAACAACGTCCTCAAGCTCCTCAACTCTCTCACAACAGATACCTCATCCAACTTAAGTTCCTCAGTTCCTCAGTCTTGGGATCATGGGCGACAAAGCCCGTGCTCTTTCTCTAACGTTGGGGTGTGTGTCAGTCACATTCCAAAGCGCCGTGCCCGGCCCTATGCCTGACGCAAGACTCTGTCCGGCATCCTGCATCCTGTATCCTGTATTGGTCTCCTGCATGCATGCACCAAAAGATATGCAACGCCTCTTGGCTGCTGGCTGCTTGGCTGTGGGCTGTTGGCGGTTGGCTGGCCAGTACAAACGGTACAACGAGCGCCCAGGGATACACGGGGGGCGGCAGGATCTAGCATACCGCTGCGAGTCAGGACGTGACAAGATTACTGGAACTGGGAGGCGTTGACCTGGCGTACGTTGGCGTTCTCTTCCTACCGTCCTGCGTCCTGCGTCCTGGCTTCTCCGGCGGTCTGCCGACGCTGGCCGCTGGCCGTTCGGTGCAGGCAGTGCATGGTGTGGGGTGGTCTACCGGACGAAGACCTGGCCGCATGGCCGCCTGACCGCCCGGCCATCGGACCGCTTGCAGCCTGATTGGCGTTCACTTTCTACAGGCTCCACAGACAGTCCATAGCGCTGGAATTCCGAACGTCCTGGTCTCCACCGACCCAGGAGAAAAGGGGTCGTAGGAGCTGCAGGAGCGACAGGATGCAGGAGTAGAGAAGCGGCGGCGCCGTACAGGGCCCAGTTGCCAGGTGCACGCACGAGCACAAGCCGCAGAGGCGACAAGGCGAGGCACATCTCGATGCCATGCCATACCATCCTCGAGTACCCATGCCATGACTCGCGATGCCTGCCTCACCATATGCCGAACCAAGTTATTAGTTGGATAAGAGTAGCCGGACAGCCTTAGACGCCGGCCACGCCCCCCGCCCTCCCGTTCATCCTCGACAACGTCTCGAACTGCTCGACGCCTTGAGATCTGCGCTGAGCCAACACCGACTCGAGCGAAGCATTGCCATCCCTCCCTCATCTCATCACCCGCTCACCGCCCGCCGTCGACTATCTGTCCGCGCATCACACATCGCGACCGCAAGCGCGACGCGCCGTCCCCCATCTACCCATCGACCGTTTCAACGCCCGAGCCTTAAGGGTGCACGCGGCTTGCTTGTCCCCATCTCATCCCTCCTACCAACTACTGTAACCCAACCTCAAAGTCTAGCGGCTTAGCTATCAAAGCTTCCCACCCGATCGTTGCCTCTGCCAGACAACCTCCACTTCACTCGACATCACTCAACTCTCAGTGCCGCCGTGTGAGTTCCACACCCCGACGACGGGACCCCGCCAGCGAACGTGCGCTGACACCGACTTGCCATCCGCACTGTTGGTCGCGTCCGTGCTGTGCTCTACTTGATTGCTCACCGAAATCCCATGATCCCAACCTGCCGACCGTTTATCCTACCCTGTGTGGCAATGGCTCCACCCAGCAACAAAAGACCCGTGTTTCACCCCAAAACCTCTGACGGGTGGCGCATTTCGTTTAATTCATCGTGAGTTTACCAGTCAATTCAGCAGTTTGTCGTCGTCTTCCGTTTTGGCCCCCTCTCCCTCTCCGTTCTCTCTCCCTCTCCTCTGCATACTGCCTACCCCTCCCTCATACTGGGCCCCACTCCCACTCCGCCCCCCCCCCCCCCCCCCCCCCCCCCCCCCCCCCCCCCCCCCCCCCCCCCCCCCCCCCCCCTCTTTCCAAGGACAACACACAACCCCTGGCTTCGGCGTCATCTCGGAGATGTTCACCGACATGTTTCGTGTCATCCCAAGTTTGTGTCTGTGCGTTTCGAGTTGAGGCACGACCAGATGACATGCCACACTGCGATTCATCCTCCTTGCTGCTCTGCTCTGCTCTGCTCTGGGCTGTCCTGTCTCTCCTCGTCTTCCTGCCCATTTCCAAGCGCCTAGCTTCTAGCTTCTAGCTCTCCTGGCTCTCTCCTTGCTCGCACTCGCATCTTGCAACTGCACCTGGACACCTGGACACTGGAGATCGAGGGTTGTGCCGGACTCGATCATGTGCGCGTTGGCTGCCTGGGTGTGTGCCTGGATACCACTGTGCTTCTTACTCCACTTGATCCTGCATTTCCTTGCATTTCCTTGCAATTCCTTGCATTTCCTGCATTTCCTGCACAGACCACTCGCCGTCTCCGTCTCTTTCTCGCTCTCTCTCGCTGCCACTCTCCCTCTCCGCCACTCCTGCCCGCACATCCCCCGCACTTCTGTGCTCCTCTTTCCCCCTCTCTCCCTCTCCATCCCCGTCTGGCCCCACGCTCCGACCCTCCTCCCATTACCACTCGTCATGGTCGCTCCAGCGTCTCCCAGTCTTTGTCGCATAGGGCACGCCACAGATGAACGAGCGTATGCTCGTGCCCCCCTGCGTGCAACTCTTTCCCCTTGCAGACCGTGTGTAATTGGGCATGTACCCTACGCTGCACATGGTCTGGCTCGGTTGTGGGCAGCACTCGCGTGTAGATTGCAGATCGACCGGTCTACCAGCATCCTGCGAGGCATGCAATTCTGCATGCCCAACCATGCCAGGAGGCGGCCAAATGCCCCGTCTTCTCAAGCCCGCGAGCCATGCTGGCCAGCTGGCCGGCCAGCTAGCCAGGAGCCGCGAGCAAGCAGCGGTCAACCGCCACAGGCAAATGGCCTTGTCCTTTGTTCCCAACTAGACCCAGATCTGTTCCTGCCGCCGCCGGGCCGCCTCGTCGCCACCGCTTGCTTTGCCCTGGCTCTCGCATCCTCCCCATTCTCGCAACCTCTTTTCTCCATCCCCCTCTCCTCCTCTCCGCTCCCCCTCGACTGCCCTTCCGCTCTGTGACTGCGCTGTTCACGTTCGCTGACACACCCTTGATGCTTGGTATATCCCTGTACATACTCGCAACTCGCACCACTTTATCACCTCCACCAACTGGTCCACCACCTACCACCTGCTACCTGCCACTCGAACCGCCACTCCCATTCCACACTCACACCACCACCACCACCACCACCTCTCTTCTTGTACTGCACTGCCGTCTCTGCCGTCTCTGCCGCCGCCGCCGCTGCCGCCACCACTACTGTTGATCTGATTTTCCGTTGTCGATCTCCCCCATACACGCACACACACACGCACATACAATACACACACACACACAATTCTTTCACTCAAACACGCTCACATTGTCGTCGTCAACACTTGCCAACACCAACACGGTCACTTGGAACCACCTTGGACAACCCTCAAACTCTGCGTGTGTCCGACCACTCCGGCCGTCCACAAACCCACCGTCCCCCCCCCCATCTCGTGACTCGTCCCTTGAAATCTTGGATCTGGGTCACGGCTTCTCAACATCTGTTCTCAACTTGTCCCTCTCTGCGCTTTGTTCTTTTTCAACGCTTGCTTGCTCGTCACAGTCGTGCAATCACAGCTCCGACCTCGCTGGCTCAACCTCGTCCCTCATCGCTCATCGCTCATCGCCCCGTGCAGTCTCCTCAGTGTCCTTGCGCGTCGCATCCCCAGCCATCTCCCATCTACCAACCCGTACCTCTCTTTTCTCGCTCTGGCCTCCAAGTGCGTGCACCCAGGTCCCACCACAACCACAACTGTGAGTCTTTGTGCCTTGGACCTCCTCCGCCCGCTTTTGCCACACCCACGATCGACCTCTCTCTCCCCTTGCATCCTTGTATTCTCTAGACCCCGAGGGCGATGCTGACTGCGCCCCATTCTATTCCACTACACCCTCGCGCTCTTCCTACCTGCCCTTGTCGTCCGACTCTGGCAACGCATACAGAAGGACCACGATCTAGCTGCCCTCCTTCCGTCCCACATATCCTCCATCGGCACTTTGGTGGCGCCACCGCCCACCGGCACAAGATAATAAACAACCTTTGCGGCTGATACTCGTCGGGTAGTATTTCTCTTGGGCCTCCCTTGAGATCGCGCCAAGTATACGCCACTCACCATCCACCATTCCCCGTTGACAGGTCAAAGGACAGCCACTGCCTCTACCAAAAGCGTGCCCCAAGTCACCACTTTGGGTTACACAACGCATCTAGTCGTGGTCGCTCGTCGTCAACACAGCCGGCCACCACACACACACACATCCCCCCCCGTTCCCCGTACAGTCAAACTTGTCGACGCGCGCGCGCGCACATCGGATAATCCCCTCCTTTTCGCCCGCCATCGACGCCCTCGCCGCGTGACAGATCTGTCGAGATCGTTGAGAGCAACAGAGCATCCAGAGCATCAAGAGCATCGCCGAGAGCAAGACTTGCACACGACTCGTACCCTCGTCGTTTGCCCAAAGAGGGCGATACATCGTACATCGTCGTCCGTCGTCGCCTTCCTCGTTCCTCCCACCTCCACAACTTCTACACTCCCACCATGGACGTCCTCGACGTGAGTTGTTGTTGTCTCCATTTCTCTTCCACACTCTCTTTACTCGCACATCCCCCAGCGCCTTGTGGCATCCTCAGAGCACATAGAGCACATACCTCCTAGTGGTCGTGCGGGGTAATCTGCCGTAATTCGGCCTTGGTCGCTTGGTCGTGCTTCGATCGCAGAACTGGAACCCTCGTTGATAGTTGCTACTCCCTTGCGCACAGCCCGCTGACATTATCCCATTGCTCCTCTTCTCGCTCTCTCTCTCCAACAATGCCACTCCTCTCTCTCCCCCTCCCTCTCTCTCCTCCTCAATCTCCTCGCCAACCTCGCAATCACCAACACGCACGGACAAACTCTGCCCCGACGAACACCACCACCCCATTGCGTCTCGCTTCTCCCATCACCCTCCTATCACAATCACTCGTCGCCTCCAACCACCCCCGCCAACCCTCTGTCCTCTCTTTCCCTCGCTCCCCACGCCCCCCACCAAACACTCCCGACGGATTCTGCATCCCCTCTCCCCTCACTCTCTCTGCTACTCACAATGCCTTGCAACTCCAGCTCGTCAACGACACCAACCAAGTCGGACCTGGCCACGACTTCCTCGTGCGCCCCTTCGTCTGCAAGTTTGAGAACTGTGACCGAGCCTTCGCTCGCAAGAGTGACCTCGCACGTCACTTCCGTATCCACACAAATGAGAGGTGAGTTGGCCGCCGCCACACACGCAAGCGTCAGAGCAAACTCACCAATAATAGGCCATTCGTCTGCGTTTACCGCGGCTGCGGGAAAGCATTCATCCAGCGCTCTGCGTTGACTGTCCACACCCGTGTTCACACCGGCGAGCGACCTCATCACTGCGAGACTTGCAACAAGGCGTTTGCAGACTCCAGTTCACTCGCTCGTCACCGCCGCATCCAGTAAGTGCCACATTCCGCCCTCACAAACAGTTTTTTGCACAACTGACACATTCAGCACCGGCAAGCGCCCTTACGGATGCAAGGTTCCGGGCTGCGGCCGCCAGTTTGCGCGCCGCAACACCTACCTGAAGCACTTCAAGCGCCAACATCCCGACCTCCCTCCTCCCACATCGAGCTCTGTTCGTGCGCTCCACATACCCAACATGGGCTCGCGTCCGTTTCTCAGCTCTGCCGGCTCCGTTCCACCGTCCGGCAGCGACAGCAACGACTATGGCACGCCGCCATCCAACGCCGCGCCCCCCCACGGCTACGCCGCCTCTCACCCGCCAGAGGGCGCGGCGTACTCCTACAGCGGCGGGTTCGTCAACGGGATGCTCCACTCCTCCCAACTCGCACCCAGCCAAGGAGCCGGTCTCCACCCCTACTTCCACCCCAGCCACGCCGACCCCCAGGGCCATGGCCCGCTCTCCCTGCTCGCCCACCCGGGTGGCGGCTCGGAGCATGTTCAGAGTGGCCAAACAACTCCGGGTGAGCGTCCCGACGTCCAGTACCCGCAGCCGGGTGGTCAGCTCGGCTTCAATGGCGCACCGCTCCAGCAGAACGGCCTTGGCGTCCCAAACGGTGACGGCGGAGACCAGTCCATCTTCTCGTACCAGGACAACTCGGTCCCTCGCATGCCCGGTCAAGTAGGCGGCCCCATGGGCAACGCCAGCTTCCACTACAAGCCTGAAGGAGGGATGCGCCCCTTCCAGTCTGAAGCCAGCATGATGCAGCAGACACCGTGGGGTCAGGTTGGCGGCTTTACCGCATCTCAACTCTCACTGCCTCCTCTCAACTCGGGTCTGCAGCCCTCATACCAGCAGCAGCAGCAGGGCGGCTTCCAGCAGCAGAACCCCGGTGACGTTAAGAACGAGCCCAAGCCCAGCCACTCGCCAGTGTCGGACCGCGCCAACACCCCCGACGGCCTCGTTGACGTCAACGCCATCCCTGCCATAAAGTACCCCCCGTCCATGCCCTCCTACCCGCCTATGGCCACATTCACTGGTCTCACGCACAACCACATGCCCGCGCCTCTGCTTCCCACCATGCCCGGCGGGCAGCCAACCCTGCACGCGGTGCCACCGCAGATGCAGCGCTTCCACTCGGCCCCGATTGTCCCAACAATCAACAACAACGGGTGGAGCAACTTTGAGCAGTTCAAGGCGACGACGCCAGGTGCGCCAGGCGCTCCCGGCTACAACGACCGCATTCCGCTTCGCCGCATGCCCATGGTCAGCGGCGAATGGCAGCAGCCGCCACCGCCGCAGCCCCAGCCGGTGGAGGAGGGCAGCCATGAGGCCTCGGACGCCGAGTCGGCCTCTGTGAAGAGCGCCAAGACTCCCGGCATGGCACCGCGCGTGCCGGAGTGGAACCCCAGCCCCAACTTCCACACGGTCCGCGGCGTCACCCAGTTCCGGTACGACTCGCCGGGCTCGGCCGCGTCCGCTTCGTCGATGCTCAACACGGCCCAAGCCCAGTCATCGTTGCCGCCCATGACGTCGTTCAACAACAACCCCCCCACGAGCTACTTCCAGCCCAACGCCCCGCAGGGCTGGAGCATACCCCACAAGGACCAGCCGTTTGTCGCTCCCAACATGCTCGCCCGCCAGCCGTTCATGCCGCCGCACATGCAGCACCAGAACAGCCAGGACAGCCAGATGTCGGTCGCGTCCGACAAGCTGCCGATGGGCCGCGACCGGCAGGCCAGCGGCGTCTCGTCCGTCAACTTTGGCCTTGAGAACGTCACGTTTGACGAGGCTGACGGCTCGGGCGACGAGGACGACAAGCCGTGGCCTCCGTCCGCGGTCGGCTCTCCCGACGAGGGCGAAGAGGAGCTCGACTCGGAGGACGAGGACGGCGCCGGCGACGACGACTCGGACGACGACTATGTCCTTGGCGGCAAGCCGAAACGCAAGAGCAGCGGCGGGAGCGGCAAGCGCGGGCGCGGCCGCGCCATCCCGCGTCCTGCTGGCAGCCAGCAGCCGCAGCGCCGAGTGCTCGCCTAACTGCCTCCTAGAGCCACATCACCCATCATCGTTGTACCGGGTCCCATCTTCAGACACCTCCGCATAGTCCCGCATGCTCGCTCGCCCATTATCACGACATTTTGGTTTCCTCGGTCACCGGCTCGGCGCTCGTCGCTCGTCCTGCCGCTCCCCTCCATACCCCGCCATCGGCGATACCCGCTTCAACAGTCATACCGTTCTGGATCCCTGGTTGTCAACTCCCACGCCCATGGCAGAACGTGCCATACGTATCTGCGCTCCGGTCATAGCTCGCTGTTTATTAGTAACGAATACCTGTGATGAGAAATGTCATGATTGATAACAAGTACCACCCTCGGAGCAGTGTGCAGGCTTGGTGGTCGTGCCGATGGAACTTTTGTTTGCGACGCGGAGCTGAGGGGTGAGACGGCGCACGGCCGTATTGTGGAGTCAGTGCAGTCAACGTTGCGTGAGGAGGTTGTGATGTTATTGCAGGAGCACAAGCACCAACCGGAGCACGAGCACGAGCAATGTCATCCTGCCCCCCATCCTCTGACAACCTCGATCTCTTACGACAGATAATAACGATCCCTACAGTCAGCTGAGCCAGCATGTCCTACTTACCCAACATGCCCCATGCCCGGCTTGACAACCCATGCGATCTTCTCTTTCTTCTCGCCGCGCGAGAAACGCAACCCTACCCCAACCCCATTGCCGAGTGCGTCGCCTGTCGGTGTCTCGACCCCGCCCTCGAAATCAATCGCGTCCTCGTGCATCGCAACGACACGCGCGCTGAAATCGCCCTCGGCGCTCACCTCGCCCAGTGTATGGCCCGCTACGACTGGCAGCCGTACCTCGTCCAGCTCGTCGTCGATCGCCGCCGTGACAATCCGCACGGACGGAAACGCCCGATGCACGCTGTGCACGGCGTACCGCGAGACGAGGAAGGTTAGGAATGTGATGTTGGATTCTGGGGTGAGCATCACGACGAGGGCGCGGGGGGGGGAGGGCGTGGGATGCCGAGGCTGAGTCGATCAATGGTTGCGAGGGGCCTGTAGCTGACGTGCGGATGCACGGATGTGCAAGGTGCGCAAAACACGCTTTTCACACGTTACGGATCGCTGATTGCTGATGTCTGATCGTGCACTGCTGCGCACACGAAAGATTGCCCAAGCCAGGAGGGGTACTCACGCGGAACTCCGTGGTCGAGCAACACCCGGATCGCCATCACTGCGGTCAGATTACCGTTCCTTCTGTGCTCGAGATCCAACAGGCAACAGCGGGCCGTTGAGGCCTGACCCCCGAGCCGGATCTTGGCCGAGCACGAACGAACTCACATGCCGCAGCACCGGTGCCCATCTGTGAGTCAAGGAGGAGAACTTGCATCGTCCGTGCCGTGTTTCTTGAATGCAGAGACTCAGGGAGCTTGACGTCCAGCAAGAGGGGCTCGCCGGACTGAGGCTCCGACTGGATGAGCATGCTGCCGAGGGGTACGTCACGAATAACGCGGCGGAGCCCGTTGGCAAATGGGCCGCCCGAGCGGAGAATGGAAACGCCAATGATGTTCTGGAGTAAGCCAAACCACCAAGAGGACAGTTGCATACACTGTCACATCCGTCAACGCCGTGGAAGGTAACACCATTCGCCGTCGTAATGTCCTTCGACTGGCGGGGAAGCTCGGCAAGCGCCGCCTCAACGATGATTGTGGACAGACGGTCTGCGTAGAAGATAAACTCGTTGCGCTTCGTGTCTGCGCTGCGAAGAATCGTCATAATGCCCTGTGGTTAATTCAGCAACCATTTCGCCCACTCACAAGCAACTGGTTCGTCTGCGGCACGAGTTGCACGTTCACGACCTCGCTCGGCGTCGGTGCGGTGCTGTCCAACTCGACAAGTTCACGGCGGAAACGGAGACTTCTCGCATCGAGCTGTCGCTGAAGGTGCGTCACTAGTAGCTCGATCGCCGTGTCGTTGTGGTGTCCCGGCACGATCTGCGTTAGCCACCGCCGACATGTTCATGGCTCACAATATCCGCATACTTGGACGACGGCTGCACAAAGTTGTCGTAGCTCGATTTAACGAAGCGCAGGTACTACCATCAGCCGCCAAAACCAGGCGCTAAGAGCATACCTGATCCAGGATGCCGTCCACGTCGCGTCCGCGCTCAACTGTGTCTCGTCGGATGCGCCGGGCGAGCATGAGGTCTGAATCGCAATTGACGAACACTTTCAGGTCGTACAGGTCACGCATCTCCGCCGCCTGCAGTGCCATTATACCTTCCCTGATGTCAGTTATGGCGAACAAATGCGCTCCTACACGATGATGACGCTGGCACCGTACAGGTACTGCTTCTCCTCCAAGCGTTCTGCTGTTAGATCCAGTTGGTAGTTCTGCACCTACGGTGGTGCTCGAAGGAGTATACGGGAATCTGGGTTAGTGCGCCCGCCACACATGCTCACCTCTGTCGCGCGCCCAAGCTTCAGGTCGTTGAGGCACTGTATCAGCTACAATCGCTTGCAAGCGCACTTGGGCAAACAGCTCCATGTCAATTGAATCAGGATGGTCTCCCATCAGCACATTCTCCTCTGTCCAGCGACCCACCGAAATCGAAGTCATTGTTCATAGCCCTGTCGATCTCCTCTTGCGTGTGGCGTTTATAGAAGGCATCTTGCGATAGAATCAGGACAGTGGGTATGTTGTTAAGGCCCTTGCAGATGGCGCGCGCGACCGATGTCTGCAGTCAGCTCGGATCGGATGCGAGCCATGAAGGCATCACCTTGCCAGAAGACGAGCCTCCCGCGATTCCGATCACGTACGCCGGCACCGCCTTGCCGTCGGGAGTGTACCAAGGAGCGCGACCACGCGAAGCCATGACAACGTTCTTGCCGCGGAACGAGGAGTGGGGCGACAAGCTGGGCCTGCGGGGAGTGGGTTTATGTCCTGGCATGATGAGTGTGAGTGGTGAGTGAAGAGGAGAGGACAGGGCGTGTTCTGAGGTGACTCCGAGCGCCTCCTTCCTTCCCCGCGCCCTTCGTGGTCGCCGACAGCTGGCCGGCATGGTGGTCAAGGACGGCCTCCACCGACTCGTGCACACGTCACGACACGTGGAGGTAATACGTGGCTTTTTAATCACAGTTCATTGTTTGTTTCCGAGGTCGACTGTCGCTCTGGGTGGTCTGCGGTATCAAACCTTGATCCTGGCGCGCATCGCGTCTGGGCGGCATGGACGGGGAATTGCCTGGGTGATTGGGGGGTGGGTGCGCGTCAACAAGCCATCGCTCAACCGCTCCTCGCCATCATTCTCCTCCCACACGCCACCTACGAGGCTCACATCACTCTCGCCTCCCTACACATATCACACCCCCTATCTGCTGCTCCTCACTGCATTCTGCAGCGGCTGCAACCTCTTCTTCTCACGCCCGACGAAAGCTCGTAATACAAGCCGCCTCCACTCCCCACTGGGACCGACCCCGCTATGGAGGGTGACCCGCCCCAGGAGGAGGACTTTTCTCAGATCCCCCTTGTCGAGCGGAGTACACATAAGGTGATACGCAGACACCCGTAATACCATGGCGCTAACGACAGAACTGGAAGGCCCGGTTGAGTGCATACAACGATGTCATCGCGCAGTCAGCCAAGACCGCTTCGGACAGCGACCCGTTCTTCCGCCCCTACATCTCCGACCCCGCTCTCCTGTAGGTGCTGCACTCTGCGCCCGAGCTGACAGTAAGCAAGAAATGGTGCCTTGACGCAAACGCCATCGCGCAGGAGAAGGGCGTTGAGGCGACGCTGGCTATTGTGACCAACAGCGGCGAAACCAGCGTCAAGTAGGTCATTCCGCCCTACAAACTCACACGAAGCGCGTTTAGCTGACGGCAGGCTTCGCCCGGAGATTGTGCCCGCGCTCGTAGAGAAAGCGCTCGGCAACACGCGCGCAGGTACCAAGCGCAAGGGCATGGACCTTTGCGCCATGTTTGTCGAGGTCGAGAACGGTGGCGAAGGCGTGGTCGTAGGTCAAGCGCGAGGACGCACTGACGCCAGACGGACGTCATGGCTGGGTTGAGTGCGAAGACACCTAAAGCTGTTGCGGGAGCCGTTGGCACTCTGAAGGAGCTCGTTGAGTAGGTCTCATGAAACATGACGGAGCTGACAACAGGTCGTTTGGCGTGCAGGCGTTGGGGAACGTAAAGCCATTACTCAAGGCGCTCCCGAAGATCTTTGGACACAATGACAAGAATGTCCGTGCGGAGGGAACGAGCCTGACGCTTGCGCTGTACACCTATCTCGGCCCCGCGCTCAAGCCCGCTCTCGCCGACCTGAAGCCCGTACAGGTCTCGGATCTTGAGAAGGCATTCGAGGGGTTGGATAGCCAAGGCAAGGGCGCGGGCACTGGAAAGCCGAGCCGATTCACTCGCAAAGCCCAGCGCGAGCGAGAGATGGCTGAGGCTGCCGGTGATGAGCCAGAGGACGAGGTCGCAGAAGAGGTGGCAATCGACCCCCTATCACTGCTCGACCCTGTCAATGTGCTGGAGCTGTTCCCCGCCGATGTGATGGAGCGACTAGCCTCGAGTAAATGGAAGGACAGGCTGGAGGCCGTCGAGGAGTGCAACAAAGTGCTCGCGGAGCCGCGCAACGCCCGCATATCGGACTCCAACGCAGATGCGTATGGGCCGCTGGTGCAGCTCCTCGGTACAAAGTGCCACAAGGACGCCAACGTCAACGTCGTGATGGAAGCAGCGAAGCTGCTTGAGGGGCTCGCGCGCGGCCTCAAGAAGAGCTTCGGGCGTTACAAGAGTGTCACGGTAACTGGGTTGCTAGAACGATTGAAGGAGCGTAAGGCAGCCGTAGTCGAAGCGCTCGGCAAGGCGCTGGACGCGATTTTCTTGACGGTGAGCACCGGTTGATGCCCAGCTAATCGCAGACTTCCCTCCCTGACGTCACGGAAGACATCCTCACGGCGCTCAAGTCTAAGAACCCGCAGGTGAAGCAGGGCACGCTCGAATTTCTTCATCGCAGTCTCAAGGTTACGACTGAGCCGCCGGCCAAGGACCACATCAAGCCGATGGCAGAGCAGCTCGTCGCCCTCCTTAGCGACAGTGCAGAGCCCGTTCGCACTGCCGCAGCGGAGTGTCTCGGCACGATGATGAAGATTCTCGGCGAGCGCGTGTTCAATCCTTACATCGAAAATGTTCCTGAAATTCAGCTTGCGAAGGTCAAGGACGCATTTGGGCGGGCCGAGATCAAGTACCGTCCTGGAGGCGTCAAGAAGTCCGCTGCAAAGCCGGTAGCCAAGGCGCCAGCCAAGCCCGCGCCCATCAAGAAGCCAGCACCGCCAGCGTCGCCTCCAAAATCGGCTGGAAAGCTGAACGGTGGGGACGATGATCTGTTGGAGGAGTTTGCTGCGCCACCAGCCAAAAAGCCACCAGCAAAGTTCCTGGCGCGTATGAAAGCTGCCGCTTCACCGTCGTCGTCGCCTCCGCCGGAGAAGGCTGTGGATTCGGAGGAGCTGTTGCAGGACTTTGCGGCGCCGCCTCCGAAAAAGAAGCCACCTGCACGCCTGCTCGCGCGCATGCAGGCGAGCGGCCCTGCCTCGGAGGAGTCACCTCCTCAATCGCCGGTCAAGCCGCCTGCATCACCACTGCCTAAGGCGGCGCCAGTACGCAAGGCTCCGCCTCCAGCCGCTAAACTGCCACCGAAGGCAGCCTCTCCCCCTGCAGCCGCGGGACCGTCCAAGCCAGCTGCCAAGGGCGCGACTAAGACGTTGGCGTCGTCGCCATCTGAGCCAGTCAAGTACCGTTACACGCCTGAAGATGCTGCGGCGCGCGCGGCTGAGCTGGTGCCTGCCAACTTCCACACTGCGCTTGCAGATGGCGCATGGAAAGTTCGTCTGGAGGGCGCGGACGAGATGGTCTCGTGGGTCAACGATGGCGGTGCGGAGCAGGTGGACAGCGAAATCATGATGCGCTTCCTGGGCAAGACGCCGGGATGGGGCGAGAAGAACTTCCAGGTGAGCTGAAATCGTCTGAGCCTCGCTGATATCAGGTTTCCGCCAAGGTGTTCGAGGTGATCAGATTATTTGCCGAGAAGAGCCCATCATTCGGAAAGCCGGCAGCGGCTCTCGTTATTCCTGCATTGACTGAGAAGCTGGGTGATCTGAAGCTTAAGAAGCCAGCCGGCGACGCCCTCGGCGTCATTGCTGAGAAAATTTCACTCGCGTTCGTCCTGGCACAGAGCTATGAGCCACTCAGCAAGCAGAAGGCGCCAAAAGCTCAAGCCGACGCGCTCACATGGATGAAGCAGCAGGTGATCGACTTCGGTATCGGGGGTATTCCCATGCGAGAGCTCATCTCGTTCATCAAGACAGCGCTTGGGCACGCGAACGCGCTTGTTCGTTCAAGTGCTACGCAACTGCTTGTGCAGGTCAAGATCGGCGTGGGCGCTGGTGCGTAGCTCGCACGTTGACTTGACTGAGCTGACCTCAGACATTTCTGGTTTCCTCGAAGATCTGAACCCGACCCTGCTCAGTACAATCAACAAGGAGTTCGATAAGGTTGCATCGCAGACCGCGCCGGAGCCCACTCGTGAACAGGCAGATTTGCGCGAGGTTGCCGCTGGCCCGGGCAAGAGTGGCAAGGGCGGAGCAGACCCGCTCGATGACCTCATTCCCCGAGTCGATCTCGACAAGCTTGTCGCTCAGACGAGCGTTATTTCCGACTCGAAGAGCGATGCGTGGAAGGTCCGCAAGGAGGCGTTTGAGGCACTCGCCGCTCTCTTGGAGGTTAAGTCGAACCAGCGGCTCAAGCCAAATATGGGTAAACTTTCAGTGTAAGACTAGGCTGACAGCAGGCGAGATCGGCAATGTACTGAAACGGGCCATGACGGACACAAATCTTTCGGTCAAGATGCTGGCGCTTGGAATAACGGCCAAGATCGCAACCGGCATCGGCGCACCCTTCGAGAAGTACTGCCGCTTGCTCGTTCAGGCTGTGGCAACCGTGTGCGCGGATCAGAAGGCTACCACCCGCACCGCTGCTGTGGCGACCCTTTCTGCGATGGCCGACGCCATTGGCTCCTTAGACCCGATGTACACGGGTCTTGCGGCGTCCTTGGAATCAACAAATCCGGCTCTTCGTGCTGCTGTCTTGGGTTGGATCGCCGAGCGCCTGATTGCTGAGGCACCAGGCCGCGGCGCCGACCTTGCCTGCCTCGCCGCGCCTGTCATCTCGTGTCTCGAGGACCGTAACGGTGAGGTTCGTAAGGCCGCTGGCACAGTTCTACCCTTTGTCGTCGCCAACGCGGGCGTTGACTTTGTGATGGATCAGACTTCTGGTCTCAAGCCCGCTTCCCGATCTACAATTTTGCCTCTCATCCAGAATGCCCGAGGCGCCGGCGATTCGGCCAAAGTGGCAGCGGAGCCTCCGGCAGCGCCTAAGGCTGCTCCTACTCGTGCAGCGTCCATCAAGACGCCAGCGAAGGCGGCCGCGACAAAGGCTGCCTCAACTCCCGCCCGCCCTGCATCTATTATTGGCAGGCCGGGGATCGCTGCGCCGGGGCGCTCTATTGCAATGAAAGCCCTTGCGTCTGGAACATCAACACGGCCAGGATCCGCCATGTCTGATGCGTCTGGGGGTGGCTTCGGGCTCAAGCGGCCGACGATTGCTCGCGCCACACCGCCAACTCCCGCACCGCCACCGCCGCAGGAGGAAACTGGCCGGACCATCCCCTTTACCGCCTCTGATCCCAACTCTCGGGCACAGCGGCTGAAGCGTGACGCCTCGCGATGGTCGCTCGATCCCAGCAATCGTGCAGACACCCTCGAGTATCTCCTCCAGCAAATGGAGCCAGCAACGAGCAGCGACATTTGCCACCTCATGTTCAGCAAGGACCACCGTGCTGAGGAGGATTTCATGACTGCACTGGCGGTGATCGCTGAGTTCTTCGACCCCGAGACCTCAGATAGCTTCGGGCTGCATGAGGACGACTTACGCGCAATCCAGTCTGCCAACGTCGACCTTGCCCTCAAGTATGCCGCAATTCGGTTGTTGTCCAACAACACGCAGTTGAGCGCGCGGTGCCTGGAGGTTTTCTCCAACGTGCTCGACGGTCTCACGCGGGATGGCGCGCGGCTCAGTGAGACCGAGGTCCGCCTGTTTGTGCCCGCACTCGTTATGAAACTCGGTGATCCGAAGTTTGGTCCGCGCCTTGCTCCTATCTTCGAGGGGCTCGACAAGCTCATCCCCGCCAGCCAGGTCGTCCAGTTGCTTGTACAGTACGGGCTGGAGGACAAGGCGGCAGGCAAGACAGGCAGGAACGAGTCACTCAGCCTCATTGAGAAGGCATACCGCAAACGTGGCAGCGTGCTACGCTATGACAACCGTGGGTTCTACGAGGTCGTGGCCCGGTGTATCCAGGACCAGGGTACACGACAAGCGGCATTGGCGCTCATGGCCCTACTGCAGCTGCAGGGCGAGTCGCGAACGTTGCAGTCGGTGATCGATGGCCTGCCCACATCAGCCAAGGACATGCTCGCAAATCGTCGCGCCACGCTTGCAGCAGCCAAGGCCAACAGCGCTGGCATGGCGCGGATCACTTCTGACGCTGGTGCGTCGTCGAGATCTGCTTCCCCTGTGCCTACCCCGTCCAAAATCCCCGGACATGGCTCGCCCGCTTCAAGACGTTCCCGCGACATGACATCGCAGCGCGCGAGCGCTGCATCGCCTGTCGGAGGACGACCGGCGTCGCGCGGCATTCCGACAACGTCAAGATTGGCACAGCCGTCAGCCGTCCGCACTATACAGCCTCCGTCAGGAATGCAGCCGCCGTCTGCCATCGCTCGCCCTGGGTCACAGGCCCGGCGTGCGGCTCCACAGGCTGAGGAAGAAGCGCGCCGTCCTGTCGCTGCCGCCCGCCCGTCCATGATGCCCTTGGCTTCCGCCCCGGCACCTTCGGCGTCCCTGGTTGCCGAGCTCATTGAAGCGATCCGTACAGAAGACCCCGACGACGCTGCCGACGCGCTCAAGGAGACAGCGGCCTTGATTGAGGAAGACGGCACTTCGTTCGTGGCTGAGCTCGATCAGCTCCTGGACGCGTTGTGTTGGCAGTTCGACCAACGCGGGGCGGATATGGTTGTGCTGCTTGAGCCGAACAACCTTCGTTGCGTCAAGCACTTGATGCGCACGATCTACGCGGCCTATGGGCGCCCCAACATCGTCAAAAGGTTGAAGATTGATCAGATCAGGAGGCTTTTTGCCGGGATCAGGCGGCAATACGCAAGCCTCGAGGTGTGGGTCGAGCAGGAGGGCGAGGAGTCCCAGGCCGCTACCGAACTGCGCGACTACCTGTCAATGGTGCTAAGCGCAATGATTGCCACGCCAACACGCGCAGTGGTCTATACCATGCTCTTCGATGGGCTGGCTACGCTGTGCAAAGATCAACGAGAGGGAGACACGGACAAGCATGCAGCGAGCGAGATTGGCGTCATCCTTCAGTGCACATACAAGCGTGTTCGGTCTGTCGACAATGATTTGCGCACATCTCGGCTTAAAGCTGGGACGCTACTTGCCATTATCGAGAACCTGCTGCAAGTCATTCCGCCTTCACAGTGGCGCCGCAGGCCACAGCAGGGCTTGCCCCACGGTGACCTACCGTTGCGAGTCCTCAAGACGTTGCTTCAGCGGGTGATTGTATACACGAAGGAGGCCGACATTGGCATCTACGACCTTTTGCAGGAACAGTTCGACACCAAGGCCGATACGACAACGGTATACTCCTATATCTTCCGTATTTGTGAGATCTCCGCACTAGAAATTTAGCTGACAAAAGCCTCAGGAGATGACGGGGCACCCACACCCCCAGCGACAGCACCAGCACTCGAGGCCCCTCAGCCTGTACGGAGGCGATCGAATGGCACGTCTGAGCGTCCTGTGTCTATCTCCTCGGCCGGCACGCGCTCTTCTATGGGCCACGATGGTCTCGCGCCTCCTGCGCAGAAAAGTCCGTCGCGCGACGTGTCTGAAGCCGAGCGCATCGTGCGTCGCCTCACGGACCCACGGGACAGCGAGCAACGCCTCAACGAACTGCACGCGTTCATGAAGGCGAGTGACAGCAACGAAACGGAGGCGCGAGCAGCCATCTCAGCGATTCTGAACCCTGCGGCGCAAACCTTCGTCTGGAGGGCGTTGGACAGGCGGTCTGAAGCAGTTGAGCCCCGCTCCCCTGCTTCCACCTCGCCTTCCAAGAACGCTCGCGACCTCCCCTCCCCTCCTCTGGCCGGGTTGCCTGCTGGTCTGGGATCGCGGCGCATCAGCGGACTAGGCGCCCCAAGCCCCGGCTCGGGCGTCTCCTCGGCAACCAGCAGCGCGAGCACGCCATCAGGCGCGCGCCCCACGAGCATGATCGACCGCAGTGCGCCTGTCGACGATCAGCTCGCGCAGCTTAAGGCGGTCTTCGGCCGCGCGACGAGTAGACACTCGGGCGGGACGCCGACCAAGTCCCCCACGAGACCCATGTCGGAGATTGAGACGACTCCGACACGACCTGCGCCGCCGAAACCCATGTTTGACATTGATGCGACTCCGCGGCCTGCGATGCCGAGACCCATGAGCGAGTTCCAGCCGCGCGGGGAGATGTAATCTAGACACGCGGTTATGTAATTGTATCGTTGCATGGATTGCATTGTCTGACCAAGAGTGAGGTTAGTTTTGAATGACAGCACGTCGGGAGGGAGGACTGGTCTCAAATTGGCACTTAGCATTTGCCACCCAACTCTCCATGCTCTGAGATCTGACTATTGGATTTATACAATTCCTAGGCTTTTCGGCCTACTAATCTTTGAGCCATGAGCCATCCGCAGGCCGCAGGCCTCTTGACTCTTGAAGCATGCGAATGCATGCGGCACGCTTGGCAAGCGCAACAGATCAGGCGGATGGCAGTGCGGAGAGAGCCAGTACACTCCGTATCACGTGGCCGGCCCTATCCGTACATGACGCATCCGCGTACGAGTGCGAGCGTTCGTGAGTGCGATGGCCACCGCCACCGCCCACTCGACAGCTCTTAAACTCTCAGCAACTCTTGCTTGTTCATCTGCTCTGTCTCCCATACCTTAGAACGCCCACTCGGCACAATAACTACCTCTCCGTCGCGTTGGCAACACAGCGCACGACAACCTCCCAACTTGGCCATCCACCACATCAACCCTCACCCCTTCCTGCTCAACCCCCTACTCCCCTCTTACCCCCAGTTGCTCTCCCCATGCCGCCACAAGGGCATGCAGCCCTTTGGAGCGCGGGAAAAGACGAGACCGTAGAGGTCAACCAGCGCGCTCTGATTGACAGTGCGTCCCCTTTTGGTCCTTGGTGCTGCTGCTGACAGCAGAAATCCTCGCGCGCTACTCCGGCGAGCATACCATTTTTCGCGAGCTGCTTCAGAACGCTGACGACGCTGGCGCGCAGAGCGTCCAGGTCAAGTTCTATACTCAAGCAGGCGTGGACGCTGCGGAACGCAGGGCACCCGCACCCCTTCCTGATGCGAGCAAGGATGCAGTACGTATCTCGCCGCCTTGATCGACTTTGTTCCTCGAGTGCCTCCCTTCAGCCGTCGATCCGAACTGACACTAGATTGTCCGCTACGTCGTGTGCAATGACGGTATCCCATTCCGGCCAGAGGACTGGCATCGCCTGAAGAAGGTGGGCGTGCGGCGGGTCATCGCTGATGCCAGATCGCGGAGGGCAACCCCGACGAGGACCGCATTGGTGCTTTTGGCGTTGGGTTGTGAGTACAACAGCGAAGTGATGCAGAGAGCTGACTCTAGCTACTCGCTCTGGAGCGTTTGCGAGGAGCCGTTTGTTGAGTCCGGATCCAAGTGGATGGGCTTCTACTGGAAAGACGGCAAAGATCAGCTCGTTGCCCGCTCTGGCGATTTCCCTCCCGAATACAAGCCTTCCGTGTCTGAGCCGTCTCACTCTGGCCATCCATGGACGACCTTCACGATGAACCTTCGCGAGCCGATGCCGCTGGAGGCACCTCTCGAGTTCGCGCGCTTTCTCGTCACCTCCCTCACATTCATGCGCACGATCCGACACGTTGACATGGTTGTTGATGGCACTAAGGTGTTAGAGGTCCGCAAAGACGTCAAGGGCCAGAGCGTTGCACCAAGCATGAACCTTAACACCAGGTCGCCGTCGGGCATGTTCAACGTGTACAAGGTTGACGCCACAAGTATGGTGATAACTGCACGTGTGATGAAGTGGCTTTCAGCGACTGGCACCAAGCCGCCGCCCATCCCTCCAGCACTTGCTAAGCCTGCCAAGGCTGTCGGTGGCTTCCTAACATCTTTCTTTGGGAGGAGTGCACCGCCCACGCCAAGTCCCGAACCACCCTCTAGTCCCATGCCGACTGAAGATCCAACACATGTGGACGTGCTCGCGCGCGAGATTCAGACCTTCCAGGCCGACGTCAAGGTGTCAGTCACTGCCGCATTCGGGCGTGAGCTCGAGCGCGCGACAAAGAAGTCCGCACCGCAGCGCATGCCCGCCAGTCTCGTCTTTGCGCACGAGGAAGATACGGCCAAGACCGCCGACGGGTCAGAGGCGTCAAACAAGAAGGCTGCTGTCGTGTTTGCAGGTCTCTGCCCTCCCCTCGACGGCGAGAAGTCGGCCAAGATTTTCATCGGTCAGCCGACGGGCCAGACGACGGGTATTGGCGGGCATTTGGCGGCGCGCTTCATCCCAACCGTTGAGCGCGAGTCGATCGACCTTGTAGATCGTCATATCTCGCAGTGGAACAAGGAGCTTCTTTGGGTCGGGGGATGTCTTTCGCGCCTGATCTACGAGCTCGAGTTGACGGACCTCGCGAAGAAGTGGGGAGCGACGTCCCGGACCGACACCACGACCCGGGAAAAGATTCTTGCTCGAGGCCTACACGCTCTCCGCTTCTTCTCCTTCCGGCCCACGACTCCTTCGGCGCTGGTCGGCTCGGAGATGGAGTCGGCATTTTTCTCATGTGCACGAGACCCGCCCAGCATGCCTATCATCTCCACCGGGGGCATCCTTCGCGTAGACAAAGTCCGCATCCCCGACGCTTCTCTCCTTGAGTTCCTCCCCGAGTTGCCCGTCGTCACACCAGCGACTGTGGACAATGCATCGCGCATGGTCAACCGGCTCCGCGAGCGCAATCTCCTGCATGACATCGTCTTTGAGGACGTAGTTCAACATCTCAACGCCCGCCCATTGTCCGAGAAGGAGATGATGGCAGCCCTGAACTGGTGGCAGTCCATCGCGAACACAGACGTTTATAAGAACAACGCGCAAATTCGCAACCGTCTCCTCCAAGCTGCGATCCTCATCACCGACCAGAATAAGGTCGTACCTTTAGGTGATATCAAGACATACGTCAACCCCCAGAGCTCGTCCATACCCACCGACATGCCTCTCCCACCAGATACCATCCCATTCTCTGTGACCAAGCAGCTCAAAATGTCGACGATTACCCAAGTTTTCGGCTGGGTCGAGCTTACTGTCCCAGCGTACATTGGCTTTTTAACCCGCCCACCCATGACGGGCATCAATGGCGCGAATCCTGACACGGACGTGTGCGTCTCACCCGTGTTCTCCGAGCGCGTCCTTACTATGCTTGGGCGCGCGTGGCAGAACATGAACGCGCAGAGGCAGGCCGAGGTTGCTGCGCTGCTTAAGGAGGTCGCATGCATTCCCACGCGCACGGGTTTCAAGAAGCCCCGCGAATCCTACTTCCATGCGAATCTCCTCTTCGACGACCTTCCCACGCTGGCGTTCCCCAAGACCACCAGCATCCGGGGCGGCCTCGAGATGATGCTGTTGGCCATCGGAGTCCGCAAGACCGTGGACCTCCAGCTCATTTTCTCTCGGTGAGTTTGCTTCTTCACTTTTTGGTTGACGATTCAGACTTGTTGGCGGTGGAGAGTGGTCCTGCATCGATCTTATGAAGTACCTCGTGTCAGTTAAGGACTCGCTCACGAACGAGGAGTGGGCGCGCCTACGCCAGACCGCCGCGTTCCCTCTTGAGCAGCCTCGCCTGAAGGACGGGAGCAAAGCGCCCCTTGAGCGGCGCAAGCCTCATGAGCTGTATGAGCCGACGGACAGCATGCGCGAGCTTGGCCTGCCAGTGCTAGAGTGGGACGAGCACAAGTGGAAACCGACTTCCGATGAGGGTAGGTTACATTGCTGTCCGTGATCTGACCATCGCAGCGCGGTTGCTGTACAACCTAGGTGTACGGCGCTTCCCTCCGGTGGATGTCCTTCTGGGACTGGCCGCGGGCGCCCCTCCGACGAGCGAGAAGGCGTTTGCTTACCTTCTCAATCACATCCACGACCACTACATCGGCTTCGAGCCACGCCAGTTCAGCACTGTCTCATTTATCCCAGCAACAACCGCCACGGGCAACGCGATTCTTGCGAGGCCGGGAGAGGTATTTACAAATCCCGCGTGCAAAACGCTTGGGTTTCCCGTCGCGCGTGGCCTTGCGTCGCTACCCGAAAACGTTGCAAAGCTCAAAATCGACACTGACCCGCCGATGAACCGGCTCGTCCTCTCATTCCTTGCTGCTCCTGAATCAGACGCCGGCCGTGCTCGTGTTATTTTTGAGTACCTGGCCTCGCGTATGGGCACAGGCACGCTCAGTGCCCTCACTCCCTTGGCAGCGCGTGCCTTCATCCCGGTCCAGCAGAAGAAAACGTCCATGGACGCTGCTGCAGCGCGCCTTGCTCGCCCGGACGAGGTGTTCTTGGCTTCGGGGCAGACTGACTCGTTGTACGCATCGGCGTTCACGTTCGTTGACTTCGGTCCAACCGCCAATATGTTCCTCCGCAACTGCGGTGTGAAGTCGGAGCCTTCTACTAAGGACATTGCTCGCCTGTTGCTCGGCTCGCCTGAGCGCATGTTGGAGCAGGCCGGCCGTGAGCGCTACCTAGAGCAGTTACGCATCTTGGCGACCAACATCAACAACTTCGATGCTACCATGCTCAAGACCATGCGAGACACGCCATTCCTCCTTGCTTCCCAGTTGGTAAAGAAGGAGAAACGCGGCGGAGACAACCAAGACAACTATCGCCGGGAGTGGGTGCTTACAAGAGCGGCCGACACAGTTGTCGCGGACAACGCGACACTACACTCATTCTTTGGCGAATTCGTGCTCACAGCACCCGAGGAGGCGATCCTCGAATCATTTTACACTTCTCTGGGTGCTAAGGCGTTATCCGCATGTGTATCGACGGAGTATATCCCCCAAGCAATTCGGCAAGGATCCTCCTCCGATGCGGCACGCAATCGCGCGTTCATCCTCGAGCGCCTGACTATCTTTTTGGGCCACCACTCACGCCGCGTTACAGACTACACGGCCGACTGGCTCGCTAAAGGCGATAACTTCACAGTGTCTGAGGCGAGCAACATTCTCGCGCGCTATACGTACCGCGACGGTCGGAATGTGCACCAGCACGTTGAGGTGGGTGTACGCGCATGAGTCCCCACTGATCAACCTAGAAACTGTACGCGATGGCTACGCGTCTGCCACGCCGGAAGGAGGTGGTTATGACTGTCGCCGTCAACATGGAGCCAGACTTCTACGATGTGGCCAATGCCCTTTGTACCGTGCTGTTGAAGCAGCCAAAGATCGACGACATTTTGATGCTTGAGTCGATCATGCGTACATCGCTGCAATCACTCAAGAAGCGCGGCTTTAACGTCGACCGGATCCTCAATGCCCAGCGCGAGGAGCATCTTCGCAAGCAGGCTGAGGCCGTGAAGGAGCGCGAGGCGCGTGAGGCGTCCCGGCCGCCCTCTTCTACTGCTGCGCCGCACCAACCGATAGCGGAGGCTGGAAGGCAGACAGTCAAGGGCGCTGGAGCGCCGCCTCCTCACACCCCCGATCATGCCGTGAGCCTTTTCCCCGCTTGTGTTCCTAACACCAAGGTTAACGCAATGGGCAATGGAGGCCTGATGGGTATGCTCAAGCGCTTTGGGGCGGGCACACCCCCTCCGGCGCCGGTCAACACAGGCGTTCCTCCCAGCTACGGCGATCTGGGCACCGGCCCCGGACCCAGAGGCAGCTTCCAGGGCAACTCGACGTCCCGACCGTCTGGCATGGATCAAATTCGCGAGACGGCTCGCAAGGCCGTAGCTGCCTCCAAGCCTGGCAACGGAGCACTGGAAATAAAAAGCGCCGCGCAGAATATTGCATCTCCTCCTGAGAGCCAGCAGAACTACTGTGACGCGTCTGCCGGAGCGAATATCCGCTTGGCATACAACCCAGGTCCGCATAGCTGTCAGGTGTGGCTTCCTTCGGGTGCGTGGTAGAGGCTTAGTCGAGCCTGCTGACATCCAGACCAGAAGGAGTTTGAGGGCGCACAGATGGCGACGAGCCAGCGTTTCATTGCGCAGATCCTCCTTCCGCTTGCAGGAGTCTTTGGGGTTAGGTTCCGTTCACTTCTTGTGCTCACGCTAGCTCCAACCAGCCGTTGTAAACGTCTTCTGGGACCGCGAAGGACCGCTGATAGCTTTCAACCGTGATGGCACAGCCTTCTGCAACGGGCGATTCTTTGAGGCATGGAGTGAGTTGGACCTCCGAGATCATGAGCTGACGTCAGATGACGCCTCCGTGCAGAGCGGACAGCGCTCCGACGCCCTCATCTCGTGGTACTTCACGCTTGCGCACGAACTCGCCCACAACCTTGAGAGTGCGCACAACGCTTCCCATGAGTTTTACTTTTCGTCAATAGCAGAGGAGTACCTCATTGCGTTTACCAAGCTGCTGAAAGACATACAATAGCCACGTCGCACCCTAGACATGTATATGGTGTAATTATTCTACACTCGCTCAAGTCTACGCCGCCCAGGCATGGGCGCAACTCGCCGCGGGGGTGAGGTCTCGAAAAGGAGAGGTGAGGCGGGCATGGACTAGTCCGTACCCACGAGAACGGCCGAGCTAGGTCCAATGCTCCACCCAGAGCCCGACGCCGGGCTTCCCGAGCTGCTCCCATTCAGAAATGACGAAGTGAGCGCCGCCAAGCGGCTGCCCAAAGTGCTCTTCTCCTTTGGTGGGCTTAGACAGATAGCCGAGCTAACAGCGTCATGGACGACGGGCCGCTGCGGTCCGCGAATGGTGCTCTCGTCAACTTTACGTGGACGCCGGTTTTCGTGTGGTGGCGGATATCTGATCTCCTTGACCGGGCCCAGTTCGGGGCTGCTCGGCGGGTCGACGGGCACTCCGTCTTCGCATGGCCATGTCCCGTCCTTGATCCACCCGGCGCGCAGGATACGGATGACGAGCCCGAGCCTCAGACCCTTCGACAGCCGCTTAGATCCCGTGAGGCTGCGGTGCACGCTGCTGACGCCCCCATGCCAAGCGACAGCCGCGGGATCGTGCATGTCGTCCGATGGCGTGTTGAAGTTGGCAAGAAGCGCTTCAAGGCGCCCAACGGCGCTACTAGAGGAGGGGGCGTAGGGCACGGAGGGGGCGGGCGCTGGTGGCGGGGGGAGAGTGTATGTTGGTGGCGGGTTGTAGCTGGCTCGTGGAGGGGGAACGGCAGAAGTCGAGGCGGCGCCGGAGTTGGGCAGGGAGGCGGGTGAGGACGAGGACACGACGGGAAGCGGTGCGCCGGCGAGGAAGCAGGCGCGGCGATACTCGAAGAACTCGGGGCCTGGAGTCAGTCCGGAAGGAGCGGCTAGCGTACCTGTGCTCGGGACGGTAATCGAGGACGGGCCGGAGCCCGACCCGCCGCGCGACGAGGCTACCGAGCTTACGCTGGAGCCGTCGTCGGGTGGAGGTTGGAGAGCCATGGAACAAGACACCGAGGTGGAGCGGGTGACTTGAGGTGGAGAAGCGCGCCGGTGTCGGAGGCGGCGGAGGTGGCGCGAAGAGAGCAATTGTCGGAGAGTAGGTTTGTTGCGCAGCCGGTTCGGGACGGTCGCTTGGAGTTCTTATCAGACGAGGAATTACTTCCGCTCAGATCAACGTATTATATCTCTGGATACTCCCGTTATTCCCAAGCCTAATGCCATTAGAATGTAGGAGATGGACGATAACAGATTCGATTCACCGAACATCTCGAATCTCTCGACATCACCATGACGACGGCGGTGCGCGCGCTGCGCGCTACGGCATCCACAAGACGTGTCTTAAGCGTCTCCCGATCCCGATGCTTCTCCTATTCGGCCCCACACGCCGACTGGCCACACAACACACCCTCTCCCTCCCAGTTCGGGACGTACGCCGTCCTCTCGCCAGCGTCCGCCATGCAGGTGTATCCCGATCCTCGGCCAGTGCCCGAGTCCATACCCCGGCCGGCGTACGTCCCGTCAAACTACTTTACCGCGCCGATCTGGGAGCATCTACCAGGGGGAGAAGAAGTGGGGGCGGACGGCATCAAGCTGGGAAGTGATGAGGAGAAGGGGGTGCGTGCTGCTGGGAGGTTGGCAGGCGAAGTGCTGGCCGCTGTCGGCAAGGTCATTGAGGTGAGTTGGATGAGCCGTACACTCTGAGATAAGGCAGAGGGGTTTGACGTCCTCGATCTGCTACCATAAAGCCGCCACTTACACTAGCCGGGCATGACGACGGATGACATTGATGCCGTCGTGCACGAGATGGCTGTCAAGCACGGCGCGTATCCCTCTCCACTAGGTTACTCGCACTTTCCGCGAAGCTGCACCACCAGCGTCAACAATGTCATCGCACGTGAGCCCGGAGCGTGGGTTGTGTTAGCTGACAGAAGATGGCATCCCAGATAGGTGGAGCTTATGCGACCGTGATGGTCACTAATGCTAGCCGGCCCCTTTTAGCCACCGATATTGTCAACGTCGACATCACGCTCTACTATAACGGGTTTCACGGAGACACATCCGCAACATTCGTCCTCCCTGCAGCGGATGCCCCGGGCCGGGAGCTAGTGCGCGTGACGCGGGAGTCACTTGAGCTTGCCATCGACGTGTGCGGGCCTGGCAAGAGCTATGCCAGCATCGGGAGGGTCATTGAGTGAGCGTCACCCGCCTCCCGGCTGACGGCAGGGAGCACGCGCGCAAGCATGGGATGAGCGTCAACACCCAGTTCGTAGGGCACGGTATCGGGCGCAAGTTTCACGCTTATCCACATATTCTGCATCACAGTCAGTCGAGATGCGAGCGCGCGCTGATGACAGAGAATCACGAACGGGCGCTCATGAAGCCTGGCGACTGCTTCACGATCGAGCCACCACTGGTACAGGGCTCGCGGCCGCGAGGCGGACTGTGGGATGACGGATGGACTGTGGCAACCGATGTAAGCTCACTCAGTTCCATGGGCTCACCGCAGACCGGAGCGAGGTCCGCCCAGTTTGAGCATCAAATCCTCATCACCGAGACAGGTGCCGATGTGCTAACTCGGGTCACTTGAACACGACACACACCACGGGTCAATTACCGACAACTTCAGAACGATTGTTCACGCTGACGACGATCAGCAGGCCCGATACACATTCCTAAGCTGCTGCAGTGCAATTGAGGTCTGGTGTCTGCACTCGTCTGCACTGGTCAGGCTCACACGCGTGACTCGATTTCAGACATGCACATCTACGCAGAAGTTTCCAGCTTCGTCAACTACAATTGGTGGCTTCTGTCGTTCCCGCTAACGCCCCTCCATGAGTGGAGACCACACCGCGCCAACAGCACGGGGTCCCAGTGGTCGCGGTCCCCGCGAGCGTATGGTATTGGGATTACTTACCCGGTGCCACGGCTCCCACGCTGTCTGTGGAGCCGAGGCGGGCTCGTCGTCGTCGTCGCTCTCCGAGTCGCTGAACTCGAACTTTTTACTAGGTCTCGCGCCGCCCGCGCCGATGGGCCGCACGCCGTGGACTTTGAAGCTCGGGTCGAGTTCGGGGCAGACCCATATAAGGGTGGAAGGGGCTTGTGACGAGAGTTGCGGCGGATAGGGGTGTTCGTGAGACGGCGGCGGACCGGCGCCGTCGGCGTGCCGCACGGCAAGGACGCGGAAGCTAGGGTCCAGCACGGGCTCGATCCATATGACGCCGGAGTTCTCCCAGATGCCCCGCGGCGAGACGTAGGTTTCTGAGTCCGATTCAGATGCGCGGGAGAATGGCATGCAGAGCCAGTCGAGGACGGAGAGGACGATGTGGAGGATTGTCATCTCGAAGGAGTGTGGAGCAGCACGAGAGAGTGGAGTCGAGTAAGTGCGCCGCTGAGGTGGGGAGAAGGAGGGTGTTGTGCGCGTTGAGAACAGTGTCTGCGGCTGCGGGGCTATGGGCAATGGGCAATGCAGAGGCGAAGTGTAGTTGCCAGACAATGATCAGCGTGCTCGAGACGTCATGAAGCGGTGCTCGTCGCCCTGAGGTGCCTGAGAACCACCGAGTTCCTCGGCGCATTCAGACTTGACGGTCCGGGCGCGGCGCACGCCAACGACCTTGGGGAGGAGCCGGATGGGTTGTGGCGCCAGGAGCTTGCATTGAGTGATGATACGAATCTGCGGGGACTGAAAGGAAGTGCGATGCGTCCACGGTTAAGGCGATGTCTTGGGACGCGTAACCCAGTGCTTCAAGACGCTGCGTTGTAGACCTAGTGGACACTCGGATGCACGTGCACGCGTCGCGACCTCCTTGGCTCGACATCGTCCATTGCGGGGCCCAGCTGAGCGCCCAACGAACCCAGCGATAAGCAGCCGCAGGGGGCGGGGTAGGTTTGGACGACCTGTACGCCGTGGGGTGTTTCTGAATTCGCTTTCAACAAGAGGAGCATCGCTGTGGGTCTGTGTGGTCATTCTACGGGTTGACCAAAGTCGGGGGCTGTGCAGTGTCAGCGGCTCGTGACTACTTGGTGTGCACTGCTTTGCAGCATACCAGGCATTTGGAACACCATTGCGTGCATTTCATTCTGAGAGTAGGCGAGGCAGGACAGTGGTGGTGTAGAGAAAATCGGCTGTCGCCTCCTAGACTCTCTACTGACAGAGGGCTCGGCTGGCTGTCTTACTAGGGGAGCACCCGTGCGACACAATGGGGAGGACAGCTGTTCATCTCCTACTAGCCCACGTTCCCAACCGCGCATCCCGTTGTCTCTCTCAACGACTATGGCACGGTTGCCGTCGGCATCCAGACCAGCTACCTCAGTACGCGCCCAGCCTCTAAGCCCAAACTCCGCCTCTCTCCCCGACAGTCTCACTCGCCTGTTCGTCTTCCGTGGTTGAGCCGTGCGCGTTCTTCCGATGTCTGGTGTATGTTGCCGTCGTCTAGCCGTGGGTGTATAGATAGAATGAGCCGACGCCATGCACAGTGGTGCACGCCGCTGGCAGTGGTGGGTTTGCGAGTGAAGCGGATGATCGAAACGCCAATACCCTATGTCCCGATCGAGTCGGACTCAGTCCGACCAGCCATTTGCTCCCGCTTCGATCCCAGGTCGCCTCCACCGCCGCGTCATCGCGTCATGCCCTTGCTTTTCCTCCACAGTGGAGGCAGAATGATGGGATCCCTCACGTAGTCATGCTTGTTAGGGTTGGCGGAATCGACAGGCCCTGAATTGATCCTCCACTGCTGCCACTGGCTCTGCCGCATCTGAGAGAGTGATCTCTGCTCCCTCTGAACAAGGCGAATGTGGCCGGCTGATGCAAGGCCCTAGTTCGGTTGAAGCAACGCAAGACAGTTCAATCCTCAGTCTTCACCTCCGTCGACACTTGCTCACAAAATGGAGGCACCAGCGACACGGGACGAAAAGATGGTGACAATTGTTACATGAACCGCCTACAAACTAGAGGAGAGAATGTGCATATGTGCAACCATCGTCCATGCACGCGACCGTAGGAGCAACTGGAGGCCGCGCGCGCAGTGACGCAGTTGCAGATGCGATGTAGCACGCAGCACCGCCTGCGGAAAGCTGTTCTAGGGAAGGCTAAGCTGGTCAGCTGAAGCGCCTTTCTGTAGTGGGTTGGGCAAATCCTTACCTTACGGATTTCTAGGACGAAAGTTAAGCCTCAGAACCACCACATGAATTACAGATTATGACCTCAGTGAAAAAAAGGAAGATCGCAAAGTCTTCAAGAGAGAGACAATGGCCACGGTTTAGAGCCATGAATAAGATGAATCGGAACGCAATGAGCGCAAGGAGAGCGAGGATGAAGGTGCCCCCAATAGCGATGCCCGCAATGGCACCGGGAGACAGCGACATGATACGCGAGGACGGAGGGGGGTAGTGAGGGTGGTTCGTGGAGCAGTAGGCGTCGTGTTCAACAGGCAAAAGTAGTGAGGCGGTGACGGTCTTGGGATGTGGGAGGATGAGGAATCGTTGAAACGAAGGGCAAGGTGATGGGGGGAGTGAGGAAGGAAGATGGTGCATGTTCCGCTGCATTTGATGTAGTGCATGTGGGGGAAGGTGGGTGATGGCTGGCTTCGTCAGCTTGTGATGCAAAGCTGAGAAGATAGGGGCTCGCAACGTGGCCAGGTGCGAACCATCACTCACACCAGTCGCAGTGTTGATGGATGGTCACTGTCGGATCATACTGCAGCTAAAATTTCTCGCCAAGTACCACCCAGAAGTACCACACGATGAGGAGCGCGACGGCGGTCAGCGTCCAGATGACCAAGATTACGACCATGGCCACTTCCTTGAGGGTGCGGTGCCAAGAAGGGAGCGGGGAGGACGGTTCGACGTCGGAATGAGATGGCATGGTGAGGTAATAGGACAGAGGGATGAGGTTGTTGGGGTGATACAATCTTAGGTTGAGGACGTTGGGAAAGACAGGGGAGGTGGTTGAAAGCAGAGGTAGAGGGAACGCGAAAGAAACCGTGTTAAGTAGTTTGCCTCTGATATTGGTGTCGCGATCCCGAGAGACAGAGGGAACTAGATGTGGCACATTCACCCTTGCAGCACACGTTTGACAAAATGATCACTTCGCAACGGCATATCGTGTGAGAGGATGACAAATACCCGAATACCATGTTAATGCGAGGCATCCAGGAGAATGCAGTCAAGTTCACTGGCTCAAAGACGACTTTTGCGTTGCGTCAACAGAGATAATGGAGACAGAGGACCGTATCGGTGCAGTTAGAAAGGGGCAAGCGATTGTGAAAAAAAACCATAATGTGTACATAAGCATTTATGTCGGGTCGGTGAACATATGGTGGAGGTTGAGGGAGATGGTCTGCGGCAGCATTAGCTTTGACTCTCGATGTGGATCGGATCAACCGAAGCCCTCATTGCTTGCTTACCAAAGGTTGATGCTTGCACTGTCATCCAACCGCCTTTGTCGCAGTCACGACGGATGGCAAAGGTGCAGATGGTTTTAACTTGATAAGCGCCTTGACGATGGCGTCCACTGGGAGGAAGCACAGGTACGCGAGTACAGCGCCTCCGCAAGCGAACATGATAATGATCAGAAAGCTCAAGACGAAGGCCCTGAAAATCTGGTACCCAGTGGCGTTGGGAGGAGGGAGGATATCGGAGTTCATGTCGACTGGTTTGGCAGTGGAGGTGATGGGAAAGCGGTGGTGAAGAGAATCGAGGGGGTGGCAAAGAGAAGGTGTAATATGGTTGAGGCAGGGACAGCAGTGATGGCATAGGTGTGTAGAGTGAGAGCGAAAGATTCGAAGGGCAAGTGGAGACGTCACGGCGAGGGCAAATGTTTTCATTCAGCGAGGTCGCACTCTCATCAGTACCAGGAGAGGTCCTGTCTGCAAAACGGCGCGACGCATAGAGTCACAAAGGAAGGCAACCTGACTTACATATACACTTCATGATACCCACGGGGCCACAGTGACACACACGACGGCTACAGCTTAATAAGGGTGAGTGCGAGTGCGAGTGCGAGAGCAAATGCAAGCAGCCGAAGGGGAAACGAGACAAGGCAGGACACAATGGAGGTGCGGAAGTTTGAGAGCGTGATCAAACCGCAGGCTGATGTCAGCCTGTGCAGCAAAAACCCCTACTTTAGTGTCCCACAGGCGCTTCGTCACGCTCGTTGGCCGCTGCCCGGTCGGCGCGTCGCTGCTCGCGAGTCCAGTACAGAACTATACCGCCGATTACGACACCGAGAGCTGCACATCCCAGGAAAAGCGGACACATAAATATGCCCACCGCGATGAATACATCCTTGACAGAGCCTTTGGGGCGAGGAAGGTTGGAGGGAGTGAGGGAATCGTGGTTTGTGGGCTTTGGGCGCGAGTGGCCCATGGTCGAGTTGGGAACACGGGCGAAGGACAGGACGGTGGCCGGCAGAAGGGCTGGGTCAGAGAAATGAGTGCTTGCTGGGGTGGCTCGTGCGTGAAAGCGGTGGGGACAAGGGTGAATTGGACGGGAGAAGAGGTTGAGTTTGGAAAAGATCAGAGTAGTACAAGACAGTAACGATGTGATGACAGAGGACAGTAGTTCGCGAGATCTCGAGGAGGTGCTCGAGATGATGAATGAAGCAGGGAAGGCAGACACGATTAATCAGGTCCCACGCGAGTTAGTCCATGGCAACTTCCTCATGGTTCAACACCTCGCCATCAGATTAACTAGATCGCATAATGCTGCGGCCTCACTGCTGCATGTAATCAGCGTTGTAGAGTCCCACAGCCGTCAGGGGGCACCTTTATCAGTGCAGCTCTCTACGCGGCGTTTTGCAGATCAATGCATGTGCCAACTCCATATTCGCAGGTGTATCTTGATCATATCCCTCAGTGTCAGCCCTATTAGCCGGGTTCCACTCCATTTCAGAAGCAATGAGGGAGTCAAAGCGGAACGGACTCAGAACAGAAGGTGCCGTGCGGATCTTTCGGCCTGTCTAACAGGTCCACAGGCAACATGGAATCGTGTAGGACGTTGCGCTTGTGTACTGTACGGACCTTGCACTCACACAGAGCTGCGAACTTCCTTAGACCGCCGGCAAGATTGAATAACGCCCCGCCGCCTTTCATCGTTGTTGCTCATGGCGCGGAACAGGGAACACGCAGAACATGCACGTAATGTACAGAGCGCCAACGAGCAGTGCGCCGCCGATAATCGCGCCCATGACGATGCCAGCGACGGCGCCGGGTGAGAGGCCCATTGTGGGGAATACTGGAGGTGGCGGTGATGACTTTGCAGGTGTAGAGATTAAGCCTATTAAGCACTTCACGGCGACTGGAGGGATCTAGTCTGGAAGCACAGTCCACGTACGTCATGGTACTGTAGCCGTACAGAGTTGGACCTTGTTAAGCGGCACTCGCCGGGAGGACGCGTCGGGCGCGTCGCCAGTCGGAGATGGCGCATACTCCCCAGACAATCCCGGCAATGAGGTAGGTGCCGCTGAGAAGGGCAGAGGCGACACCGACGACGATGGAGAAGATGACACCAATGGTGATCTCGGGCATGGACGAGTGGGCGGACTGTGTGGCAAGTTGCTACACGATGGCGAAACAATCATTTGTGCACCGCCTTGAGGCGCATCCTTGCTCGGTACCGCCAAGTCCATTTCAAGACGCAGGGCTTCACATCCGCCGCGGCCAGCCTCCCTGTTGGCGCGCAGCCCACGGTATCGCTGCAAAACCCCCTTGACACCCCATACTACTCCAACCAGCGCGTAGGTGTGTGCGAGGAATGCGGCCGCCAAAGCAAGGAGGGCATTAATGGTCCACTGAATTGTAGCCATCGTCTGGGGATGGGAGGTGGGAGTTGATGATACCGCGCTGGAGAGGCAATGGCGACGGTGATGGTGACAGCGCTGGCCGTGTCGTGACGGCTGAAGAAGTCTTCCACGGGGGGACGGGAGCGAAGGCGGGGATGGCTTCAGGCACTCAGGCGCGTCGAGGTTGCCACTCACACGCGTGGAACTGCGACTACAGTACTTCTGAGCTTGCAATGACGATGACGATGGGTACGACGTCGACGGAGGCGGTGTCCGTTGTTGGGCAACTTCTGTCGTAGTCTGTTTCAAGCCGTGTCCCACATTCTCCACCACTCTTCCACCCGGCCCCGGCAAGCCAAGCACAGATTCCTCACCCAAACACCGCACACCATGCACTCGAAAGCTGGGATCGAGCTCTGGCTCGCACCCGATGACACCCTCTTTGTAATTCCAAATGCGGTTGGGTTGCCGACGGGAGCGGGCGAGGTGTGCGTGTCGGCGGATAGCGCTCTCCAGGAGAGCCCAAAGACAGAGCGCAAGGAGGAGGACCGCGGGGGCGATGGAGCCAAGGACGATGCTGGCGATGGATCCTGGAGAGAGCATATCACGGTGTTGGGGAAGGTGGTGGTGGATGAGAATGAAGAGGAGTCATAACCGCGAATGATCGGATGGCGGTCTAGGCAACGCATCACCCGCTCCCTATCGAGGAGCGTGCGCGCAGGTACCACCATTCGCCTTTTCAGCCAGGCTTCGTGTTACTCGTCGGTGGCCGTGTCGACCGCCGTGGTGCGAGGGCGGCGATTTGGCGATCGAACTGCGACTCATGTTCGAGCTTGCGAAAGTAGCGGATGAAGTAGGCGAGAATGAGGACGACGAGGAGGACAATCGTTGCGCCAATGACGATGCCGGCGATTGCGACTTTCGAAAGCTTTGTGGGAGACATCTCCAGAGATGAAGAGAGGTGAGGAGAGGTGAAGAGAGATTCGAAGCGCAGGGTTGGAGGTGACGAGGAAGAGTCGCGAGTGAAGCACGTCGTGGAGTGAAATCTACCGCCAATGCGTCCTACGCGCATTCCACAGATCTGTAGCCCTCCACGCCGTCCTCTCTTCTCGCGCTCTCTATGCCCTCAAGCTCTCAGCGACTCGACGCCTCTGCTCAGCCTGCTCGATCTGCTCCTCAGGAGCGTATGCATGCCGCCTCCAATCAACCTTGAATCGCCTGCAATACTCTACGTTCTGACCCAGGTATTGTCTACGAGCGTACCCCATGTCAACCCGTCATCCCTTCTAGCCCCTGCGCGCCCCCCCCTGCGCCGCCGCCGAGAAGGAGGGCGCATCGGGAAACATGGAGAGGAGGTGCGTCGTCCCGAATTCGTCCTGGAACGAGAATGGCTCGAGGTGTACATCGTCGGAGATGAGGCGTACGTTGCGTGGGCGGCGGCGCCGCCGGCGCCTCCAGAGGATCACTCCGATTAGCGCGAGCATGCCGGCTGTGACGAGGGCGGCGATCGTGCCCACGAGAGCTTTGGTAGCGTTTGAAGGGGCACCCGTACCGGACTCGAGGGAAGGCGTGGTGGAAGCGCTCGGCGTGGTAGGACTTGGTGACGTGGCCCGGGGCGGATCTGGTGGAATGAGTGGGAGCGGCGAGGTGGACTGTAGTCCCGACTGCGACAAGAGCGACAAGAGCGACGAGGGCAAGGGCAGCAGCGGGGACGACTGAGAGTCATGGACGAAAGAGTCAGAGAAGGGCTCGTTGGTGGGAGGCGCGGAGACTCCGCTGGTAAGCGACGGGTCCATCGTGCTTGGCTTTCCGTTGAGACTGAAGGGTGGACGAATGTCGAGAATGACGCAGATGAGTGAATGGTCTTAACAGCTCATGCTGGAGCGTTGCACGCGTTGCAGGGGATCAAGATGAGTCTGCTGGTGGCTGCGCCCACAGAGCCGAGATTGATCCGCCCTCCTCTTCCGTCACGCACGCTGAGGTCCGGATGCTGGACGCTGGATCGCTGATCGCTGAGCCGCGCCGACGGAAGCCTGGAGCGTGGCCACTGTGAAGCGGACAGCACTCAAGGAGTTGAGATTTCTTCGCGGCGAGCTTTTGTTCGGTGCGCCCAATACGAGCCTGAAGCACGCGTCTTTGCGATCTTTGCGCGCCATCAGGCCGAGCCACGCGAGCCAGCATCGTGCTGGTACGGTGCGTTAGTCGCCTGGTCACAAAGCCAAGTCCGGTTCACTTTGAATGAAATACAAGCATATTATGATTCCCATACGGCGTCGCGACGCAGGCGAAACACGCCGAAGGTGCCCGACATCAGTCGAGAAGAGGCTCGAAATCAGTCGCGTCGCCTCTGCCCCACGTGCCGCGCCTCACACCGCGGGCCTATTCCTCGGCTCAGTTCAAGGACTCATGCGCACGAGCCTCCTCCTCGGTGCCGAGCGGAGCCGCGCAGCCGTGGCCATGCGCCACGGTCATGTGGGTTGGTGCGCTCAGCGCATCGCGCTTCCCAACCGAAAAGCGAATTATAGTCGCAGATCTTGATATACAATGAACATAACACATACGCACCGCCCCATCTGCTCACGGACTCACGCGCGACAGGCCCCACGCCCCGCGCGCAGTCTCGCTCATCGCCGCTGCGCGTCTGACCAGGACGGGTCGTACATTGGCGGGAGGATTTCGGTGTTAGGCGCCGGTGACGGGACGGGGACGGATCCGGCGTCGACGGCGTGCTCAACCAAGGGGGCGGGTGCGGACGTGGGCGGCACTTTGGTAGGAGCGGGCACAGAATCCGCATAAGGTGAGGTGGAGGAGGCAGAAGGAGCGGAGAAGGAGCCGCTTGCCGGTGCATAGGACGAAGTGTAGCCGGACTGGTAGCCGCTGGTGAGGGAGGCCTCTCCGCTCGACAGCATGATGCCCTTGGGGTCATTGTTGTACGGCTGCGGCGGGTGCAACGGGGGGTGGGACAGCTGCGGGGTGGCAGGCTGGTACGGGTTGACTTGGTGGACCAACTGGTGCTCGTCGTCGATGAGGAAGTCGCGCTCGGTCATGGCCTTGCGGCGACGGCGGCAGCAGAAGATGAGGACGCCGAGAAGGACGAGGGCGAGGACACCGCCCACGACGCCACCGACGATGGCACCGATCGGCGCCCCGCCGCCAGGGGACGGCGGGACAGTCTCGTACACTGTCGTCGTGCCCGTGCGTACAGGCTGGCCGGTCACAGCCGACGGCTTCGTTGGCCGAGAAGTGATGCCGGCGCCGGTCGCGGTGGCGGCTGTGCCCGTAGTGGTGATGGCGAGGCCGTCGAGTAGGTCGCTGTACTGGGCCACAACCGAGTTGATGATCGACTGGTTTTCGGGGTCATTGAAGATGGACGAGTACAGGCTGTTGCCGAAGAGCACGCTCAACGAGGGGATGGCCATGATCGTCCCGTAGAAGTTGGTCGGGGAAGCTGGGGCTGGGGTTGTCATGGTGCTGGAGAGGGTCGGGGAGGAGTGGTCTAACGGAGGGAGCTGCGGCGTGCGCGAAGGAGAGAGGCCGCAAAGACGGCGTTTGCAAGGTCGAGAAGAGCCGACGGCGATGCGTCTGGTGGATTGTCAAACGGAGAGAGGATCGTTGATGCCTGCCGAGAACAAGCATGTTACTCCGCTCACCTGCAGACTTCCCCTTCAGGCCTTCAGGGCATAGCAGTCTCGTGGCACCACCACAACCCACACGCACTGGACCTCTCGGTACCTGAAGCGCGTACGCGCGTCTTGGCATCTGAGACAGTGCACGACGCGATCCGTTCATGCCAGCATGCCATATGGAGTCACCATGATGAGGGTGGCGCTGGCCAAATCTTCGACGACGAAGTATGCACTGCAAATCCCGGGTGGGCGGCGGTCGGACGCGACTCGTCTCATTTCAGGGCATGCTCGGCTCTGCCACTGCGGTCCCGACGCACTAGTGGAGGGTCTTCTTGGCATGCCCGCTCTCACATGTTTCGCCCAAGACCATGGATAGCCGTTCGCCTGCCGGTTGTGAGGGCATGTGCAAGACTTCCAATACCCAAGGGCCCTTTTGACTGCAAACTAGGTTAAGGTAGTGTGACCCAGACACTCTCACGTCTGTGGCGAACTGTGTGCCTGATGAATGGTGACGGACACGGAGGCAACCGAACTCGAACAGAAAATCGAAATGTTTGAGGACAGTCAGCTTGCTGCTTGCGAGCGGAGAGCAGCAGACGACAGAGCATTGCGGCTACTTTATTGCTCATCGTGTCGCCGCCGTGGACAGAGGATCGGAGCCTAATGCTGCAAGCCGAAAATGGTTCAAGATCACTTCACTCGTCTGGACTAGCGAGCAGTGCCTTATGCCGTAAGGTGTGCGAGATGGCGCCGACCTCAATGTAGAAGTGTGACAGTCACCAATGTACAACTCGAGGCTCAACTTATCGGGCATTGGATTGATTTCCTTTGGCTGCTGGTGTGAAGAGGGTCTCACACCCCGAGTTGGACGCCTGGTTCGGTCAACTCATTGGATCCTCATCGCTTGCTTCAAATCACAAGCTCGCCGGGCAAGAAGCGAAGAGCGGGTCCGCAAAACGAAGAGGAGTAGTGGCCTTTGCCGCGTTTGTGCGTTTGACCTCGCCCTTCAGCCCAGCTGCAGGTAAGAAGCTTAGCTGAGGATTCCTGCCTCTGCTGATCTTGAGCAAGGCTACTAGGGCGTCACCTCTCTCAGGACGGCCAGCTTGTCCCAAAGGACAGCTGCGCCGCATCACACGTGTACGCCAGTCATTGTCGGGTCCAGGTCGATCTCGACCACCTGGGGATCGCGATGCGGACGGCCTCATACCTCCAGAGTCAGTCGATGATCAGTGCGTCACGATGCAGAGCGTCACCGCCAATCGTCGCATACAAGCCCGTACAACCTGGTCGATCACCACGCCGAAGTGGGGTCCGGCTGCCCGTCTCGTGGTGGGTCTGGTTTCCGATACTCGACCTTGTCAACCTTGACCTGATATCAGCCCATGCCTTCACCCCAAGCTCACCTCGCCGTCCACAAGCTGGTACACATAAGTAACGATGACGGGTCCCTGCACATCCAACAAGGCGAAAGAAGGTGTCGAATCGCAGAGATTAGTTTAGAACACAATGATCAACTCACCCGTCAAGTCCACTCCATGCACCAGTCGCGCTCCCCGGGTTCACGAAAAAGCGGCCATCAAAATCGAATGCTTCAAATCTGTCGTCAGCTGCACACCGCCGTCAAAGCTCACCGGTGCGTGCCTCCGCTGATGAGCACATCGACATCCATCTGCCGCGCGAGGGCCGCAAGCATCTCGCGGTTGCCCGCTGGGACGACCTGCTGGCCGTGCACAACACCGATGCGGACGCTCTGATGAGGGATCGTGAGGGAGAGGGGGAAGTGCGAGTTCTGGCGTCAGTGAGGAAGGTGTTTGGTTGACTTACATCGTCAAACTCGCCGCGCACCACATGCAGTTCAGGCGCAATCGTGCGGAGGTAGTCAAGCGTCTCCTTGTCGCTCACGTTGCCGGTGCAGAGGATCTGTTGGATTTTGCCCGGGACCTGGGGTAAGCGCGCGCCTCGAGAAGGAGAGGTCCACATCGTTGCGTTCAAGCTGCGGCAGCACCGGCCCGCGAGTAGCGGAGGTTTGCACCTACCAGGAGCTTCTTGAACTTTGCGGGAAGGTCATGGGTGAGCGTAGGGATGTGGAGGTCCCCGATTACGAGCACGAGGACCATGATGGCGAGCGAGGGTGGGTTGATGGTCGCGAGATGCGAGATATCGAGCAACCGATCGACAACGTTGGGTGGCGTTGACGTCAAGGCCCGCGGAATCAAATACACGTGGTGTTGGTATTCTTATTGAGATTTGTAACGCCTTAACGTATTGAGTCATTAATACGGCGGTAATTCGAGGAGACAAGTGTCGCGCGCCGACAAGGCCACCACCACCGCAGAGTTAGACTGTACACACCCCCAACGTCATTTGAAGGCACTGGCTGCGTCTTGAACTCGTTCTGCTACATCGTCATCGGGCGACCTGTCGGACGGACCAAAAGTCAAACGCGTCGCGAGGCCGTGGAAACCGGAGCCGTGCCAAGGCTTCCAAGCTCGGCACGACGCGAGCCAGGTCCAACTTTGACGCTCTCAGATGGCTCGGCACCACTTAATACGACCTCAGCTCGATGGTTACTCGCGTGGGGAGTCGTCAATGTTGACACCTACTGTAGAACCAGGTACTAGCAGCGTTTTATCCTGGCCGCTGGCAGCTGCGGGGCTTGCCGGGCGGCCACCTGAACCGGACCAGAGCCTCTCAACCCTCCTTCAACCTTCGCCCACCCCTTCTGAATCTTCTCTCAAAACGCCCAAACTGGCCAGGCCTGCCACTCATCATCGTCTCTGCCCGCCGCTCCCGCTGACGCCCTCATACGACAGCCCCTCCAGGCCCTGTTTCCGCACCGGCAGCAGCCAGCGGCAGCCCACTGATGCGCAACGGCTCACAACTCAGCTGCCCACCACATGCTGGCCCGGGTACCCCCTTGAGTTTCAATCGTTGTGAGGCTTCCGAACCTTCGTCGAGTGTGGAGATCGACGGATCAGCGGAGGCTGAGACGGGGCAAGGACACGGGACCCCTGCGGTGTTGTGCTTCAGGAACCAGGAACAGGGGGCCAGCCACATCGGTTGGGTCGAGGTTGTAAACAAGACGCTCAAGCTGAGGCCAGTCGCCATCATCCTCGTCCTCAGCCAGACGAGAGCGCTGCGAACATGCATGTCTGCCCTGTAGGCGGATAGCAGGCGGTGGCCCATGTCAGCCAGCCAGCCAGATCCGGGATGGCGTAATGCTAAAGGGCAAGAAGCTCAGCGCCCCGCCAGGTCCCGGGGTGGGTTGTGTGGTGTTGTTGACGTTCTTGCGACGCTCGTTCTGTTGATACTCCTTGGCAGGCGAGCAAGCGAACCAGGTCTGTGTCTATAAACATCCTCTCCTTGGTTGTTGAGAGGCTGGTCGTTCACCCCGTCCATCGTCTCTTTCTTCTCTTCCTCTCTTCTATCTTCTCATCTTCTCATTTTCCCTCATCTCGACGCGTCCGATCTGGCTTGGTCACAACCATCGACAATCACTCCTTTTCGCGACACCCGACTTGCTTTCCTTCACCCTATCTAGGCGCTCCGTCTTACCCCACACCAGAATTCTTACACCTACCTCACTCTACTTTGCCACCATGACCCAATGGGGCGCCGGACGCATTGCGTGTGTTACCATCGCTGCCGTCCTCCTCGTCATTGTCATCGCCGGCACCGTTCTTTGCAAATACCACGGGCGGTTGGGCAAGCGCGTGCGGAAACAGCGTGACCTCGAACGCCGCTGCCGCTCTCTCGTCCGCAAAGAGCGGGATCTCGAAAGCAACAGCTCCGGCTCGGGCGATTTTTCGTGCTCCGGCTGCTCCGACAGCGAGTGCTGGGGGCGCATGATCCGCCGCGAACCTCAGTTTGGTGACACACTCGCTGTGCCTGCACTCTCTTACGACCCCGACCGCCTCAAGGCTGCACGGCCCAACGACAAGGAGCGCACTGGAAGCCTCAGCACCAAGCCCAGCATCGAAAGCTTCGACGAGAAGCTGGTCCAGGAGCGGCGGGTCAACGGCTGGTAGAGAAGAATAAGCCAGCATAGGGGCCATCCGATGTTGAACCACCACCACTCACGACGTGCCGACACGCCGACCCGGGAGAAGTGAGGTGCCACTAGGAATGTGGCAGCCACAGTGTGACTCCGGGATTGAGAAGGACAGCTGCACCCAAAACGCCACGGCCGAGGCATGAGGTGCCTGCTAGTTGAATTGTACCACTCAAAGTTGTATCCAATGTTCGCTGCTTTCCGACTCGGGGGCTTCCAGTTGCTGCAACATGCGGCAGGAGTCAGCAAATATTGTCGCTGCCTAAGTGAACGAGCGGGTTGGAAGTGCAAACATGCAATGATGCGCTCACGTGTTGGCCATGCGCTCTTCGCTGTGTGGAGCTACACGGAACGACTAAGGCACGCAGATCCGCAGGGTGAGGAGGCGGAGTGCGGGGCGAGTGCGGGGCGGGCATCCTCTCTCCCTGGGTAGATCCGCGCTCACGACGTCATCGTTCGGCCTTGTCGATCCACATGTCACTGCCATCTCAGCAGATGTTCTATCCTCGCCACCTCCTCGCGCTCTCCGCTCCTGCTGCTCGTCTTTCTCGTCGCAGCAGGGCACCGAGACGTCGGCTGTGCTATTCGGAGATTCAACGTCAAAGGCACGCCCATACCCTTGCATCCGAGCGAGCAGAGCGGAACGATGCGGCCCCGCTTGCAGCATGACATCAGCCCCACGCGTGTACGTACGTCTCACTGACTTTTGCGCAGCATCATGAGCACCGTAAGTCGTATTGCCGTCGAGGAATAGATAGCTCACATGCGTCTGACGTTCGCTATCATCATTGCTTCGGCCATTCTCACGTTCACCATCGCCACATCTCTTTCGCCACCTCTCATAATGAACGGCCCAGAAGCACCAAGAGCAACCGTCACGCTTGTGCCTGCTCACGTCAACCGCCAGTGGCCTGAACTCATCACCTCGTTGCTGGCCCAGCCGGCCGTCTCCTCCCTCGTTCAAGGCGCCGGGGAGGGCCTTTCGTCCATCTTCAACCGGCCTGACGTGAACAGTGTTGGGAATTCGATCATTTCCGTGATCACCGCCGGGGCGCAGGAGACACAATCCACACAAGCCACGTCCACGGCAGCGCCTGAGTCGTCCGTGAATCCGCCGTCTGGGACGCCCTCGCTATCCCCTACTCCCTCGACAGCTCAAGCAGCAAGTGGCGGCTCTAAACCAAACGTCGCGGCAATCGCTGGTGGCGTAGTGGGCGGTGTCCTCGGCCTGGCCATAATTGCAGCCCTCCTCTTCCTCTGCCTTTGGTGTCGCCGGCGCCGACGCAAAGAGCCAAAGCGTGACCACGCTTTGCTCTTCGAGAACGAGGGCTTCGTCGGGGCAGAGGGCACGCCTGGCCTCGTCGACCCTTACGCCCGATCCTCCCTCTCCTCTCCGGTCACCTCATCCTTCGCCTCAGCGCGCAACCGCCCCTCCCTCACCTCCGGCAGCTCGCATGATGTCTATCACACACCATCGCCGATCACCAAAGGCCAGCCACAGATGCCTATCGTCCCCGCCCCACCGCTCACAAATTCACACGCTAGCATCCCCACCATCGCCACAGGTGCTGGCACGTTCGGCCCGCGCCGCAGCACGGACAGCGAGTTCGGGGTCCACCGCACGAGCTCGACCGCCTCACGCCCGCTCCCTGCCGTCCCGCTCTCGCGGAACGCCACGCTCAGCAGATCACAGAACGACCTGCATCGCGCCGCACTCCAGCGTTCACATACCGACCTTCATCGCCACAGTACGCTGTCGCACTCTGATGTCCATGTGCCCATGGACCCAGGATACCGTCACCTCACGCCATATCCGGAAGAGTCGCCCATGGGTGAGCGACCGCCACACATGGTGGAACACGCAGTCGACGCTGGGTCACTGGGAAGGAAGGAGGTGCTTCCGCCGATGTACAATCCGACATGGTACGAGCAAAGGTAGTGCATAACATCATAAATTATGAATTTTACTAGTGGAAAGCGAATGGAGGAGGGCCGGAGTGGTGATCCTCGTAGGGCTCTCGTCGCACCCGCCTTCACACAGTTTACTGATCCCCATCCATCAAGACGCCAGCCAGAACTCGTTCCAGCCTTCCGGTACACATACAGCAAACCTCATGGCTCACAACGTCACCAGCGCCATACAATTGTCGCCCCTTAGAACGATGAGTGAGTCGATGTGGACGCGGTGGGTCTTCGCACATCGTACGGGGCGATCGTAAGGGGCGATCGTAAGGGTGCGACTTCGACTGTGGACAACATTTGCATTTGACGTGAGGCGCTCCTGTGACACCACGCAAGGGATGCGGGCACTGCCTTGTGTCGATGACACTTGCACGATGCTGCACATCCAGATCGACCTCGAACAACCTGGAGTGTCCTAAGTGAGGTCAGTTGATCCCACTCGCTCTTTGGGAGCGACGCTCTACCTTCCCGCTCCGCTTCACATGCCGTGTCACGGCCTGAACCGAGGCTAGATCTAGCTGAAGTAGAACTGCTATTAGGACCATCAGCCCTAATATTGTACCTTTTAGTGATACGGTTTAAAGCGTTCAACTCCGTTCCTCACATGCCGCCTTGCTACCTTGTCAAATGGCTACATAAGGGGAGCTGCCCCTCTGTACTTGGTAAATTATCTGCATTGTACCCCTCATACATCTTCTTCATACGTCTCTGTACATATCCTCTGCCATTCCTTCACGGATTATCATTGTACTCTCACATACAACACTATCAAGACTTGTCCATGCTCGCTCAAGCAATTCGACCTCATGTACCACCTCCCGTCGGTACGCTCGCTCACGCACGAACGACATATCCAGCAGTATGTTGTGACACCACGGGAGCATGCGAGACTGCCGCTTCACACAAACTCACCTAGCTCCTGCCAAATAGCCACATCGCCGTCGACCTCGGGTTGATGACCTCGTCTTGACGATGTGACAAGCGAAAACGGCGTCTGACTGGCTTTAATCCGAGCCAGGTCAGACGAGCTAGGACTCGAATCCAGGGTTGCCCCGTTGCTCTTCTCCTCGAAGACCGTAGGGAGAATCGAGGGGACGCACTTGCTCAGTCGGAGGTCTTGAGCAAGTGCCTGGATACGAGGGAAGGAGCCTAAAACATTGGAGTCGAACACCACCGCTGTCAACCCCGCCTGGATGGCGGAACTAATGTGGTTAGGCAGCGGTGGTGTCGGGAGCTCCTCGGTCCATGCGTCCCGCTGGGCCGAGATGGCCAGCCCCGGGCTGAGGCGCGAATACGCCAGGTGCAAGGGTTCGGTCGTTGTGAATTCCGATGTCGGCTTGCAAGCCATTGAGGGTGAGATTGCGCAACGCGGCGACGTTTGTTTCCCGGCCTGTTGCTTGTTGTGAAAGAATACCGGAGTGACGCCGTACTGGTCCAGGTCGACGGTGAGGGCCTTGAGCTCGGGCACCTCCCTCATCGCCATGGCCGACGGGTCGGCGATGCCGACTTTCTTGCACGTCAGCGCTAGCTGGATACCAGGCGATTACGACTCATACCTGCCATTGAATGCCAGCCCCGTCAAAAGCTACCTGGAGGAGGTTGCGACTGGCCCTAGCGGCCGCATAAAATATGCTCTGGCAGTCCTCGTACAGCCTGTTGGGCTTCCTTGAAAGAGTTCGAAGATCAACGAGGCCAGTGTACGTCCCTGACCTCGCTTGCCGGCTCGCCTGTTTTTCGTCAGACGCTCAGCCAAGTAGATTTGCTACGCCGGGAAGAGGTGTGTGTCTAGCTGACATTGATCAAGTTCCGCATCCAACCTTGTGGGGAAACAGCTCAGCTATGAGTACATGAGCATACATACGGTTGCTTGAGCAACATCTTGTGAATGCTATCGTAATAAGCGGGATTGAATATCGCCCCCTGCCATCACCTTACTCGCTGTCGACCTTTTTTTTTATTCGGTCTACCGGACGTATATTTGACTTGACCCACGGAAACACACGCAGAAATTCCTGGGAGTTGTTCAAACTTATAATTTTGCGCCGGTTCACAGTTGTCTGCCACATTCCGTCCACCACCTTCTTCATGATCCACTCATCTGTGTACCGCTCGTCCCTGTCCATGATCTCGCGGAGCCTGTATTTTTGCCAGACAGATCCAGGCGCGTCTGCGAGAATTGAGTTTGGGTGGCGATTGTCGTACATCCACGAGACAAGGGAATGGAGCAGACAAGGGGTTCAGCTCTGAGTCCGTCGCAGAAGGGCGAGACGTAATCGGTCTGCGGCAAGGTTAAGACGCAGAAATGAGCGTGAGATGGGGACGGGGGAGGTCAGCTGAGTCCCCGACAAACAAGGAGGGGTGAACGTACCAGGACGAGGGGTTGTCCATACTCTTGTCAGTAATGGCACCCGGGAGGCTGCAGGAGGGACACAAGACGAGAAAGGTGCTCATTTTCTGCAGCGATGGGTTGGGAAACCATTTGCGTAATGACAGAAGTGAGAGAGCCATAAAAGCTCCGGCTGGATTTAGCAAAGCTAACAATGAGGAGGAGCGTTATCACCCCGTATCCATCCAATTATCACGCTTATCACGCGAAAAATGCGCAATCCATCCCCAAGGCGATCAGTGGTGATTAGGTCGTCGGCGCTCCCGTCTTAATCGAGGTCCATATTTATAAGATCAAGGCTATCTGAAGGCTTCAGTGACAAGACAAAGGTAGACCTGAACATTGTTGACTGCGAATACCCATCAACCGACAAACTCGATCGCTTTAAAAGTTTGTGAGTTCCCACTTGTTGATGTCTCGGACAGGGAGGGAGTGAATCAAGTTGAGTAGATGGTAAGAGGAGCGGATTAAGGGCAAGGATTGGATGGATTGCAAGTGACATGCATCGTATGTGTACGGCACGGAGTGACCTGCGTGCTTGGTGATGGTGTGGTGATTGCGGTCGGTGAAGTATGAGTTGGGTGGCAATTGTTCATCTGAGACACATATGATGCCACGTGGATCAGCATAACGACGGTTTTCGGCATGTCGGGATTTCGGTATCTTCCTCCCCATCCCGGTTCCATTTCCGTTATCGGCCATGTCCGTCGTCTCCCGTCATCCTCATCCCCGTCCGCCCACACCACCCACCTCGTACTTCAGTACGCGATGCGATGTGATACCCCCCCATCTCCAGCCCTCGCAAACTCTCATCACAATGTCAGACAGGCCTCACCGTATCACTCCGTCGCGCGCGCCTTCAATCTATCCTCCCTCCCCTATAACCCCGCCCCACTTCCTCGCCCTCGCGCCGCACCCAAACAACGCCGCGCCCTCTGCTCCTCCGCGACCCACTCTGCCGCCTCCGCCCCCTGGGTGGTCACGGAGCTTTCATGCTGTCCCTGCAGCGTACCCAAAGCAGCTGCGTGAGAGCCACGGGACGCTGAGCCGCGAGTCCGAGCCGTTCGGAAACACATGCCCCATCCCCGGCGAGTCCAAGGCCGAACGTAAGGTGCGCGTTGACGGCGCCGTTGGCGCTGCAGTGCTTGCGCGTCTTGACGCGACCGAGTGGACACTCGAGGAGGGCCTTCAGGCTGCACCGGCAGGTTTGTTCATGGCTGTGGAACGCTGGACCAGGGATAAGCCCGTCGGCGGACATACGCTTGTGTGCACACATCCCAATGGGACGCAGAAGGAGGTTCGTTGTTGTCACAACTCATTGACTGACGCAAGCACTGGCACCCAACGCTGCGCCGAATTTTGGCATCGGATGCCCCACCTCAGGCTTTCGGCACCGGAGAGCCCCTGCCGGCCGCGCCAGTGCTCATCGACGACATCTGGCTGCTCGATCACTGGAATCATGGCTCGTCTGTCGATCTGAACGAGGGCCGGCTCGGTTGTGCTGAGGTGTGGGATGACGTGGGCCGGGACATCCTCAATTTCATCCTGCACGTGCTGCCGACCGCAAAGAAGGCAGCGCCGACCGCGCTGCCATGGCAGCTCCCGTGGGCGGCCGAAGGCGCCGCCCCGCCCATCAAAGTGATGGGCCTCGGCGGCTCGTACGGCGGCCTGGGGCATGTCATGGCGGCGCACGCAAGGCCCGACGCGTATCACGGCGTCTTTTTGGCCGATTCGCTGATCCAGCCCCGCGCGATGGACCGTGTCGAGATCGGCGCCGAGAACGAGGAGGATGTTGGCACGTCGCGCGTGCGCGGGGCGATGAAGCGGCGCGACGCATGGTCCTCGCGCGCAGAAGCGAGCCGCACGTGGCTCAAGAACCCCTTCTACGCAGCCTGGCATCCCGAGGTATTCGAACTCACACTGTCGCACGGGCTGGTGCGCGCGAATGCGTACGGCACCGACAGGGAGGGCAATCCGAACACTGACGATGCGCCAGTCGTGCTAGCCACCCCGACGTGGGCCGAGGCATCGGTGTTCATCGAACCCAAAAGCTCCGGCAGGACGTGGGACATGCTCCCACAGCTCAAGGTGCCTGTCGCATTCCTGGTCGCGCAAAACCGCTTCCCTCGCACGCTGCAGCGCGATATGGTGTGGCGTGCGCCGCTTGCGCGCAATGAGGAACTGCCGTCGACGGGACACCTGTGTCTCCAGGAGAACCCGCCTGCTGTCGCCGAAGCGGCGGTAAGATTTTTCCAGACGCTGGCAGCGGGCCGATGGGGAACCGCGGAGAGTATCCGGGCGACGTACGAGGCGCTGGAGGGCAAGGCAAAGCTGTAGGCTAAAATCATGGGAACGATGCGCACAGCTTCGGGGCGCTTCTGCATAAGCCCTCTGACGACGACTGACGTTCACTACTAATTTAACCCCTTATCACAGACGCCTAAAGAAGCCTGCAGAGTTTCCATCCTCTCCACCATCATGACCGCCCTCCCCCTCGACGGGCACCACCCCATCCCCCACCCCACAATTACAGTTGTCGTCGAGTCCCGTCCACGCTTCTCGCACCCCATTGTCGTCACGGCGCTCGTCTTCGGCATCCTCAGCTTTCTCCTCGCGATTGGCCTCCTCATCTGGTTCTTCCGCTACCGGCGGGCACTGGGTCGGGGCTCGCGCCGCGCCTCGCGCGACGCCCGCGAGTATCCGCGCTGAACGCGTGGGGCGGGGATCAGCCCGTCTACATGGTCGGTTGTATCGGTCCATAGTGCGCCCGGGCGCTCCCGCCCCGATGCCACTGCCGTGCCGACCCCGAGTCGATACTCACGACTAAAACCGCGGTCAACTTACTACTGACCCGCCACACACCATGGAGACACCGCTGTGGCAGCCCGAGCCCCCGCTCGAGACCGAGCCCGAGCCCACCCCGCTCCCGCGACCCACGACACAGCAGCCGCGCTCGTCCGTGGTGGTAGACGTAAACTTCGTCATGGCCGGCGTCCTCTCCACCATCCTCATCCTCGCCATCACGGGCTGTCTCGTCTGCCACCAGCGTAAACAGAGGCAGCGGCAGTGGAACAAGGCCCCTCTCCCGGCCCTCCTCCCCGCCCCGGCACCAACACCCTCTCCCGTCCCACTTGCCCACCTCGACCCACCGCACTGGGATCCCGTGCCGCCCTACTCGCCCTCGCCGGACGGAATCTCCCCACCACCCCAGCTGGCGATGTACTCTCCACCTCGCGCGCCATCGCCGTATTCGCCTCCGGGTGCATACAACCCCGCGCTGCCGTATCATGCTCAGCTCTACGCGCCGGCTCCGGCACATGTCCACGCGTACCCTCCCCCGCTTTTGGCTACGCCTTTGCCATCTCCGGCGCCACAGGATCCAGAGCAGGCAGCCCCCGCGGCGCTGGCGCCGCAGAATCCGTACTCCCCCGCAGAATCGCCCTCGCTACTCGTCCCATTTGCGGTCACACCCACTCCCCAACTCGCAAGCTCACCGGCCCAAAGTGCCCAGCTTGTCAGTGTGCCAAACCCAACCGCTGTGGCTCCGGCTGCGACTTCCGACGAGGCGGAGGTGGCGGAGAGGACTAAATAGGTGGAAACACCTTCAATTGGCCTGGTTCACATATTCTTCTCGATAGAGTCCATACCAGAAGTTCAGAGCTTTCTCACGAGGAGAGCACAGGGGGCTACTAAGCACTACGCGGCCGCCGAAACACGCCCCTCTAACCGAGGTACATGTAGCTTGCGGCCGTCTCTACCAGCTCTCTCGTCTCCAGTCGCCATATTACATGAGCTACACCACCTCTCTCCGCATAACACCATGCCCTTGACGCCTGCGCGCCGTTCGCCATCGCGACCCCCCGACGCGCACATCTCGCTTGCGGCCGCCCGCGCCGCTCACCGCGTCCGCATCGGCCTCATCACCGGCACAGTCCTCGGGTCCCTCGCCATCCTCACTATCGCCGTTCTTCTCGTGCTCAGGTTCCGGCGCCGACGCAGGATGCGCGCCGACCTCCCCACCGTCGTCCTCACATCGCCTAGCTCGCCTCACGTGTGGGTCGTGCCCCCTATCCCGTTCGAGCCGGACCACGGGCATCTCGCGCCACCCAAGAGTGACAGGAGAACCGAGGACGAGAGTAGCGGATGGGAGGAGGACGACGATGATGACGATGACGATGACGAGGAGGGAGGGGAGGACGAGAGAGGGCGAGAGATGCAGGGAGCAGAGAAGCAGTAGAGGTATGGAGGTGTAAGAGAACCAGTCTGGCGAGGTCATTAGGACGCGCCCTCGGTTACGCTCGCTCATGGAAACACTTCACTCGTGACGCTCCACCCGACGCCCAACACGTGTGACGAGAGGATGACCACCGCACCGTTGACATGTCAGTCCCCGAACACCATTCAGTTTGGAGAGAATTCCCTCCACTACCTTGCTCGATGGACACTTCGTCCGCGATCGACAATGCGACAACAAGAAACCCATCCTGGGCCACTACTGAGCGAGACGGGCTCCAACCCACCATCATTACGGGCGGCGTCTTTGGCGGCATCGCGCTCCTTATTGCCATTGCCATGGGCCTCTTCTGTTACCGCAAGCACCGGCAGTGGCGGCGATACAAGCGCGAGCGCCTCCCTACCGTCGTCGTGACGTGCCCATCGACGACGACAACAGCGTCCGCGCCGAGCCAGAGGGACGGGCGAAGCAGCGTTTCCAGCTCCTTTATCGTACCTCCGGGTTTCGCCACCAACAACCCTAGCTTAGAGAGACTGGGCGCTACACAGCTCCTGACTCTGGGTAGCATTGTAAGCGGAGAATCGGATGCGTAACAGGATACCTATTGTACATGCAGCAGCTACTGCTCAGCCTCGATGCGCCAGCGCTCTTCCCCGATCATGGCGCGGTACTCGTCCACCGAGAAGAACTGGAGGCGTGAGAGGACATCGCTGATCGCGTCCTCTGGCCACTCCCATGCGTAAGCGAGGAGATCGGCGAGTTGGTCTGCAAGGCGCGCGCCTGTGGCCGTCGCTAGGGGCGTCTTCCTTTTCTCCTCCTTCCCGATTTCGTTCGCCTCTTGCTCCAGAGGGCGTGGGCTTTGCTTCGGGCCGAGATACACGGGCCAGAGCCACGGCTCAACATGTTCCATGCCGACGAGCACAACCCGCCGCCCTGGCTTTTCGCGGATCGCCTTGCTCACCGTTCCGAGCACGTGACAGTTGGTGCAGTAGCGGTCTTGCCCGCAGACAATGAAGGCGCCGAGACGACCCCGTCCCGGGGCCGGGTGGAGGATAATGACGACATTGTCGATCGCGAGGACATGGAGAAGCTGGAGGCGGAGGAAGCGACCTCCGAGCCCTACGGCACCGTTCAGCACTAGGCGCGGAGGAAGAGTCATGATGAGTAACGACGGTCCGGCCACGCCACCCAAATGCTGGAGACAGTGCTCGAGGTTGTATGTTGTATTAAAGGCGTGATGAAGAGTCCACGGGTGGCGGCGCGGGGCGCAGAAGACCACCGCCTCCTCGGGTTGCAGGACGTCTGCGGCGAGCGCGATGGCCCACTCGTGCGGCCATTGTGCCGTGGAAGAGGGCACGAAGCGGAGCGTCTTGACGTTCGTCCGAGGCAAGAAATGGGGCGAGTTGTGAAGATTCAAGTCTGGCTGTGGACCGGCGATGTCGACGGTGTGCGCACAGGAGGGTTCGAGAGTCCACGACGCCGGGGTCGGAGCGCCCCACAGGCGTCGCCACCACGAAGCCGGCTAGTATCAGCGGGCCCAGAGGGCCAGCATACCTTGCGAGAGCCTGGGAACGGGGACAAGATGTTATCCCATAGCACGACATGTTGAGCGAGGCGCGGATCAGCCCGCCCTTTCAGTCGGTGACTTGTTGCTCGGAGCGCGAGCAGAGTCTCGGGCTCGGCGTGGTCAACGATGGTGTCAATGATATGGGGATAAGCCGAGGCATCGATCATGAGTGAATGGGTAAGAGGAGAGTGACGGAGGGTGGCAAGAGAAGCTTGTGACAGATGACTCTCAAACGGTGGTGGTCGCCTGATCGCATGATTGTTGTCTGATTCCCCAGATCAACATGTCGGCCAAGTCCGCATGCCACGCGGCGAGTACCCAGATCTTTATCTTATCCTCTCTCTCCGTCGTGGCATGTGATGCATGTGCGACACCGCGTTGACTAGTCACCGCTCCGCTCTCTTGCCCTCATCGCATCGTTGCGGCCGCGGCGCCGGGGTGCTACAGAGATGATCCGGTCGGCACAACCCGGGAACTGAGTCCAGGGGAGTCTCTTGCCGGCGGCAGTGGATTTCTTTTGTTCTCGCCGCCCACATCGTCATTTCATCCAACCAGGTATTGTCCTCTCCCTCCGTCCAGGCCGGGTCTCTGCCATCTACATGACGAGCACGGGTCAGATCAGCTGGGCATGCCGAGATTATGCGCAGGACAATAGGACCAGCAATATAATTGCCGGGCGCGTGGCGGGTGCATGGGCGCACCGGCCGGCTAGTTCGTCGGCGGGGTGTGCGAGTCTGCTCAAGCCACGACGACGCCACAATGCGCTCTTGAATGCCAAGCGAGGACCCCCGAGACGGGCGAGGCCACCAGGCGGTACACTCCGAGCTCTGTTTGGTGGGCTTGATCTGGCTCGGCATTGCCCATCTGGCCATTCATTAGTCTAGACACCACGAAGGCATCTTCCCTCATTCTGTCAACAACTTCCTCATCTCTCACCACATTACCACTACTGTTCACAACCATCATGAAGGTCCTCGTCCTCGGTGCCTCCGGTGAGTCTCATTGATCCTCCTCCCTCCGTGATGATCGTCCTCAACGTCCTTACTGTCGCACTGGCTGACTGGCTACAGGCTTCATCGGTCTTCCTGTCGCCCTCGCGTACGCCCGGGCAGGCCACATCGTTTACGGAACTGCTCGTGACGCCAAGACTGCCCGCAAGCTCGCCATCCATGAGATCATCCCGCTTGTAACCCCCGCGACGGCTGGACACGGCTTCAGTGTCTGGGGCAAGATCGCCGCCGAGGTCGATGTTAGTGAGTGCTGAGGTTTTGGGCCGACGGACGGGTTACAGGCGCCGGGGACAGGCAGGCCTCTGGCTGCTGGCGAGTGCCAGTGTTTTTGTTGGAACAGCAGGGTGGTGAAACGGGGCGAGGAGGGGATGCCGCATCGGCCTGCTCGAGCTGGCACTCCTTCCATGCAAACAAAGGAAATTTCGATTGTCGCAGGCGGAAGCGCAGGATCGAGCAGATCCAGTCACTGGCATCTTGCGCGCTGTCCCACGCGCTGCAAAGCGCGCCTTACGCTCGACGAGCTTCAGTGTGCTCAAGCCTTCCCCTGCGCTCAGCTGCCCGACGCGTCTGAGAGCCTACAAATCTTGCCGTGTGACAATACCAATACTGACCCAAGTCATCGACACAATTCGTTCATCCGAGGCGGACACGCCACTGGCTGCTCTCCGTGGGGTCGAGGAGATCCTTTCGCGCGGCGTTGCTAGCACACGCGTCACATACATCTTCACTGGTGGCGCGTGGTCGCACTCTCGCGGCAACGGAGGCCTTGACAAGTGGTCGAGTGAGCAGCTCCCGCCAACGAGCGACCTCGAGGTCGCGGCGTGGCAGCGCCCCGTCGAGGAGGCCGTGCTGAGCTCTACGCGCGTCAACGGCATTGTCATCCGCCCTGGAACGCTGTACGGTCGCTCGGGGAGCATGCTCGAGCCGTTCCTCCTTGCGCCCGCGTACGATGCCGCCAAGGCCGGCCGCGAGTTTGACGCCGTGGGTCTCCCCGACACTCGCCTCCTTATGGTGCACCAGGACGACCTCGCCGACCTGTTCCTGCGCGCTGGTGAGCGCGGCCCGCTTCTCGCCGGCTCGGCCCTCGTTGCGTGCAATGCCCAAAGTGAACGCTGGACCGATATCCTCGACGCCGTAGTCCGCGTCTCCGGTGCTAAGGGATACCGCATGCGCGCCCCGTCTGATAAGGTCCCTGCCGAGGTTGCGTGGGCCTCGACGACCCTTCTCCGCCCTACGCTCGCCCACTCGCTCACGGGGTGGACGCCGCGCAAGCCCGGCCTCGTTGACGGCATCGACATGTACTGGCCCTCGTTTGTCGCCCACTACGAGGGCAAGAAGACGATCGCCGCCTGGGACCTCCCGGGCGTCATGCCCGTCGGCAGCGCCCCGATTCGTCCCTCCCACTCGCCCAAGCACAGCGGGAGCCCTCCCCGTTCCAGCCCCCTCGCCGGCTAAGCGGCCTCCAGTTGCATTTCGCCGAGAGTGATGGGTCGCGCGTGGCCATCTATGGACTTGAACACATGTATGTACGATAAGGGCACTATGCATCTGGTATGGCACTCCGGGTATGGCGCAGAGACTGGGGGCCAAGTCTCTACCAATCTTCTCAAAGTTCTCAATGTCCTCAAAGTTCTCACTACTGAATGAACTCGTGAGCCGGATGGGCTACCGCCGGCTTCCGACGCTGACCGGCTGGGTCTGGGATAGCACGGGGATGCGCGACGGCGGGGGCGTGTACGAAAGCGTGTAAGGGGGTGCGGCGTCCGTGTGTTGCGCAACTCTCGATCCATTGTCGGCGCAGAGGTCTGGCGAGTCCACAGGTGGAGTCTGCGCGGCGGTAGACGTGAAGGAGGGAGACGGCTTGGGACCCGGCGAGTGCGCGAGCGTCGGGACGCGAGAGAGCGCGACGTCGTAGTCTGGCGTCTTACGGCGCTTGCGCCATCGCACGACGGCGCCGCCGACGACAAGGAGCAGCATGCCGCCCAGCACGGCGCCGATGATCGCCGCAAACGGGACCGAGCTCTTGGCCATCGGGGCTGCGGTCGGCTCAGGTTGCGGCGGGGCCGACGTCTGCGGAAGCGGCGCCATGGTGAAGAGTGGGAGAGGAGGTAAGAAGCCCGAGTTGGGCACACGCAAATGTTGCGTCGTGCATTGCGCATCATGGGACTTGTGAGATCTGCGATCCGCAAGTGACATCGCGGCGTGGGATCTGCCATCTCCAATCTCGATCGCAGCCACCTCGTCACACCGGGGCAATGTGAGCTAAATGCATATGTACAACCTCTCGAGCTATCGCCTGGCCCACGACGAGTCGTGCCACTTCTTGACGATCCGCCCGCTTTCCTGGCCGATGTTGAATACTGCGGTCAGCCGGATCTTGACGGAGCGTACATTCTCGCTCGTCCGCCTCCATGCCTTCGCGAAAGGCTTCGCCCGTCCCGGCCGTACCCTCTGGAATAGAGCTGTGGTCCATGCTCGCATGATGTGCAGAGAGATTCTGAAGCGCCGGCAGGCGGCTGATGAACGCCTATCGTCAGTGTCCAAGCGGCCGGCATGAGGAGAAGCGACTGCGCGCGGTGAAGCAGTCTCCTCGCCCTCCCAACTTACTTCCCGCAACATCGCAAGTAGGCTGTCCCCACTGTCCCAGCTGGTGTCAACTAATGCGGCCACCTAACGCTCACATCTTGGCAATGGCCGTGCCGAAGCGGTACCACCAACCACCCGCACCGACGAGACTGCTAAGCTTGACAGCCGGTGCACTCGCATTCAAGTTGGCGCGGACGCGCTGTGTGAACGGCTGCGGAACAGTAAACGTCGCAAACTCGCTGGTGTGAGTAATATGAAGCTCGAAAGGTCGTGAGATGAGGAAGAAGCCATAGTCCAGCGACCCCTGCCCGGTGCAGTAGTCATGTTTGCTGCAACAAGAGATCGCCATGCAGACCATTGCCGGACTCACTTCTGCGCCAACACCCGCGCCATCCATAATGGTAATTCGACTTTCGCACCGGCCTGCAAGTTCTGTTCGCTCCCGCCCTCGAGATACCCCAGGCCTGGAACCTCAAGAGTGAATGTGCAGGGCAGTTTCTGGTGTCAATTTGTATCCGAAAACATCTTGGCTGCTCAACGCCGACCATACAGCTGGTAGAACACGTGATGACTGGAGGCAAAGGCGATGTGCGAAAAGGAGAGCAAGAGGAAGAAGCGCAAGGGGGAGAGAGATGCAGCCCGATGTGCGCAATGGGTTGCACTCACATGGTTGTCGGCAAGAATGGACGTGAGAGAGTAGTAGTCGTCCTCCATCATGCGAACGGCCTAATCCCGGCCGTGGTGTTGAAGATGGTGAGGCGACTCTGTTGGACGCGAAATCATCATGACACAACGCGTCCATCAGGGCACACGCGTTTTTGCTTCCGCTCCTCGACTGGAACCAAACAATGCAGATGCTATTGGGGGTATGAATGCAATGCTATTACTCTCCTTCTCCTATTACTCTTGCGACTGGCTCACCCTCGCCATCCACTGTCTCAGCGTATCGGCCAGCACGCCCGGAAGCGCCTCGACGTCGCGCAACACAACGTAGAACTCGAATGGGAATGAGTCCAGGTAACGCGTCATGACGAAGTCGGGTTTGCCATTGATGAGCGTCGGCGTGATGCTCTGCATGGAGAGAATTGAACGGCGGGGGGGAGCCATGATGGGCGTGTTTGCCCCGGAACCCGCGGGCGTGTTGGCGGTGGTGGAGAGCGGGCTGCTGCCCTGGCCGGCGTCCAAGTTGTCAACTACCAGGAAGACGACCATGACGCGCTCCTCAAGGGCACGACGGAGCAACGTACGCAGCCGGTTGTGGTCCTGGCACACACCGTCCGAGATGATGATCTGCAGCTGCCAGAGGTCCGGCGCGCTAGCGCCGGCATTCTTCGCTCGCGACTCAGCAAGGTAGGATAACGTGCGCTCCAGAAGCGCGGCCACGTCCGTTCGATGCTGGTTGAACTTGAACGCGCGCATAACCTTGGCGCCGTCCGCGTCCGAGAACCCGGCGTCCGAGAACTCGTGGAGTACGTCGACGCCCTCGCCGAAACGTGCGATGGATACTTGGCCGACCTCCAACTTCGTGAGCGCCTGGCTCACCAGTGCGAGGGTCTGGTACGCAAGGTGAACAGAGTGAGACTCAGCCATGGACCGCGAATCGTCAAGCGAGAGTAGGACCTGATATTCACGCCGGCTCGGCTTCGTGCGACGCAGCCAAATCTTGTCCTTTGTGTACTCGGAGGCGATGTAGGGAATGATCTTACGCATATTCAGCCGCTTGCCGGTGCGGAAGTCGCCCTGCAAACGCGTGGCGAGTGTGGGCTCGAGAATGAGACGGAGCTGCTCGCAAAGCGCATAGCTCAGATCGCTCGTAAGGCTGGCATACTGGCGCCACAGGTCCTCAGCGCCGTCCGCTTCGGCAGCGGCAGACGGTGAGGCGACGGTGAGCTCCACGTCGATCTCGCCCTCATCAGGCCGCACTTCCGTTGCGAGTTCCTCGCCCTCACCCTCGTCGATGTCCATCGCGTCGCCAGCAATTGGGGCATTGCCACCAATCTCTGCCTGCGTGAGAGCCTTTTCGGCGCCCAGAGACTCGTCGGGCTCGCCCTTCTCGCGGCGGAAGGATTCGTGCTCTCGAGAAGCCTTATCACCGGACTCAGCCTCTTCTTCGCCCTCGGGCTCGTCCTCGTCCATCGCTGCTGGACCACCCTCCTCCTCTTCATCCACAATCTTGAGGTCCTCGAGCTTCTGTTGCTCCTCGCGCGCGGCGCCGAGCGCCTGCATCGTGTTGTCATCGTCGGCATCGCCATCGTTCAGGTACTCGACTTGGCCTGGGGCCTGTTCCTGCGCGTCCGCATTGTCGGTGACTTCTTCACGCTCGGTCTTGTTTAGGATCTCGTCGCGGCGGCGCGCAATCTCCTTCATGATGTCGCCAAGAGAGCGGTCCTGCTGGGGCTCACCCTCGTTGGGAAGGGGTGCGCCGCTACTGTCCGTCGCGCCGGAGGCCTCCTGCTCGTCGGTGCCACCAGCACCCTGCGGCGCGGCATTGGTTGCACTGTTGTCAGCTTACTCTAACGGATTGACTCACCCCTCGGCCTCAGCCTCGATCTCGTCCTCCTCCTCGCCTCCCATCTCCTTATCTTCCGCGTCCGCCTTCTCATCCTTGTCTGCCTGCGCGGTGCCACCCTGGCCAGCGCTGGCAGCCTCTTGCTGCGCCTCGCCCGCGCTCACGTCCAGGTCTTGGTTGAGCGCTTCCTCGGCCTCAGGCTGCGCATCGTCCTCCGTGATGCCAGTAGCGTCAGGAGCATTCTCTTCCGCCTCGCCTTCATCCTCCTGGTCCGATGTCCGCCCGTGATCCTCCATGTCAAGGCCCTCGGGCTCGCCCTCGTCCATCTTGATGTCGTCGTCGAATTGCTCGTCGTTGCCGCCATCATCGTCTTCCTCGCCAAGATCGAGGTCCTCAGGGAGATCGAGTGTCTCGCCTTCGGGCGCGGCGACGTTGTCCTGCTCAGGCATGTCCGCGCCCTCGTTGTCGTTGTCATTGTCGTCCTCGCCCTCAGGCGCCTCGTGCTCCTCAAACTCCTCACCTTCCTCCTCGCCGTCGCCGCCATCCTGCTTGCTCTCCTGCTCCTTCTCCTCAGCCTTCTCGCCTTCCGCCGCCTCCTTCTGCTCCTTCTTCTCATCCTGCTTCTTGCTCTGCTCGTCTTTAGCGGCGAGCTCTGATTCGCCCGTTTGCTCCGTTTTTTCGTCCATGAGATCCTCACGGCCGTCGTTTTCCTTCTTCTCTTCCTCTTTGTCGTCGTTCCAAAACTTTTCATCGATAGCGCCGGGGTCGAGCGGATCGACATCGCCCACGTGATCGTCGAGCTCCTCGTCCTCTCCCTCATCCTCCTCGCCGTCATCCTTCTCCTTACCGTCTTCAAGGGCGCCCTTGAAGTCGTTTTCCATGTCGACATTGTCCTCGTCGTCGTCGCCCCTGTCGCCGTTTTGCTCCTCCTCTTGTTCCTCCTCGCCCTGCAGACCCTCGACCTGGCTCTCGTCGGTGATCTCGTTCGAGACATTCTTCTCGCCAGATCCAGCACCCATGCCCGTGCCCTCTACCTCTCCATCCTCGCCGTCTTGCGCGTCATCGCTTTCCTCCTGCGGCTTGCAGAAGCCCTTCTGAGCGATGTCGAGCATGACGCGCGCAACGACGTAGTTCAGCTTGTAGATTGCCTTGGTAGCAGCGAGATGGGCAGCTACGGACTGAGCGTAGGTCTGCGCGAGCACCTCCACGAACGGGAGTACACGGGCCAATGCTGCAGGAGCGGCCGAGGATTCGCCCCCTGCGAGCCAGAATGACATTGAAGCAGCGAACGCAGCGAGGCGATCGAGCACCTCAGTAGCACGTAGTGAGTTCACCGCTTTTGCCTGCCGAGTGAACGCGGTCGGCATGTGGGCATAGTCATCCTCCTTAACCTCCTCGGCGGGGGTGTTGTCGATCGACTGCGCGGCAACAAGTAGAGCCGAGATGAGGTCGTCACTCTCGGTCCAGACGGCCTTGGGAATGTCTTGCCTGGTCTTGAGCGTGGTGGCCAAGCCCATGTGCGCCACCATCTTGCCTAGGGGCAAAAAGATGTGCGCAAGCTCTGGTGCAGCCTCAGAGTGCGCCTTACACGACGCTACGACTCGGCGGAATAGGTCAGCCGCTCGGTGAACGAGTTGCGCTTCCTCGTGGCCGTATAGCGGCCACTCGGCGGCGCGGCAGGCGCTCAGAGCGTTCTCAAGCGCGGTGATAAGCAGACCGACCTCCTGTCGGTACGCATGGATGTCGGCGAGGTCTGGCACGACCGAGCCCTGGAGCTCACGGAAAGCACGGACTGCGTCTTCGGCCTCACGCAGGCCGTCACGGAGGTGGCACGCGTCAAGCTCAGCTTGCTCCAGTGCCTGGCCAACTCCACCGGCCACTGCAGGTGCCTTGGCACAAGTGTGAAGCCGGCGAAGGACCGCGTTGAACTTCGATAGCGTAGAGAGCTGCGTGGCGAGGAGCGCCTGCTCCCCCAAAGCTAACGCGTAAAGGGACTCGGCAAATCCAATACCGCGTGCCAGGTCGCCGCTCGCAATGTCAGGCGAGTGACCGTTGAATGCGGCTCGAAGGGCGCGCATTAACACCCCCTGGCGGTGGTGGTAGTCTGCGACCTTGGTTACGCCGGCTGCGTCGAATGCAGCCGGCAGATCGTGTGTGGTGAGGGCAGGACGGGAAGTGAGCCATAGTGTGCTCTGCTGCTTAGCGAGCTTGTCAGCAGGCACACTCTGAGAGAAACCGCATGCCCGCAGAGTCTTGAGAAGGTCGGAGAAAGCCTTGCGTTTCCGACTGGCGAGATTGTTGACGACCTTGGTGTTCTCCTTAGTGAGAGCTGCAGGCGTGGCCTTCTGAAGCATAGCTGCCGTCTCGATGATCTCAACAGCCATATCGTCCAGCTGGTCTGCTGGAGTTGTGGCCGCGAGAGGACGCATGGCGATGTGCACCCGCTCGTAGCGAGCCAAGATTTCGGGCATCTTCTGGAGAAGAGATGGGACAGCAGGGCCAGCAGCGCGTGCGGCAACTGCAGCCTCGGAGAGGGGCGAAACTTGCACAAGCTCGGAGGTGTGAGCCGCGCTTGTCGTAGCTGGGTCTTGCGGGCACACTGAGCCGAGATCCATCAAGATCGGGGCCACAGGCTGCTGCAGCACCCCCCGGAACTTGCGAATGTTCTTGTGCAGCTGTCGGTGCGACTTTTGCGCACTTGCCTTGAGGGCAAAAACGTTGATGTCTTTCCACGATGCAAGCTTGACGAAGTCCTTGACCGCGCCGTCAATGACCTTGCGCTGGTTCTCGAGACTTTCGCGGATGCGAGGGGCAAAGAGTTGTGCGTGAGCAATGACGTTGTGAAGGACAGCAGCGACGCGGCCGAGCGCTGCGGCGTTCGTTGCTTTGCTTTCGGAAAGCTCAGACGCCATGCGCTTAAAGGCTCCCAATACGCTCAAACGATGTGCGAAAGAGCCCAGCGTCGCCTGGGAGAGGTAGTCCGTAACAACCGGGAGGGCAGTAGCGATGTAGGAGTCGGCGTCGTCGGAAGAGACAGTGCCGTGAATGAGGGCGCCGTACAGGCGGAGCGTAAACTCGTCGTCCTTGTCGATATACTGACGCGCCTGGTCGTCCAGGAGGCGGACCCACGAGGACAGCTCGAGGCGACGCCATCCGATGATGAGACTGCTAACCTCGAGCTGGTATGCCTTGAGGCTGTTCTCGCGGTTTGCATATGGCTCCCAGTCATCCGTGTGGAGGAGAAGCTGCTCGAGGGCAGCGAGAACCTTGGCGACGGGCGAGCGCACATCGATCTGCAAGATCCGCAGCACGCGCTCACGCAAGTGCTGCAGCACCATCTGATCAGGCCACTCTGCCACAAGAGCATCCAGACGTGCACGGAGACGCTCGAGAAGCGCCTGGCCCTTGCGTACTTCGTACTCGTTCGGGTCGAAGTAGAAGTTCGCCTGTGCAGCAGATGTCTTCACCTCCGCATGACGGCGGTGCAAGGTGGCGACCTGGAAGGCGAGCGAAGACACATCGAGGTCCTCCCTAAATGCCGCCGGCTCAAAGCGGAATAGGACATCGTCAATTGTGCTCTTGAGCGTCTTGATGATATCGGCGTGCCCGCGAGACTTGCCGAAAGAGGCTAGGACGAGGGTGTGGAACGCAGCTACCTGTGGTGTTGAGAACTTGGCCTTGTGCTTGTCGTGAGGCTGCTTCTCTTCGGGCACATCCTGCTCCATTTGCTCGTCCTCGTCCTCGTCGTACGTGGGGAAGAGTTGAGCAAACTCCTTGGCCTCGAGCTCTGCGTCGTCGGGAACCTCGATGTCAGTCTTACGCATGCGGTACATGCTCTCGGCATCCAGGGCCTCCTGAGCCTCGCGTGTGCGGATAGCACTCCACGCAGCGTAAAGGCGATCCAAGCCACCGACGAGGCCAGGCACGTGCTCGCGACGCTGTGTGCCCTCGGCGATGTCGCGGGCGTGCGCAAGCGCGGCGAGGAGATCAGCACGCATGCTGGCCATGGAAGGCTCCTTGACTTCCTTGGGAAGCACCTGGAGGGTGGCCAAGGACGCAACGGCAGGGAAGGAAACGAGCGGGCCCACTGTGGTAGGCGGAGCGGCACTTCGCAGGGCGAGATTGCGGGCGAGACAACGCATTCCGAACTTGACGCAGAGCACGCCAAAGAGAATTGGCTCCGCGAGATCTACAAGGTCTGTGTACGCATGAAGGCGCTGAACGAAGGCTGCTGATGCGAGCTGGAATGCTTCCTCGCGCGCCGCGGCAGCGTTGGCACCGTTCTCGAGTGCGTGGAGGAGTGACTGGCCCTTCTCCAACACGTCCTCGATGAAGCCGAACACCTCAGAGAAAAGGTGCCCGAGACGAGCGGCGTTAGTTTCGCGCTGGATGGAGGGGCCGAGTGCCTCGCCTTCAGCCTGCAGGGACTCGGCGCGAGCGCGAAGAGTTTCGGCGCGCGCGCTGTCGCTCACGCCCTTTAACTCGGTCTCCACATGCGTTACAACGTCAAGCTCGTCGGCAACAAGCGAAAGTTGTGTCGCCACGACCTCGCCAAGGAGTACGCGACGAACGCCGGGATCAATTGGGACGTTGGTCACGAAGAGATCGAGGACAAAGCGGCCAAGCCCGTGCCACAGGTGCCCAAGTGCAAGAAGGCTGCCCTCCTGGGCTTCCACAATAGCAGGAGCCAGACGGGAGTCAAAAGCCTCACGAAGATAGGTGGCAGCAGCCTCATCCATGTCGCCCGCTGAGAGGACTGGCTTGTTGTCCTCATTGGTGAGCGAGACGCTGAATGCACCCAGAACCTGCCGTTAGCTGGGTTCTACGAGACAGCTCACCATGCTTAGCAACGCGAAAGCGAGGTTGCCCGCTGTGCCGGCGCGGTCGGCGCCACGTGCCGCGCCCCACAGTGTGCTCTCCGTCGTGAACTTGAGTGCGTCGTCCATGCTTGCAAGCTGCGCCATCGGTGTAACCTTCACTTGCGAGAAGCGGAGGGCAGCGGCAAGCGCAACGGGCTCGAAGAGGCTCGTAGAGAGGCGATTGAGCCATGCTGCCACAGCACCGAGTTTGCCGCCTGGGGTGGAAAGGCGCTGCATGCTCACGAGATCCGCAGGGCGTGCATCCGCTGCGCTGGCGAGAAGGGCGAGCGCACCGCCCGTACCTGTCCCACCAACCGCAGCGTTGAGAGCGTCGAGCTCAATGACACGCGCAACAGCTGCGTTGGACCACGGCGTATCAGCTGCCGTGGACTCCTCCGGGCGGCGAGGCAGGCTGTCAATAAGCGCTGAAAGCTCGGCGAGCTGCTCATCATCGCAAGCCGCCACAGCCAGCGCCTGAGCCGTGTCAGAACGGAGGCGGGCGTCGGCTACACCGTCAAGACGGTCGAGAAGACGTGCAACAACCGCCCGTTGAGCAGGCGACAACTCAGAGCGGAAGAGCGTCCAAACGCCAGCTTGACCGAGACCACGCGTGATCTTCGTGGCCCTGCCCAGCGCGCCGAGGGACTGTCGCACTTCCTTGCCGTGCGCGATGAGATTCAATTGCTCAAGAAGCCAAGTGGCGAGCAGTTGCACTGACGAGTAGTCGAAAGCCTCAGAGCGGCAGTGGTCCTCAAGCAGCGCAGTGAACACGAGCATGCGCTCGGCAGCCTCGAGAGCTGCACTGTTCGAGTTGGCTGCAGCGTCGAGGGCTGCAGCCGCTAATGTGTCCCGCAAATGGTTGAGGAGAGGGTACACACCGTCCCCGACTGCAGGCTTGCGCTTCGACGTACCACGGCGCGCCGAAATAGCGCTGGCCGCAAGTACAGTCTTGGCGTGCGTAGGGTCGCTAATCCAACCATCTGTTATGGCGCGGGCGGCTTCGTTCCGGAGCACAAGTTGAAGCGCGCGGAAAAGGATGAATTCAGCATGGCTGCCGACGTTGGCGTCCAGGGCAAGATCGAAGGGCACCTCGGAGGCGAGAGAACCGAGCTTGGTTGCGAAGATGGCCGTCTGCGCCGAGAGCAGCTCAGCGATGCGCGGATTCGAGAGGAAGCTAATTGCAGTGCCGAAGTTCTCGTCACTTAGCGCTGCAAGGCGGCCAAGCGGCACGAGGGTGGCCCGACTTTGCAGAGCAGCGAGGTTGGCAGTGAAACTCGACGGCGAGAGCGATTCATTGTACGATGAGAGCAAGTTCTCAGCCGAACGCAAGGTGGACGTCTCAGCCAGCGCGAACGTTTTCCCGGCAGTGGGGGTCTCATCCTCGACGGGGGCCGCATCAACATACAGCTCGACACCACGGTTCCGCATCGCGCGCGACAGCTCGCCGTGCCGGGGATCGTACGTCATGAACAGTCGGAAGTCGGGGTGAGGCTTGATGACTTCAGGCGCGCCGGATGCGCTGCCCTTCTCCGACATGACGAGCAGGCCGTCAATCTCACAGAGCGAATTGAGGCGGTCAAGAACACTAGCGGAGCAGAGGTTGGCATCCGAGACAAGGAACCACCCGCCGTTGCGGAGAGCGTGGAGCAGCTGCCCGTCGACCCATGCGAAGCCGGAGGACGAGCCGCGCTCAACAGCGTCGAGCGTAAGCGCAGCAGCGGTGGTGGGAATGCCAGTGGCTTGAGCCTCGACGAGGATGCTGCGAGCCAAAGCAGTGAACGACTTCACTGCATCAATCTGACGCGGGTCGTCACAGCGGTTGCGGGCGGCCTGGAGCTCAGGAACGCGAGCAGCAGCAGCGGGATGCGCCTCAGCTGCATCCTCAAGAAGCTTGCGGACGGCACTGGTGGCCGCATCGAGGGCACGGAACGCGTCCTGCTGCTCGAAGGTGCCGAGAATCTCGCTTGTATCGACTCCCGGGTGCATCGCGAATTCGCCGAGGTGGCGCCCAGCGCGCGCGGCAATGGCACGCACGACGCCACGCTTTCCGCGCCCGTTATCGCCGGCGAGAATCACGAGCCAGCCCATTTCGAGCGTCTTCAGCACGCTTTCGGCGAGCGGAAGTTGGTGATGCGGCAGTTGCGTGTCGACTGATGCGGAGGCAGAGCGGCGAAGCGCAGCGTGCCCGATCTGCAGCCAAGATGGGGTGGTGAAGCAGATAGGGCGAGGTGCGGACGGTGTGACGCCAAATGCGTTCTCGAACATGGCGGCCACAGCAGCGCGGTCGGCGGCGTTTCGGAACCGCTGAAGGTAAATCGTTCGGAGGTGCTCAACGGGGTGAGAGGTAAGCTCGAGACCGTTACGCTGGGACAAGAGGCCAAACCAGCGAAACAGATCACGCAGATTGAACTCCCATGGCGAGCCCTCGCGGCCGATCGAGCGCGTAAGCATCGTCGCCTCACGAATCGCCTCATTGAAGGCGATCATGCGTTCTACGAGCTCCGGCTCCGGGTACAACCCGCGACAGATCATGAGGAGATCCTCGCTGGTGTGCTCCTGCAGGTAAACCTTAGTGAAACGGTTGAGGAAGGACTTGGGGAGACCCTTACGGCCACCACCCTGCGTGAGCGGGTTCTGGGCGGCGAAGACGCGGAAGGCGGGATGCCGGTCGAAGCTACGACCCAGCTCCGGGATGTAGACAGTCCCGCGGTGATCAAGGACAGCGTTGAGACCTTCGAGAACGGTCTGGGAGGCGAGGTTCATCTCGTCAAGCAGGACCCAGTCACCCTTTTGCATTGCGTCGAGGAAGGCCGCGTCGCGCCATTGGAACTCGCCGGCAGCGCCGCCTTCGACGGGCAGGTCAGAGCCGAACAGATCAATGAGGTCGGTCTGATCGGACAAGTTGATGCGCTGGAGGTGGAAGCCGGCAGTGGCGGCCAAGGCGGAGACGAGCGATGTCTTGCCGACGCCGGGGGAGCCCTCGAGCAGGATAGCCTTGGGCAACTGGCATCCGCGGAGGACACGCATCGCGTTGAGCGCGGTTGTTGGTGCCTCGAAGCGGAAAGCGGTGTCCACAATTGGCAGGGGCCCGCGAGGAACCGCGAAGCCGCCGATGGATACCTTGCCATCGGTGACGGAGAACGACGTGTCCGCAGCCACCGCATCGAGCGGGCCAAGGGTGAGAGCCATCTCAGTGAGTTTGGTAAGGCAGTCTTTGCGCAGAGCCGCGATAGTCGCAGTCGAGGATCCCGATACTTGAGGGAGCGACTCAAGACCGTCGGCTACGACGAGCTGGCCGCCGTGATGGAACGCGGTGGAGACGCTGAGTGCGCCATACATCTCATTGGCGAAGTTCACCCAGGCCAGGATGTCACGAAGGCCAAGGCCTGCGCTGTCACCAACCCGCTCCCCAAACCACTTGAAAAAGTCCAGGATGAGGGGGCCAGTAGGGCGCAGCGCTTCGTGACGCCACTTCTCGCCAATGATCTGCAGCATGTCGGCACGGTTGCTCAGCGCCGGGACCCAGATCTCGGTGAAACGGTTCCTCAGTGCGGGCGACAGCTCCTTCTTGCCGAAGTCGCCGCCGGGGTTCATGGTGGCCACGACGTGGAAATGAGGGTGCGCGACGATCGTAGCCTCGTCGATGTCCACTCCGCCCTTCTCCGCCAGCACGAGGGTGCGGCCGGGCTCGAGCACAGAGTTGAGACGCTCGAGCACAGAGTCGTCAGCGAGCGACACCTCGTCGAGAAGAAGGAGGTCGCCAGCCGTCATGGCATGGATGAGCGGGCCATCAACCCACTCAAACAGGGCACCGAGGCGCTTAATCTCGCGCTGCAGCTCGCGGACGTCGGCGCGGACTGTTTCTTCGAGGTCTTCCCGCTTCAGCGCGGCAGCACATGCTGCGGAAAGGTCATCGTCGCTAGCCTCAGGTGCGTGCGGCAGGCCCAGCTCGGTCATGCGCGCGAGAACCTTGGCGCGGCGCTCAAGGCGGTTCCGCACAGGACGCTGCGAGCCGAGCAAATCCGCTGTTTCCATGTTCTGGTGGCAGTTGATACCGACAAGCTTCTGCCCGAACGCGGCTGCCAAAACCTCGCACACGGAAGTTTTGCCACATCCTGTCTCACCGACGAGCAGCACGGGCTCGTCATGAGCAGCCGCAGCGGCCACGAGAGCGAAGAGACGCTGCATCGCCTGCGTCCAAACGAGTTCACCCGCCGGGACGGCTTGAAAGGGCAGGCGAGAGAGGACTCCGCCCTCGCGTCCATCGAACAGCTGGTACATGTTCGCGACATCGACCTTGACCTTCATGATCTTCTCAATGACCTCCTTGATGACAACCTTGTCGTCATCGGAACGCGCACGCTCGGCAAGGAGCATATAACCGTCCTCCGCAAGCTGCTGGTATCCGACGGCGCCACGCTCAGCCCAGCGGAACAAGTCTCGTAGCGTCGCAAACGACGACTTGGCCTCGAACACGCGGCTTGCCTGGCGCAGGTGTCGCAGTTCCTCAAAGACCTGCACGATCTTCTTGGCATACGTGGGCGCAATTGCACAACGCTGGCACAGGATAGTCTCAAGCTCGTCCTTAGGCACATCGTCGAAGTGTACCTCAAGGAAACGGTTGCGGAACGCGCGCGAGAGTACCTTCCGCCCCGCGTAAAGGCCAGGCGGGTTCTGCGTCGCAAACAGGATGAAGTTCGGGTGGGGCTTGATGACCTCCTGCGTTTCAGGAATAACAAGCTCGCGATTGTCATCGAGAAGACGATTGAGAGCCTCAAGGACATCAGTAGGTGCAAGGTTCAACTCGTCGAGGACAATCCAATGACCCTGCCGCACGGCCGTGACCAGCAATCCCTCCTGGAAGACGAGGTTGCCCGTCTGCGGGTCCGTCACGTACGTGCCAAGGTACTCCTGGATGTCGGTGTGCTCGTGGTTGTTGATGCGCACAAAGCGGTGTCCCGTCTGGCGCGCCAGGAACTCTACGGCGGACGTCTTACCCGCTGATGTTGGGCCCTGGATGAGAACGGGGTAGCGCTTGGTGAGAATTACACGGGCGAGGTCGGAAAGCTTCGCCTGTACCGAGGGGGTGATGATGTACCTCGTCTCTTCGACAGGCGGAAGCGGGCCACGCTGCAGCCAGAACGGGCCAAAGCGCACATAGTCGTCCGGGTCAAGGTTCGCTGGAAGGGTTGGGATCTGGGCGAGCACGGCGCGGGCGTTCTTCATTGGGGCAAGGATGTGTTTCTCGCAAGCTGCGTGCGCCTTGAGATTGCTTTCAGCGTCGAGGCTCATCGTAAAAGCCATGAGCATACCCTCCCACAGTCCACGACGCAAGCCAAAGGTCGGCGCACTCTGCACGGCGAACATGAGAGCACGAGCAAGGGTACGCATGCTATAATGGGGAGCAGCGTTCGAGCCGTCAACAATCTCCTTCGCTGCTGAAAGCCGTTTCAGCGTGGTATACAGCTCGACAACATCCAGAATGACGCCGTGGTCACTACGCGCCGCGTCCGCCAGATATCCCTCAACGATGGAAACGAGTGCCTCGCGGTCGTCGTCGGGAGGCGGGACGTAGAGCTCAGTAAAACGAGCTCGCAAACCCGCAGGAAGGTCCTTCTTTCCAACGTCCGTTGCGGGGTTCATACAAGCAAACAACCGGAAGTCAGGATGGCGGGTGACGGGTTCGACGTCGCCTCGTTCTGTCAGAACAAGCGAGGCAGTGGGAGCCTCGAGGATCGTTGCGACCGCCTCGAGCGTCTCCTGAGATGCGAGGTTTACCTCGTCGAGGAGAATCCACTCGCCGTTCTTGAGCGCCCTAACGAGTGGGCCCTCGACGAACGAGAACACGAGCTTGCTCTTCATCTGTACGTGGTGGAGATTGAAGTCGGCAACCTCGACCTTGAGGGCTTGCCACAGAACCATAGCACGCGCCGACTTGCCCAGCTTGCGGCGCTTACGCGGTTCGTCCGCCTCAGGCTCGGGCGCCTCCATCTTCTCGAGCTTCTTGAGCGCACGCTCCGCCGAGTCGTTCCAGATTTTCGCGCACATGTCCCACTTGCGCTTGGCGAGGAACTTGCCGGCCAGCTCGAGGTACTTCGCGTTCTCGCCCCTTGCGACGATAAACGTGTCGGCAAATAGCTTCTGCCACTTCGCGTGTACTGTGCGGGCCGCAGCCACGGCGTCGATCGGCTTGAAGCCGCCCACGAGGTCGGACGTCTCAGTCTGTGTTGACAAATTGAGAGCCGTGAGGGGCTTGCCGACCAAGTTCGCGAGGTGCTGCACGGACGTCGTCTTACCAGTACCCGTTTCACCGACAAGGAGAGTAGGCTCAGCAAGCGCGACGGCGGCAGCGATGCGCTCAAGTGTGACCATTGATGGGCGAGTAAGAGCATACGGCTGCGCGTCGGTCGCGACCTTGCGTTTCTTGGGCGCCGAATCAATTGCGTATCGCCCGACGTTCACCTTGGACGCGCCGCGCTCTGCCTCGAGTTCAGGTCGACGCGCGTCAAGCAGCGATGTCGCACGCTCGATCTCCATTCCCAACCCGAGCGCGATGACCTCGATCATCTTTGCGCGCTTCTCCGCCGAGCCGGCGCGATTGTCTAGAGACGCGAGGAAGATGTCGGCGGCATCCAGAAGGCACTCATCCTGGAAGATTGCGTTGGCGAACGCGGTATTTCCTGCAGCCTCAAAAGCAGCGAGCGATGCCGGAGGGGGCAGAGCTCGCTGAACGCGCGCACACCACTTTTCGAGGTCGCGCAGGCCGATGTCTCGGGCCTTGACCTGCCCACTGGTCTTGGAAAGAGGACGGAGATCGCGCCACACTCCCACAAGTGCTGTAGTCACAGCTGACGGAAGTCGGGGAAACTGGGCGGTAAGAATCGCAAGAATGTCCTCGTCCGTAGGAGCTGCGAGGTGTACTTCGACGAAGTCCTGATGTCCGAAGAAGGTCGGCGGCGTGGTCGCCTCGGCGCGCACAGTGCGAGTAGCAAACATTGCGAAACCATCGCCCGCCTCGATCTCCTCACGACCGGGGACCTGGAGGGCAGCCCGACGGCCAACGCGGCCAAGAGCAAGCGACTTGGTGATCCCCGAGATGGTGACGAGCATTTCCAGAGATGCTCTGTCGATGTCCTCGAACACGACCCAGCGGCCGGCACGCACTGCCTTGGCGAGCGCACCCTCCATCCATTCGAACGTCCCAGGTTTTGTAGGGGATGAAACGTACGTCCCGATCAAAGATTTGACGTCGATAGTCGTGTCGGCGAGGGGAATGGTGAGGATGCGTGAGGTGGGGAGGTGAGTGGGGTAGAGCGTCGCGCTGAGGTGCTGGACGATGTGCGTCTTACCCGCACTGGGTGGGGCGGAGATTAGGACAGGCAGGCCGCGCTGTAGACGCGGTGCAACACCAGCAATTGCAGCGTCAATCGCAGCTGTTGGGACGTGAACGAGACTGCTCTCCCCTGGCTGGCGGAAGAGGAGACGCCCACCAACCACCGCGGTGCGCGGCGAGAGCTCAGAGGCGGCAAGGGCAGGCTCGACCTCTCCCTCGGCCAGCGCGTCCTCGGTATATCCACGCACGCGCCTTGCCTCAAGAACCGGGAGCATCCACCCGTCCACGATTGTCTGGATGGCCTTTCCGTTCTCCAGAGTGTATCCAAAGAGGATGGGAGCATCGTCTCCGACACAAGCCTCCATCTCCGCCCGGCGGGCCTCGCTCCATCCCCTGATCTTCGAAAGCACCTGAACGGCAAGGAGGCGAACCCCGGCACTCTGATGACTCCTCAGCGCGTGGAGGGGGGCGGTAGGCCAGTCCAGTCGCTTCGCCAGCCCTGGATCCGAGGTCAACAGCCGCCAGTAGCCCAGGAGGAGGCATTGTGCGCGGTCCGCGTCCGCATTCAACGGGTCTGAAAGGACGGCAAGAGGATTGCTGGCAAAGGGGGAGCGCTCAAGGAACGCTGTAGTAACACTGGTGTGAGCCGAGACGATGGGTGACATACCTCCACAGGTCAGGTCTTGGTTCCGCGAGCGCGGCGAGCACAGACAGACGTGCCTCCCACACCTTCTGTGATGGGTGGTCATCGAGCCACCGCGCAACAATGTCGAGGGCTAAAGGCGCAAAACGCCGGAACACCGGTTCCGCTGCGCCCGGGACGGCGGCGATGGTCGCCAGCTCGTGGAGGAGAAAGGCGCCTCGTGCCTCGGTCGTGGCACCCGACGCGGGGAGGGGGAGATCTTCGAGGTCCAAGAACAAAAGATGCGCACGCTGGGCGAGATCACAGTTCAAGGGGGAGGAGATTGGTGGTGGGGGAGCGTGGTCAAATGGGGAAGAGGAGGGTGATGGGGAAGGGGAGGGGGAGAGGCTGCTGTTAACTCGTTTGTGAGGAGGGGATGCTCACGAAGTCAAGCCATTCTGCTGAGAATCAGCCTGGTCCGTCATTTTGAGGGATGTGCTTGTCCACACTGCCTTGATGACTGTCGACAGCGTCAACAAATCTGCGGCGTTGCGAGCAGCGATGAGACGCGCCGAACTTCTAACGTCAGAAATCCTTGGTGGAGGTAATTTACACCTGTCAATAATCTGATGGGTAATCACACGTGGTGTCGTCACACAAAAGCGGCCAACGGTGACTTTTTCGATCTGGTCTGTCACTCATCCTCCATCTCACTCCCCAGATCTCCAGATACCTCTCAGGAATGTTCGCCATGGTCAAGGCGCTTCGGGAGTGGCGCACTCTCGGGCCGCTTGCGCGATACTAGGTGACCGGGCGCTCGACCTGTCTCCTCGTATCGCGCGAGCTGGCGTTCTTGAGCGGCATCATTTTCTACGCCATTTGTCCTTCATCGACATTTCGCTCAACTTACTACCAACTTGCATCACGTGTGTACACTGCTTCCTGCTCTCTCCAGGAATTAGTGAAGGAAAACGGGTGCTATAATGAGGACTTTGTCGCGCCGTCCATCGACACGCTCTGCGTGCCATGGCCTAGCACTCTCTCTGCTTGGCCGCCTCGGTGGGCGCTGCACATCTATATATCTCATGCAAACGACTATGCTACAACTAGGACGCCGGAGCGCCACCCGCCTGCGCCTGCTGCTCGCGCATCCACTGCTGGACTGAATGTCAGATTGAACTAGTACTAGTGACTCACACTGCGGGTCGTTGACATCGTACCCCATGCTGGCGTAGTACGCGAGGTACTGCTGCCACTGCTCCTCACTCGAGCCGGCGGGTGCACCAGACGAGGCACCACCCTGCTCGTAGGTCTGCTCCGAGTAACCCGTACCCTGCTGGGCCGCAGACACATTTCCGCCCATGACTGGGTATGGCTCGCCACCGTAGTCGCCACGGCCGCCGCCGTTGCGCGCCTTGTCGTACTCAATGCGCAGGATCATCAGGAGATCCTCGGCGAGCGTCTTAGCACGCTGGATCTGGTCGTCTGTTGGTGCAACGATGCTGATGTGCATCTCGTCATCGCCCTCACGTCCAGTCTCGTTCTCGAGGAACCCCGAGCCGCGCCCCTTGATCTGCACACGCGCACCTGTCTCCGCCTGGATGTGCTTGACGAACATACCCTGGGGTCAGCCTGTGTAGAGCATGGCAAGGCCCTTGATGACTCACGCCTGGGCCGACAACCTTTGCGCGAACGTTAAAGTTGCGCAGCGGCTCGAGACCAATGAAGAGCTTCTCCTCGGGCCACTTTGGCCTCTGCCCGATGCCAGGAGGGAGCACCTCACCACGCGCACGCGCACGCGCAATCAGCGTACGCTCTTCAATGAGGGGGCCAAGCTCCTGGTCCACCAGCTTCATCACCTCCTTGACGGCGGCGTCAAGGACAATTTGCGACTTGGCGGTAATGTGCAGGTATAGCGGCATCTCTCCTGGTGGCATGCGGGTGCGGTCTGGAACCCACACGCCCTTGGTCTCGATGGATGCTCCAGTTTCATCTTCGATCTAGCATTAGCGTCCACAACGGAGTCCAGAGTTTGTAGCTCGTAATCAAACTTCATGCGCCACTTACCTGCTTCTGGGTCGCTGCCTTGGTAAGGACGTAACGGTTGCGCAGGTCATTAACCTCAATGTCCTTGACAAACTCGCCCTCCGGCTTCTTGGCGCGCGCCACCAGCTCTTGCCCAGATGAGCCGGTAGGACGCAACGAGGCCGCAATCTTGGCGGCAATCTCGGCCGCCTTCGTCGCTGCGTCCTGCGCCTGCTCTGCTGTAACAGGTGGGGCGGCGGGTGGTGCGTTCGCCGGGGCGGCTTCGGCGCCAGGAGCGGGCGCGTCCCATCGAGACTTGCGCTCACGCGGGGGGTCGGCAGGAGCCTGCTCGGACATGATGGCCGATCTTGGGGGATGGGCTGGTCAGTAGCGAATAGTTTCGCTCTAGTTTGTCCGCGTAATTGCGCTGGCGGATGAGAAGGGGTGGATGGGGCGAGCGGCAGTGGATGGAGGGAGCAGAGGATTGAGGACATGTTGTTGAAATCGCGGAGTGACATCGCAGACCTCCACCCGCCACACGTGGAATTCCCGATATATCGCCGCCCAGCTTCACGCGTCAGACTTCTGTGGTGCATTTCGCATCATCAACAACAGACACCCCATACATCGCGCTCGACGGGCAACAAGTCCATCAACAGCATGGCTTTCTCATTTGGTAAGATACATAGGCGGGACTCCGTTACAGCTGCTTACTCCTCAGGCGCTCCAGCGCAGTCCCAGGCGCAGGCGCAGCCTTCCTCCTTGTTCGGCGGCAGTGAGTTGTCGACAGCTGAGAGTCATCTGACACACAGCCAACCAAGTCGCATCGTCCAGCACATCTTCGCCATTCGGGACGTTTGGGACTGCTGCCAACACACAGCCTGCGGCAAACACCTCCACCGGGACAGGCCTCTTTGGCAGTGCCAACAACGCGGCCGCGGGTAGCAGCGGCACGAGCCTCTTTGGGCAGCAGCCGAAACCTGCCGGCGGCCTCTTTGGGTCAGTGACGGCGGCGCCAGCATCCACATCTACCGGTGGGACAGGTCTTTTTGGTTCAAATGCGGGCACGCAGAACACTGGCGGTGGCGGCTTGTTTGGGGCAACGGCACAGCAGCCTCAACAGCAGCAGACTGGTCTGTTTGGGTCGGCGCAGCCTCAACAGCAGCAGCAGAGCGGCGGTCTTTTCGGGTCGACTTCCGCACAGCCTCAACAGCAGGGAGGCGGATTGTTTGGGTCAACAGCCAACACGCAACAGTCCGGGGGGTTGTTTGGGTCGACAGCTCAGAAGCCCGCAGGAACAGGACTGTTTGGATCCACAACCGCGCAGCCAGCAGCAGGCGGGGGCCTCTTCGGTTCAGTGGCTCAGCCCCAGCAGCAGGGTTCAGGTCTGTTTGGCGCTTCCACAGCGCAGCCCGCGCAGCAGCAAAGCAGCCTCTTCGCGCCCAAGCCAGCAGGCGGGCTGTTTGGTTCGACCGCTCAGCCTCAGCAGCAGTCGGGTTTGTTTGGCTCCACTGCCCAGCAGCCTCAACAGAACATGTTTGCGTCTACTTCCCAGCCTCTTGGGCAGTCGACTGCCGCTCCTCAGGGACAGGACATCGAGAGCCGGATCATGTCAATCAAGAACTCGTGGGACGACAACAGTCCTGATTGTCGCTTCAAGTACTACTTCTATAATGTGGTCGACCCGGGTACATCTCAGGCGTATGGGCGACCAGCTGGGGCGACGGACGACTCGAAGTGGATGAGAGCTGTGCGCGACAACCCGGACCCACAAAAGTGAGTCCTGTCAACTGTGGGTAGCTGACGGCAGCATGGTGCCAGTACTGGCAACGGGCTGGAAGGACGTGAAGAAGCGTGTCGAAATGCAGGAGCAGGCGGCGAGCGTGCACCAGCAGCGGATCAAGGAGCTGAATCAGGCGCTGGCCAACCTGTCGCGTCAAACCTCACTTTCGTCCAGCGTGCGCCTGCAGGCGCTTCAGGCACAGCTCTCGCAGCTCACCCAGCGGCTGTTAGCGTTGGCGGCGAAGAGCCCAACCTTTGCGCCAGTGCAGAGCTCGGCGTTCCGCCCCGAGGAGGGCGAAATGAAGCACACGCTTGAGGAGGTCAAGGACGCACTGGATGGGCGGGCGAAGCCGTCGCGCGGGGTCGGGCTTGGATCGCAGCGGCCACAGCACAAGGGCCGCATGCTCGGCCAGATCAACGAGCTATGGGGGCTTGTGGAGGAGGTGCGCCGGCAGCGGCGTGCGAGGGGGCACGACGCACAGGCGTGGGCGGGCGACGAGAAGCTGCTCACCGAAATTGCGATTGTGCTGGACCAGCAACAGGCGGCACTCACCAAACTGAACGAGCTGGCGAGCGACAATGTCTTTGACGCGGATGTGATGCGCGCAGGGCTGGCGGCTGTGGAGAAGAAGTAGGCGCAGCATGTAGGGTACTTTTGCATTGCATGTACATAGTCGGACACAGCAGCAGACATCGAGAGACGCACATTGCTGTGATCACGGCCAAATCCGAGGAATGAGCTCCATGCCATGCGGAGATTATGGAAGGTCTCAACCTCTCAGGACGTCATCTCATCTCACTCACTTCCACTTCACCACTCGTGTTCCTCTCTCGCTCTCTCACCTCTCCTCCTTCGTGCTCACCACCTCCGTCCTGCTGTTACCTTTGCCCGTCCTCGACGCTCAACGGTCACCGTCCTCGCCTCTCCCTATTGCCTTCTGTACGCGAGTCACCTTGCCCTTGCAAGTGTCACCACCTTCTCCCTTTCCAGCACCCGCCGACGTCTACGATCATGTCTATTCTCATAACTGGCTTCGAGCCCTTCGCCGGCGACTCCGAGAACCCATCACGCCTTAGCGCCCGTCAAGCTGTTGCTCTCCTCAGGGCGGAGGGACATGATGCCCACTTCCTCGAGGTTCCTTGCGTCTTCGCTACCGCCTTCCCCACGGTAAAGGCCGAGGCAGAGCGCGTAGGCGCCGAAATAGTCATCGCAGTCGGTCTTGCCGGAAGTCGCAGGGCCATCTCGCTCGAGTCAAGGGCCAAGAACATCATAGATGCTCGCATCCCCGACAATGCTGGCGGGCAGCCACGCAACGTCCCCGTCGTGCCCGGTGGCCGGAAGACCCTCCCGTCCCGTCTTCCGCTTTCGCGCGCAGTCGAGGCCATTATCTCATACGACCCTTCTGAAGGCATCTCCGATGCCTCGGATGATGCACACGAAGCCCAGGGGGTTTTCACGGGCGGCATTCCCATCGAGATTAGCAAGAGCGCAGGAGAGTACGTGTGCAATGCGCTCATGTACGCCTCGCTGGCTGGCTTCCCCGAAGACATGTCAGTCGGCTTTGTCCACGTTCCCCGCTTCAACAAGGTCGGACTTCCAGAACAGGCCGCTGCACTCACGATTGTGGCCAAGGAGACACTGGCAGCTCGTATCCGGTTGCGCAAGGCCTCCGGGAAGTGTCGTGGAGCATAGGAACTCCGTCAGGTGAGGAGAGCAGAAGCTGGTGCAAACGCTGACACCAGACTTGTAGCCTTATGCGTGGAATCATTCGAATGCATGTAGTACAGATGTGCAATATGGGACCTATGCTGTCTCGAGAGTCTATCGCCTTCCTGCCGGCCTCTATCCTCCCTCCTTCTTCCCTTCTACCTCGATGTACACCTCAGTGCTATCCTCACTTGAGCGGCGCGACGGCTGTAGCCTCAACGGTAAGTGGGCGCTCCCTCACGATGTCCACGACGTGCCGCAGCTGCTCGAGGAACACGAAGGTGCAGATGGTGTTGGGGGTGAGGCGGATCCACGCCGGCAGCCATCCGCGGAAGAGGAACATTGGGCCTTCGCGCTTGAAGCTGTCGGTGAGGATGTGCATGACGCTTGCGTCCGAGTTGTGCATCACGCGCGACTTGACGACGTCTGCGGGCGAGCACACGGTCGTGGCGAACGTGCCGGCAAGGGCGGAGGCCGAGAAGTGGAGCGGAATTCCATCCTTCATCCCGAACCCCTGGAGCGTCTCCTTGAACATGTCGTAGCTGACGAGCTGGGACGCGTTCATGATGACGCTGCGCACGACGTTGGGCACCATGCCGAGGAAGAGGGAACTGACACCCTCCGCGCCGACCATGCGGTACACGCCGTGCAGCGCGTTACGGTAGTGCTGCTGCTGCGCGAGCGGTTTTGTTGGGTCGGTGATCATGCGCACGAGCACAACGTCCGCCGGGTTGCCCGCGAGGCCTGCGAGAGCGCCTGCTGCACTAGCGCACGCCGTGAGCTCGCCCATGCCAAGGTGCTTCGCGCCTGAGGTCAGCTGTGACCGCCGACAGCGGCGCGGCGGAACGGGCTCATGGCCATACCATCCCCACGCGCTTGAAGCTACTCACCATTCTTCGAGAGCTTCTGCTTGATGCTGTCGTACACGCCCAACCTTGTAAGGCTGTACGTCATTTGCCGGAACACGCTCGCCGTGAGACCGGTGTACAGTCCTCGCACGCCTGGTGTCAGCTCCGCGGCGTAGTGCGTCGCCACCACCCATCTCAGTCAGCAGCACACGCCTTTCTGTGCGACAGCACCCCGCCGTACTGGGCCAGTGCGAATGGATCGCACATTATTGTTACCCCGACGGAGGTGTCGCTGGGTAGTCACCTCTCCCTGCCTCCACACTGCCCTACCCAGCCCTTCCGCCTCCCAGCGCCAGCGCCCAGCTGGCCAACGAGCTCCTCACACCCTTCCCCCGCTTCTTCCTGCTAGACGGACACCTACCCTTCTGTGCAAGGACGTCCTTGATGGATCCGACAAATGTTGTCTTGTGCGCTGCGGTCTGCATTCGCACGCGCATCACGTCTAGGGGGTGGGTGCAGCATGCGGCCACTGCAATGAGCATTGAGCGCAGCGGGGGAACTCACTGGAGCCAGCGACGCCTGTGAGAGTAAGCGTGGGGGGAGGAGTGGCGCGGTAGAGCAGAGCAGAACGAGGTGCGGAGCGAGAGTGGAGCGAGGGGTGGGTTAGATAACGTCAGTACGGTGCAGCGCTGTAGCGGGGAGAGGGGGAGTACACACCTCCGAGCCTGCTGTCAGCGCCGCCATGATCTGAAGCTCACCAGAAGGGATATGGCTGTTTTGTCTTGCCCATGGTGAGCGGGATGGGATGGGGATGGTGGAGCGGAAGATTATTCGGGTTTGTTGACACTCCGACAGTCGAGGGATATGCCGAGGTGATGGTGACGAGAACGGTTGAAGCGGTGTGAGAGTGGTGAGCAAGAGACGAGAGTGCGGACAGAGCAATGCAGCAAGCACGGGCTGTCCAGTCTATATCACGCCAGATATCCGAGTCAGAGCGCTGCACGGCTCGAGAGGGCTCGAGGCCGAGCGGCGTCGGTACCCCCGCCGAACGCCGCCAAACCGCGATGATCCCTTATTTTTCCTCATTTCCCTCGGACACGGCCGAGTTTTCCATTTCACTACATCCTCGCCAATCTCCGCCAATAACACGCCGCTCGAAAATCACCATCTTGGGGCCTCCGCACGTCTCTTCTGCGCTGCGCCTCTCCTCTCCCCGCATCGCCTCAACCCGCATGCACCAGAGCAAGCATGCATCGCTCTGGGGCCGGAGGCACGTGTGCAGTCGGCCCGTCGCCAGCGTCGACGACCCATGCCGCGGCATTCGGCGTTCAGCCTGATTGTTGACACAGCGGTGCCATCCTCAGCTGATAGCGGACCTCCGGACAGGCACATCGGCGGACGGCGGGAGAATCGCCCGACGTCCGTCCGGCATTCGTCTCCGTCTCTGACGCCGAACTCAACGCCGCTGATTGCGATAACGCACCGGCAGGCATGCAGACAGGCATGCAGGCATGCATGCAAGGCGTGCAACGTTGAGGCAGGCTGGGATAACTGGGTCAACTCGGTGGCGATATTACGTGCGCCGGGCGGAATGCGCTTGCCCATGCCGCCTGCTCGGTCATCTTGCGATGTTGTCATTCCGCGGCCGCGTGCGCCGCCGTCGTTCCTGCTCCCCAGTCCTCCGTCGGCGTTGTGGGGGCCGGGGGCGGGGTGTGGGGTGCAGCTGACGTCCGCATCTGTGACCTGCCCGCTCATCTCCTTCTCGCCCAACTTAATCTTGTCGAGGTAATCATGTGCGTCAGATCTGATATTAGGAGGCAACTCGTGTTCAGCCGCGGCAGGTGAATTGTCACTTTGACTTGTGCCGACGTTCGCTTCCACTCGCTTAGACGGGATTGTTGACTCCGGAGAGATACACGGTAAGTGCACATGCGTGTACCATGTACATGCGTGCAAGCACTCTCTTCGAGTCTACGTCGCATGTCGTCGTAGTTTAGGCGTCCTTTCTTTGGAGGCGGATGCACATGGCCGGGTGGTTGTGTCTCCAGAACCGATTCTGTCGTCATGAGTCACAGCGGACCACGGGCGCTAAAGATCGTGACGAGGGTCGTAAGCCGTCTTGTCCACTTGGGGGGTACATCCAGTTACCATGTTGTCTACCTGTTCCCCCAACAGAGCCGTACAAGACTGGCATTATTCGCTACCCCTCTGATGCCTCTCGTCACTACCAACTCAACAACCCCACCCCCACGCCGTGGAGACCCCGGCGTCGGCGACTTGCGCCTCGTCGTATCGGACACGACGAATCCGGCGAGCCTGGCGGGGTACGCGAGCGCCACTGTCGCCACTGATGAATCTCTTCATTCCCCTCCCAAGGTATGCATCTGCACGCCATCACCATATGAGCTTGGTCAAACGCCTCTCGCCCGGTCCTTCACGCATCTCAAATGTTTACACCTCGACCATCTCCCCCTCGCCCCAAATCCACGTTTTGCCCACAACCTTGACTCGCCCGTCCTCGAGCGATACCTTGAGACCTCCACCACGTTTGCTGACCTGCCGCGCGTCCAGTGTGACGCTCTTTGGGTCGGCACCATTGAGGAACCCCCGCCCGTGCCCGAGGAGATAATACTCTGCGAGCGTAGCGTGCGCTGAGCCCGTCTGCTGTCAGTCCAAAACCATCGCTCTCGGGGGCATCCTCACGACTGGGTCCTCGGGAATACCGAAGCCCTCGATGAACACGCGCGAGTTGATGCCTCCCGCCCGCGTCCTGTCGAGTTGCGTGACGATGCAGTAGTGCGCGATGGTGGGGTACAACGAGCGCGAGTCGACTTTGAGACTCGCAAGGTCGACGTCCGGCGTGAGGCGGACGATGCACGACCGGTCATCCATGTACGTGACCACCTCCTCGATTTTGCGTGGGTCGAGGCCTGCGGCCGAGGCGAAGAGCTTGCCGAATTCCCCGCTGCGCGCGCTCGGCGCACTCGGCCCGCCGATGGGCAGCGAGATAGCCACCTCTCCGCCCTGCCCGCGGCTCACGCATGTCGCTGTCAGCCGCCCCGCGAGGGTATCAAAGTACACCTCCTTAGCCGAGGTTTCGACGCAATTGAAGAGGATGTGCGAGGTCGCTAGCGTTGCATGACCGCACAGTCTGGATTCCTGTCCTCAGCCACCCCTCTACCACTCCACCTTGCTCACCTGGCCAGACGCCGTCCACCAGCGCAGCGCATATACTCCCTCTCCCCTAGGCGTGACCACCGCCGTCATGGGCATTTTGAAGTCTTCTCCAAGGGCGCGACAGTACGCGTCGTCCAGACCACGCTCGTCGCCGGGCGGAAGGAGGACGACGGCAGCCTGGTTACCGCCGTGGGCGTGAGTCGCGAATGCGTTGGCGAGGAAAAATCGTGCCATGGTGTGTGTGGGTGCTGTTAGCGTAGGATCAGAGAGCGCGCTCGAGGTCTTTATGTATCAGTGTCCTGCACTCTTCTGGGCTTCCGAATGATTGATAAGCCAGCACGCAAGGAGGTGGTCTCGAGTCAAGCAGATGGAATGGCTCACGAGGTGCCGACTCAGATCTCGGTTCCAGTCGTCCATCAAGATCTCGGATCATCGATATACAAGAACCTGCTTCGATGCCACGTGGAAACAGCATTACATTGCGGTGTAAGGAACAATCCTAATGAGCTAAGAGTCTGACGTCACTGCCGCCATTGCGTGTCGTTGCCACCGGCGCCAACAGCAGCCACCTTCCTCAATCACATCTCTTCTTGCAACTACTCTCTTCCTCACTACACCATGGTCCGCGGTTCTGACATCCTCATCGCGCTCATCGCCATCATCTTCCCACCCGCAGCGGTGGCCATGATGACCAGCTGCAGCTGCGACCTCATGATCAACATTGCCTTGACTCTTCTGGTGAGTTTGAGGGGGCCGTGCACGGATGAGTCCGCTGTCTCTTCCCTCGTATCTGCTCCTGCCTGCCTTCTGTTTTAGCAACTCGCTGACCCCAGGGCTACCTCCCAGGTCACATCCACGCGTTCTGGATCCTCTACAAGAAGATGCGCGCAGAGGAGATGTACGGCGCAACCGGGTACATCTACGTCGGCAACGGCGAGTACCAGCCGTCCAACGACCCGCGTCGTGAGTTATGTTTTTGTGGAGGTGGACCAGAGTAGAGTGGGCGTCTGCCATGTCCGCGACTTCCCACGTCCTGGACTGCTGCCGTTGTGCTGCTGTTGCCCATCATGCCCGGCCGCGCCGCCTGCCTTTGCGTAACCGTGCTAACCCCAGCTCCTCCCCCTCACTACGGCCAGAACTATGGTGCCACCGGCCAGCGCTACTAGGCTTGAGCCGCATACGCGACCCGCGCCTGAATGCGATATTTTCACGAATCCCACAGCCTTGTTCGCCGCGCATTTTTCCGCACAGGGCACTGTTTGAAACCCGAGATTTGTTGATACAGAGCGGTGCGCCCCACACGCCCGGAAGGTCCCTCTATGCTATGCACACTGTTGACACGAACCATGGTTATGAAAGGGTTGATTTTTTTCCGCATGCAAAGGCAAGACTTTGAGACACTTCGTGACATGATGCAAGTGCGCTGCTTTCTCATCAGAGAAGAGCGGCGGCCTATCCGGCCGCCAGTGCCGAAACATTGAACGAAGTTGGCTGAGCAGTAGTTCGCTGACTTCAGCTTGAGCTCCAAGACACTGACGGCAGCGCGCTCGGCGTGGCGGTCACCATTCTTCGCGGCAGTGGCTGATCACCGCCGGCCTGAATAAACGAGCCGGCTGATCGCCGATGGCCTTGTCCCGGCCCTGACGTCAGTGATCAACCCGTCACATTCGGACAGAGACAAAACCTGCAGATAAAAAGCCCATCTGTCTCGGTGTCTCGGGCTCTCGACTCCACGTCAACCCTCACCACTGGACCCCTACCAAGCGAGAAAGCACCATGGCAACTACACGACAGACCACTACTCAGACGGCGTGGAGCGCAAGCGCTTGGGATTGGATTTTGTTCTGGTTCACGAGCACTCTTCATGTCGGCTTCCCTATCATCAACTGGATTTTGCGCTACAAGCCTCGCTGGACGCCGGAGCAGATGACCGACAAGTCCGGGCAGGTGTGTACCATCTTTCTCGAGGCCGTGTTACTGCCCCATGTACTAACGCACAGGTTGTGCTGATCACTGGCGCGAACTCGGGAACGGGCTACGCCACGGCACAGGCATACTACAACGCCGGCGCACGAGTCATCATGGCATGCCGGTCGGCCCAGCGCGCCGAGCAGGCCATCACCGAGATCCAGTCAGGTGCTCGCCGGGACGTCACCGGTACTCTCCAAGTCCCGTCCACGCCGCCCAAGACGCCTGGCTCGCTCGAGTTCCTCTCGATGGACCTGTCGGACCTGCACTCCGTCGAGGCGGCGGCCAAGACGATTCTTGAGCGCGAGCAGCGCATCGACGTCTTCTTCGCCAACGCGGGCATCATGGCCGTCCCTCCCGCCGAGACGAAGCAGGGGTACGCGCTGCAGTTCGGCACCAACGTCCTCGGCCACCAGCGCCTGATCTCGCGCCTCCTGCCGCTGCTGCAGGCGTCGTCGCGCGCCAACCCCGGCTCGCCGTCGCGCCTCATCGTCTCATCGTCCGTCGCGCATGCGCTTGCGCCACACCGCGGCGGCGACGACGGCGGGATCGCCTACGACACCCTGCGCGGCACCGGCAAACTCGACCGCATCGCCGAGTACGGCGAGAGCAAGTGGGGCTCGGTCGCGCTCGCGCGCTACGTCGACGCGCACTACGGCCCGGGGACCAAGGACGGCGAGATCCTCTCGTACGCCATCCACCCCGGCCCCGTCGCCAGCAACCTCGGCAACCACCTCGGTGCTGTCGCGCTCCTGCGCATCAACCAGGCCGTGCTCACCGCCATGCAGCTCACGCCCGACGAGGGCGCCCTCAACCAACTCTGGCTCGCTGACATGCCTGTCGACCAGGCGCGCAAGCTCAGGGGCGAATATGTCGCGTGCATCCAGAACCCGATGCCCGCACGCCCAGACCTCAGCAACCCCGCTGCATGGGAGAAGCTGTGGAACTGGTGCGAGGCGGAGGGCAAGTTGCTGTAACCATGTCCATGTCCAGATTCGTCTAGATGAAATACATGTATACCCATTATGACCTGTTGGAATCATTGCCCGACTATTTGCTTCCGTCGCCTTCCGCCGAAGTTACGAAGTTGAACATGACGCTCAACAGTTCTCCTCGACATCATTCAGCATCTACCATGTCAGCAGCCCGCGCGACATTCAAAGACAAGCAGCCGCTCAAGACGCTCGCACGCGCAAGCAAATCGTGCGCGACGCAGGTATGTCGTTGTGCAACGCTGAAGCGGCGCCATCGCCCCGCCTTCCCCCCCCCCCCCCCCCCCCCCCCCCCCCCCCCCCCCCCCCCCCCCCCCCCCCCCCCCCCCCCCCCCCCCCCCCCCGAACCCCCCCACAACTAACCCCAGTCTGTCGCGTACGGCGCATGTATCGGGCGCAGCTACCAGGAGGTACACCGGGATATGTGCAAGGACGAGTTCAAGGCGTTCAAGGAGTGTGTCCAGGTGCGTTATGGTGGAGGCGTCGAGCTGACCGACAGAAGGCGATGGGGCGCAAGTGGTAAACCTCGAACTACCTCCGCGCACTCCGCTCCATGAGGAGGCTTGCGGGTCGTTGAATCGCTGCACCGGCGTCTCCGTCCTGTCGTGCCCACGACGCGCGTTTCTGCGAGCCTTCCCTCGGCGCAGCACACCACGGCTTCCGCCCTCGCCGACTTGCTCCATCGGCCTGCACCCACGCCGCTTCCCACTGTATCATAAACTCGAATGCATGGTATATTCTATGCGTAACAGTATCTCTATATCTAGTCGTCGCGCTGCGCGTCCTTGTCGTCCCACAGCACCGCGGTACGCTCGACATGGCCTGGGGCACGGAACCTCGTCATCTCGCCCATACGCACGGCCTCCCACTCAATGCGGATGAACACCCACATCCAGCGCCGCACAAGCTCAAGCGCTTCCAACATGAACACGCCGCTCTCAATGTCGCTGATGACGTGCAGATGCGACGAGAGCTCAAGGCTCCACGTGAACCGCAGCACCAGGTCGAGAATCGCGAAGAGGTAGTATACTGCGGGGTCGGGGAGGAGCAGGGTTGGCCGCAAGCCCCAGTGCGCGGTGCGGCGTGTGGGACTGTTGGATCGGCTGTTGGATCGGCTGTCGAACCCGCCTGGCGTGGGAAGGGGGGAGCGCTGGTGCGGCGATGTGAGGCGGGACCAGAGGCCGCGCGGCTGGGAGAGAGAGCGCACGTGGGTCGGCGCGTACTCGCTCCTTGATAGCGTCCAGGTGTCGACCTCGAGCAGGGAGAGACCCCAGTCCTTCTGCACATCCCAGTAGAAGGAGAACATCGAGTTGACGACGACGGCGAGCAGCCACAGTCGGAAGAGGCGGTGCTCGCCAAACCAACGGCCGCTGGCGCTCAGCTCGGCTGCGCTCATTCCCTTTGCTGCGGCGACCTCTGTGACGACGTTCTTCTGCAGCGCAGAGAGGAAGATGACGGGGAACGCCGACGCGTACTTGCACGCGTTGGCGAGAGGTCGCGTGCTCTTCCACCCCGAGTGGTAGAACTCGATCATGCACTGTCTGAAACGGATAACGTATGGGAGGCTGAAATTAGCGATGGTTCATACGAGGCGAGTACTCACCACACCATGCCGAGGACGAGCCACTTGGTCGCACCGTGGGGCACCTGGCGGCCGTGGGAGATGCCGCCGAAGACGATCTGATTGGCACTAACGAACAAGTCGCCGATGACCTTGGCGAAGCTCGTGAGGATATCCGCGAGGATAACGTCGCAGAAGAAGATGGGATCGCGGATCGGTGGGTTGATGCAGCGCGCAAGGGCGCGCCGCAACGCTCTCCGTTCTCGGTACCCGACCCCTCGAAGGGGAGTTAGGCTCACGACTAGTGGCAGGAGGCAGATAACGCCAACCAGGCCACGCCACCTCTCCATCGCCTCCGTGTCGTCGCCGCAGATCACCCGGAACGCGGCGTATCCCGCCACGCACCAGGCCGTGTAGCCCAGGAAGAGCTTGTACACCGGTCCGTAAAGGTACTGAGACGGGACAAGCGACGGTTGCCGGGGCACCTCGGTATACGTGTCGTCGCCATCTCTGATGTCGAGAGCCCAAGATACGTCGAGCCCGAGGAGGGAGAGGACGTTTAGGTTGACCGCCCAGAGAAGGATGGCGAGGCCGACGAGAAAGAGGACGCGGAAGGGGAGGGGGAACGACGCGCTGAATTCAGGGAGGGGGATGGGCAGGTCGCCCGGCGGCGTGTCAACGTCCATCGTGTCGAGACATGGGGTGTGCCCGGGGCGACAATGTCAAAGCGGAGATGATGAAGGAGAGTGTGGAGACTCAAGAGGAGGGAGACATGAGTTGATGCGACGAGTATCGTCAACAGCGCTCGAAAGAGGTGGCGGCGACGGGTGCCGGGTGCCGGCGGGAAGCCACTTTTTGCTTCCGCCTCCACCGAGGATCTGTGATCTGCAAACGTGGCCAGGCACCGGAGACCTCAGGCACACCTGATCATGTTGTGCTGGCCGCGAGCAAGTTCAGTCGCGTCCCGTCTCCGTCGACGAACAAAGTTTAGATACGCGTAGTTGTGTCTCTACATCATCTTAGACTATTCCGCCATTACTCTGGTAGATATCCACTCCCGACTCCCGACTCCTTGGGCTCACATCTGCCTACGCCTTCTTCGACTTCTTCTTGCTGCTCTTCTTAACAGGCTCCTCCGTCCCGCCGAGGTTGTAAACCGTGCGCCCTACGAAGCTCACAATAGCAACCACAGCGCAGAGCACGATTGCGGCGTCCTCACTCATGTGCGTTCCCAATCCCCAAGGCCACCCCCTGACCGGACCGACTAGGGAGAGGAACAACACCGGAATTACAACAGCGATCCACGCGTCAACAGCCATCCAACCACCAGGCTTGAGCTCGTTGGGGGTGGACAGCTCCATCTGCGGTGCAAACCAGTTGGTACCCGAGAAAATGAGGGCAGCGAATGGGACCGCGAGAATGAAGGGGACGAGGAGGAGCGTGCTGGGCGTCGCGGGAAGCACCTTGGCTCCCTCGGGAGGGTGCAACAAAGGGACGATCGAGAAGCGGGTGAGCAGAAGGGTACGGCCGATGGCATCCAAGGGCGCGAGTGCGAGCTCCATGAGGTAGTTCGGCTTAGCGGGCACAAGGGCGCGCAGGGGAGTCCGCGTGAGCGCGAAGTCTGGCGTCAGAACGAGGGGGAATTGGTGTCTAAGGAAGCGGATGGCGAAGTAAAGAGAAGGAGTGGGTACGGAAAGCGAGGCAACTCACGGACGCCGGCGAAGAGGAAAACGAATGTCGGATTGACCAGCCAGCTAGGCGGCGTGCCGGTGCAGAGCGCTAGTGTCAATTGTGTGCCGAGGCGAGGAAGAGCATCACGCGACTTACCGAGGAACGTCTCGCCGCCAAAAACAACAATCAGCATGCCCAGAGCCTCTTGAAGATAGCTCGCACGCGGGCGTCCTTTTGTGTCGCTCGCAACCCAGTTGACACCCATGCTGAGCCGCGCGGCGCCGAAGACATCCAGTGCGCCGACCGGGGCGTAGGGGTGGAGCGGGGCGAGGAGGGGCGGGACATGGCCGTACACGGGGGCGAGGGACTCGGCGGCGGCCGCAAACGAGCGGGCTGCGCGAGCCGACATCGTGACAGAGTCAAGAGTTGGTGGAGAATGAGTAGACAGAAGGGCCAGAGTAAGAAGAAAAGAAGAGAAAGTGAAGGGCGGGTGAATGGCAATCAACAACACGAGAACGGGAATTTCGATCGTCGGCCCGATCGCCGGCATGACGTCGGACCACAGGTCGGCGATTTCGCGGCTCAATGTCGGAGATCGAGCGCTACATTGAATGTTCACAGTCCACGATGAGCAGCTAATTGTCCGTTGCACTCATGACGCGAGTTGGGCATTCTGGCCAGCGTTCTCGTCTTATGGCCTCATGCGTGCGGCTCACTGACACAGATACAGGACATAAGCGATGGGCAATTGCCCACCTGCAATGCCGGTGCCTGTCCACGAGCTCCGCGCGACCTCACTAAAGCGGCTCGAGGATGATCCTCGATGGCGGAGGACGACACTTGCATCCGCCCATAACACCATGACAAAGCACGCCGCAATCCACCGCCGTGACGGCGCGCTGCACGTCGAAGGCGTCTCCGCTGCCTCGCTCGTAGCCTCCCACGGTACGCCGCTGTTCGTCTACTCCCGCGCCGCACTCATGTCGGCGTGGGACGCGTGGATGGCGGGCATCGCCGCATCGAACCGCGGAGTCAATGGCCCCGAGGTTAAGGTCCACGTCGCGGTAAAGGCGAACAGCAACCTAGGCGTGCTGAGTGTATTTGCGCGCCTCGGTGCCGGCTTTGACATTGTCTCTGGCGGCGAGCTGCGCCGCGTCCTCGCCGCGGGCGGAAAGGCCGCGGACGTCGTCTTCTCCGGTGTGGGAAAGAGCGTCGAGGAAATCCGTGAAGCGCTGGTCGCCGGTGTCAAGTGTTTCAACGTTGAAAGCATCCCAGAGCTCTCGCGGCTCGATGACATAGCTGGGTCGCTGGGGATGAAGGCCCCGGTGGCGCTGCGGATCAATCCAGACGTAGATGCCAACACGCACGCATACAACACCACAGGTAAAAAGGGAAACAAGTTCGGAATTGACTATGGCGACGCGCGAGAGGCATACGCTGCCGCAGCGAGCATGGCCCATTTGGATGTTTGTGGCGTCGACTGTCATATCGGGTCAGGCATCACAGACACAGCGCCCTTCATCGCGGCGGTCGACCGCGTGCTCGACCTCGTCGACATCCTCGAGTCCAATGGCATCCCCATCGCTCACATCGACCTCGGGGGTGGTTTGGGCATCGACTACGGGGACGGCGCAACGCCGCCACCGACGCCTGAGTTCGTTAAAACCATCTTGGATCACGTTGATAAACGCGGCCCGAGGCCTGTATGGTTCGAGCCAGGCCGCAGCCTCACAGCCGCTGCCGGCCTGCTTCTTTCCAAAGTGGAGTATCTCAAGCCAGGACCGGCCGGAGGAAAGAACTTCTGTATCATCGACGCCGCGATGAACGACCTTGCCCGACCCACAGTCTACGGCGCGTTCCACCGCATCGAAGCAGTGGAGGAGAGGGTCGGTGACACCGAGGTGTACGATGTGGTAGGACCAGTGTGCGAAAGCGGCGACTGGCTCGGTCGTGCGCGCGAGCTCAACGTAAAAGTGGGCGATCTGCTTGCTGTGCGTGACACGGGGGCATACTCGTTCGTCATGTCGAGCAACTACAATACGCGCCCGCGAGCAGCGGAGATCATCGTTGACGGGGAGAGTGTGCATGTTGTGCGGAAGCGGGAAACGGTTGAGCAGTTGTTGTCGATGGAGACTGTGCTGCCGTAGTTTGTAGTTCCGCGACGAGACTGTCAAAATGCCATGGCTCAGTGATACGGCCCTGCACGCAAAGTAGGCTCCCCGTGATTGTTCAAATCTCCCCACTTCTCCTCCTCATCTACAAGCCAGTCCTGACTCAACTACACAGTCTTCTTGGTTTCATGTTACTGTCTGTTTCTGCCATGCTTGACCTTGCGGTCGCAAGGCGACGACGCCACCGGCGCGCACGGGCCCCCGTACCGCCTCGTTATATCAGTCGGTAGATTAAATGACTCTTAATGCGGATATTTGTTCCGGTTGATCATTCGGTCGTGGGTTCGAGCCCCACACGAGGCTGCGCGCTGCAGAGCGCGTGTGAAGGTTTTGAAAGGCAAGCTTTTGGGTTTGCAGACTGCACGGTGCACGCCTGCACCAGGTGATCACGTTTAGGGAGAAGCAAGATAGGGATGATGGATTTTAGATGACAATAGTCACGAGCCGGAGCGTGGAGGCGGCATGACCGGCAGCAGCAGACAACTCATGAACTTCGTCCAACAAAATTAGCCAATACTCGGGGGAGACCCAGGACACAGAAAACAGTGGCATATAATGGCTGGAAGCACGGCGGAATTAGCACTGCACTGTCAGCGTGCGTCAACGCCGAAAACAGTCCTTGCCATTGGCTCGCCCCAATGAAAAATATCCGAAACTCCCTAAACTTCCAAAACATCTCCCACTAATGCTCTTCAAGCTCTCTATGACGCTTGTGTGGATTGAACACACGACCGAACGAACTGGGCGCTGCTGCGCTTCACTCGCTCGCTCTCCCACTGAGCTAAAGCGTCAATGTGGCAGTGTTGCAGAGGACTCTTTGGGCGGGAACTTTGCTCCAAATGACACATCTTCAGCTGCTTGGTGAATTCAGAGCAGTGCAAGGTCGTGTTATTCTGTTGAAAAGGGTGGCAAGATACGCAGAGTAATAGAGGGCACGTGAGAGTCCAATCGGGCGAGACAAACTCGCTCAAACATAATGAGCCGCCGCAGTCCGCGATTTCCCAAATACTTAGCTTGGAATTTACCTGGATAATATCGAGGGACTCCGATAGCCTCGCACAGCAGAGGCACTGACACGTCAGCTACTCATTCGAATATTACGGGACTGGACTTGGTCGCCACCATGGGTCGCGTGGCGAAATGGCATCGCGTCTGACTACGATTCATCATCGTTCTCAATCAGGAGATCGCGGGTTCGACCCCCGTCGTGACCTATAGAGCTTCGCGAGGAGTTCTAACACATCTTTTGGATTGAATGGACACGGGAGGGATGTGGGATACACGGGGTGGCCACCGGGGGCCGGGTTTGGAGGTAAGAGTGGGAATGGGGGCCCATACAAAGGTCCGCTGTGAGCCTGCGCGGATTGGTGCCATGGACAGCATGCACGATGAGTGCTAGAGAACGGGTGGGATGGAAGCGAGTGGTGGTGAGTGAATCGATAGTGCCGGGGGCCTCAAGGGCATTGTGTCACCTCCCACTTCTTTGTCTACACGTGCTTATCCTCGCCATGATTGTTCTAGAATTATTCTGCCGATTCTGTGCGGCGACTGTACTTGCGCAATTATTGTCGAGTTTGATCTGATATGAGAGGGGGGAAGGCCCGCGAGAGGTGAATAGTGGTGGAGGAGAATGCGATGGTGAATGGGGATCGGGAGGGTGAGAAGCAAGAGATGGAACACATAGCACAGTGATAAGGAAGCGATAATGAAGAGTGGAAAGTCATGCATGTATGGCATCACCCTCTCATGGCCGTTACTCGTTGTCGAGTGACGACGACATGATGTGTGCGACTGCCGTTGCGGAGCCGACGCGGCATCAGTAGTGGACTCTCGCCCTCCCTGGCAGCCCGGTTGAATGCAATTATGCTAATGCTGACATGGTGCTATGGGGTACAAATGATTACTCGTCGTCCGAGTCGCCCTCCTCATCCTCATCGTCGTCGCTCTCCTCGGCCTCGAGGTCGAGCAGCCCCTCCTCATCCGACTCGAGCGGGTCATCGCTCTCGTCCTCATCCTCACTGTCATCCTCATCACCGTCCTCGTCCTCATCATCGCTCGAGCCGCCCATCATGTTGATGTCCTCGATATCATCCTCGTCCTCCTCGCCAACCTCAATAGGCACCTCGTCGTCGCTCTCCCCCTCGACATAGTGCTCGCCGTCGCCCTTGTCGACCTCCATAGCCTCGGCGGCCTGGCGGCGAAGTGCGATCTGGGAGAGGGCGAGATCAAGGCGACCCGAGAGCGACACGAGAGGCTCATACAGCTCCATGCGCGAAGCCAGGAGGTTGGAGAGCGTAGCGAGCTGGCCGGGGAGGGAGGGGATGGTCATGAGGATGTGGCCACGCTCGATGAGCACGCCCTTGACCCACTCGACGGTGCCGCGTCCCTGCTGCTCGTTCTGCGCACCACCGCGGCCTCCTCCACGACGGTTGGCGCCCTTGCCCTGCCCGAGACGCTCGACGCAGGCCTTGACGAGAGGCAGCGAGAGGTCGACGGGCAGCTTGCGCACCGTGTTGCGGATGAGAACGGGGTCGCGGTGAGACAAGCAGAGGGTGAGGAGCGCAGGGTCCGAAGTGTGAAGCGCCTGGACAAGCAGACGAGTGAGGGAGGCGGCGGTGGTGGCACCCTTCGCAGGCGGTGCTGCGGCGTCGCCGTTGGGCTGGGGACCGGTGGGAGCAGCGAGGAGGCGCTCGCCGAGGGTGAGATCGGCCATGTCGACATCCGCGGGGAGGGCTGCGGCGGACTCGTCCTTCTCGTCGTCCGCAGCCTGGACAGCGTGAGCCGGAGCGGTGTAGCGCTGCAGGTTGTTGGAGCCCTTGGCAGTGTCCTTGGGCGCGACCAGGTCCTGTGCGTCCGTCTTGACGACGACGTTGGTTGCGAGACCACCTTCAGGCTGCTCAATGGTCGCCGAGTACCACTTGACACGGCCACCGCCAACCATGCGACCGCAAGAGAGGACAGCGGGAGCACCGTCGTCGACGGGAGCGAACTCGACACGGCAGATGCTCGCCGTCTTCCCCTCCTTGCCCTCGACGAGCTTCACCTTTGCCGGCTTGTTGTTTGACTTAGGCCGTGCGAAGTTGAGGTCGGTAAGGGCGATTGGGAAGACGGAGATCTCGCCATCGTCGTGGAGGGCGGCGACAAACTCGTCCGAGAGGGCAACAGAGTGCACTGGTGACAATGTTGGCGAGGTGTACCGGTATGAGAGCTTGGCTGCGGCAGTCGGAGAGCCGGGGAATGTGTACTGATTGACAGTGCGGTCGTCCTCGCACACGACAAGGAAAGAGGCACCTTGTTGTGTGTTGGGTAATGGTTGAAGGGAAGTGACCGAGGTCGTGGAGACGGGGAGGGGGGAAGAGGTGTGGGTGATGGAAGAAGAGGTGGTGGAGAGGTGGACTGCTACAACGGACTTGGCACCAACAATCGCGTGCAGCTCCTCGCCAGTGGAAGTGGGGAGGAGAGCAACTGCTGATGGCGCCTTGACCGATGATGGCAAGTCAAAGGTGTGGGCAATGGCCGCAGCCTCTGGACCAAGCACGAGGAGGTTGGACTCCGTCGCGATGATTACACCGTACTCGTCAGACCACATCGCCGTCACTTTGCCCGGCAACGAAATGGTCCTCAGAGCTTCTCCCTTGGAGGGGAGGTAGACGGCCAGGTTGGACTGGTCGCCTTTGATGGACGCGACGAGAAGGACGTCCTCATCGGTCCCAGCCGCCTCGGATCCCGACTTCCTTCGCCTCCGCCTCTTGGTGGATCCAGAGGAGGAGACGGATGACCAGGCAACGGAGACGGCCTTGGCAGCGCCGGGAAGTTCAAACTCGGCAATGACGGAGTCCGCCGCGACGTCCCAAACCTGCACCTTGTCCGCCGCACCGAGAACGGGGAGGGCGAGGGCAAAGTGTGTGCGTGCAGGGTTGAAGCCCGAAACAGCTGAGGAGGGAGCAGGAACACGTTGCCGTGATGGCCCTGCGACAGATGACCGTGCCATTCTAATGTCAGCTATGAATCTCGATTAAAACAAGCTGGGTGGGAGGTTCAGAGAAGTGCCCGGAAAAATGGGTTTCGGGCCTTTTCAGCAATGGTTTTGCTCAGTAGACCGTCGTGATGGGATCATCATTTATAGAAGGAAACTTGGAGGACGAGGCTTACATGTTAAAGACAGATCAATGAGGGGAGGGGAGTAGCGAGGCTGAAGGAGGTGATCTGGTCTGTCAGCGATGCTCGTACAGACGCAAAGGGTAAAGGGATCAGTAGAATAAAACAGCCATGTTTTGTCTGCATAGTCGACTCTCGCAGACGGCAATGAAGACGCCCACGAAAGCAAGCCTCAGGCGGTAATTCCCAAATGGGACATCATGAGAAGAGACAGGATAGACACTCACGGGACAAAGGGACTGATGGGATCCAAGGCCCGAGGCTCGCAGTGAGGCCGTAGAAATTCTGTCTGTCAGCGTTCTGATACTCTCAGAGCTAAAGGGTTGGGGGTTCAGAATAGTGCGTTTAAGTGTCTTCGGCACTTGGCCATAACAGACTCTAGTTTGAAATGATACACAGAGTCATCCGGACAGCGGTGAGAACAAGACGAGCCCAGACAGGGCCATCCAGCACCGCAGCGAAGAGGGGAGTAGACACGTACCTGTGCGAGCAGAGCCGCTGGCTCTTTTGAGGATGGGGGAGGCAGTCCGTCTAGGACGCAAGTGGATGGAGCGATGGGCGATGGGGGATGAGACAGACTGAAAGAGTCACTGCAAGTTTAAGAGCAAGTTGGGAGACGTCGGAAATTCTGGCTGAGGGGGGCGAAAGCAGACGCGGAATTAAATTTGATTATTCTGCCGTACTTTTTCACCTTTGATCCGAGAAAGTTGGTGGCAAGCCGTGGGCGGCATGAGGGGTGAATTCATCACTCCGTGGCAACAACACAAGCATCATACACCATGTCGGCACCCCGCGACGGCAACAAGAAGCGCAAGCGCTCCTCCAAGGCCGCCGAGGCCGCGAACGAGGCGGCGCAGTCTCCCGCGCCCGAGGTTGAGGCCGAGGCTGAGGGCTCCCCGGAGCCCTCCTCGTCCAAGGTCACGCTTGACGGTCCCGCCGCGAACGAGTATGAGCGCGTGCCGTTCAACTCTCTTCCGCTGTCTCGGCAGACGCTGGACGCCGTGCAGCGCATGGGCTTTGAGACCATGACCGAGGTTCAAGCGCGCACGATCCCGCCCCTCCTGGCCGGCAAGGACGTGCTCGGCGCCGCGCGCACTGGTTCCGGCAAGACGATGGCGTTCCTCGTGCCGTCCGTCGAGATGCTGCACACGCTGCGCTTTAAGCCGGCGAACGGGACGGGCGTGGTGATTATCTCGCCGACGCGTGAGCTGGCGCTCCAGATCCTCGGCGTGGTCAAGGACCTCATGGCGGGCCACTCGCAGACGTTCGGCATCGTCATGGGCGGCGCGAACCGCAAGGCCGAGGCCGACAAGCTCGTCAAGGGCGTCAACCTCCTCGTCGCCACTCCTGGGCGTCTGCTCGACCACCTCCAGAACACCAAGGGGTTCGTGTTCAAGAACCTCAAGGCGCTCGTCATCGACGAGGCGGACCGTATCCTCGAGGTCGGTTTCGAGGAGGAGATGAAGCAGATCATCAAAATCCTTCCCAATGGTGAGTCAATATGGGCTGGAGCTTGAACTAACGACAGAAAACCGCCAGTCGATGCTGTTCTCGGCCACGCAGACGACCAAGGTCACGGACCTTGCGCGTATCTCACTCCGCCCCGGGCCGCTGTACATCAACGTCGACCAGCAGAAGGACACGTCGACCGCCGAGTTCCTGGAGCAAGGTTACGTGGTGTGCGACAGCGACCAGCGCTTCCTCCTCCTCTTCACGTTCCTCAAGCGCAACTTGAAGAAGAAGGTGATCGTCTTCTTCTCGAGCTGCAACTCGGTGTCCTACCACGCCGAGCTGCTCAACTACATCGACGTGCCCGTCCTCGACCTGCACGGCAAACAGAAGCAGCAGAAGCGGACGAACACGTTCTTCGAGTTCTGCAACGCGCCCTCGGGCATCCTGCTGTGCACGGATGTGGCCGCGCGCGGCCTCGACATTCCCAAGGTCGACTGGATCATCCAGTTCGACCCGCCCGACGACCCGCGCGACTACATCCACCGCGTGGGCCGCACCGCGCGCGCCGGCAAGGCCGGCAAGTCCCTCCTCTTCCTCTTGCCCAGCGAGCTCGGCTTCCTCCGCTTCCTCAAGGTCGCAAAGGTCCCGCTGAACGAGTACCAGTTCCCGCAGCGCAAGGTCGTCGACGTGCAGCGCCAGCTCGAGAGCCTCATCTCCAAGAACCACTATCTCAACACGTCGGCCCGCGACGGATACCGCTCCTACCTCCAGGCATACGCGTCGTACTCGCTCAAGAAGATCTTCGACGTCAACAAGCTCGACCTCGCAAAGGTCGGCAAGGCGTTCGGCTTCTCCGTGCCTCCCAAGGTCAACATTTCTGTCGGCTCGATCAAGCCTAAGAAGGTGGCCGACTCGGACGACGAGGACGCACCTGTCAAGGCGCACAAGGCCGACGACGGAGACGTCAAGAAGGCTTACTACCGCAACCGGGGCGACAAGGGTGGGCGCAAGCACAAGGGGAGGGCATAGATGTTGGGTCACACTTTGTTTGTATTTAGATGCATCACATTCTGGGTAATGAGTAAATGACGAGGTGCAGATGCTCTAAGGTTGATGCATGATGAACTTCTACCGAGCTGGCGGCGTACCGCTTCTACTTGCTCGCTCCTCCATCCGCTGGCGGACATTGCCCCACAGTCGCCCAGCGCCGTCTCGGATCCCCTCGCCAACCTGCTGCAATCCTCCACCGAGCTGGACGTTGGCCGCGACGTCGGAGCCTTGTGCGCTTCGGAACAGCCCTGATCCGCCAGAACCTCCGACATTCAGCTCATACCCGCCCGCGCGGAGGTTGATGCTGGGCCCCCCAGGGCCGGGAGCAGGGGAGGGGTGGAGGCTCGGTGCGCCTGACGAGAGGGCGATGTTGGGTGGTGGGCCGTAGATGCTGTCAGGCCAGGTCTCAGCAGCAGCCATGACCATATTCAGGAAGCTCGAAGAGTTATGCACGCAACTCCCGCCCAGCAGGACCCGCGTGCCGCCCGGTCCCCCCTCGCTCCCTGCCAATCGTTGGTTCAACAGCGCGATCGAGCGGCTCTCCTCGTAGGTCGTCCCGCCAAGAATGAAGACGATGACGTCCTGTGGCCGCTGGGCCCGTGCCCCCTCGTCGCCCTCCATGAACGGATATGAACGCTCCGTCAGCCGCCCCTTGAAGAGCAAGTCGAGCGTCTCCATGAGGTGTGGCGTGTGCTGGGTGTAAACATTCTCGACACCCTTAAGACCCTTCAGCGCGCTCTTGCCGCGCGAGAACAGGTTGTCATTCATGAACAAGTCGTCCTGCCGCACATCTGCGCCGGCGAAGTTCAGCATGACGTACACGAGGCGCGCCTTGTCCGCGCCCACGCCAGCCGCGATCAGCGCGTCCACGACAGCCGAAATCTGGTTCCCGTGGAACTTCTGGTATCGCAATGCGTACAGGATCGCGACGCGCAGCTTGTTCTGCGCCGGCACCTTTGGAGACGCGATTATCTGCTGCACTGCGCGCACGTCGCTCGCGTGCGATTCCTGCGACGCGAGAGATTGCTCCACCTCCGAGACAGCTAGAAGGTCGTCGCGCTCAATGATGCGCGACAGTTCGCCGACGAGCGTGACGTGCTTCGTCACGTTGCCTCCCAGTCGTCGGAACTCGGGGTACTCCTCGACGAAGCGCTTCATGTCGGCCACCGTCTCGATGCGGCTACTGCTGGAGGCCGCGCCTGCGCCTAACGACGAGGAGCGCGCCGAGTAGTCCGTGACGTACTGCGACACGGCAGCACCAAGATCACCGAAATTCGAAAAGAGGTTCTTCTCGAAGAACGGATCCGACGACGTGGACAGCACGAGGTCGCGCAGCTCGGCGCGCTCTTCGCTGTCGATGTGCACACGGCCATTGTGGATGCCTACAAGCTCATGCACCATCGCCTCGTATGTCCACTGCGAGAGGAGGGGAGTGACGGGGTCATTTCGCCTGTCGAGAATGAGGAGAAGGGGCGCCGGTCCGGCCGTAGACCTAAAGTCGAACAAGTCTCGATACGGTTGATGGCTGATGGCCGCGTGCACGTCGGCGGCGAGCTTGCGCCCGGCCTGCGACATGCGCTCCCACCGAATTACTGGCCGCTTCTTAATGCTCAGCAGCACGGCGACGATCGCACGCGTATGGTTGTCCAGCACAGGCGGTGGTATGTCGTCTGGGGAGGGAAGGTAGATTGGCGGCTGGCGTCAGCGGTGACGTACTGGGAGCGCACGTTGGGTGGCCCATCGCCGCCGTCAGCGAGAGCAGCCTGCGTCAAAGTGAACAATGACGGGTACTGGGCCAAATAGTCGGCGAAGTATTCCTGCCGTCAGCGTGCCCGGCGCGGGGCTCACCTGGACTTCCTTGACGACCTCGAACTCGTCGACCGTCGCCATCTCTTCGATCTGGCTCTTCGTCAACGCGTTCGAGAAGACTGCTGTCAGCTTGAGGCACACGAGGCATCTTACAGAGCCAGTAGGAGCCGTATCGCGGTCGCGCGAGCTCCTGCTTCACAAGCTCGATGCTAGCGTGTGAGGGAGAGAGGAAGGCAATACATGAGAGGTGGCTGAGTGCCTCGCGCGCGTTGCTGGCGTCAGCGCACTCTCGGGGAGACACACTTGTCTATCCTGTCCGTCAGGTAAACCTCGTGCGCGAGGAGCTCAGACTGGGTCGTGACAAGCGACACAATGGGTGTCTGGGGTCAGATGGGACGCGGGGTGGACGCACGGTGTGCGCGTCGAGGAGGAGGACTTTCATCCCGGGCACCTCGGTGATCATCTTGGTCACGTAGGTCTGAACTGCTTTGAGGACGTCCATCTTGCTGAGGAGCGCCGGAGCGCGAGGGGAGTGGTGGATGTTGACGAGCAGGGGGAGATGGAGATAGCTTGCGACACATGCCGCTGCAACGTCACGGACATCAATCTCCACGCCACCGGAGCTGCGCGCCGATGACGGCACTGTTCGATTCTCAATGCGTCCATGCGGCTTTTGTGCCGTTTGGGTGTGAGAGCCAAAGTGTCCAGTGCCGAGTTCTCTCGTTATCTCGGCCAGTGTCTCACCGACCTCGACATCCCCTTCCGAGTCTCATCTGGTACCCAATGCCATACCCTCGCTGGCTTGAACGGCCTGTAGAATTGCGATACATGAAGGTTAGTCACACTTGGGCTGGGCTACAAACGTGTGTTTGGCTGCTGCGATTGCGAACGTGTTCACCTCACTCGTCGCATCACTTCTGCGTCTTCTTCTGCATACGCTCGAAGTTCGCGTCCCAGGCATCGGTGATCGGCGATCTGTCAGACGCGCCGCAGTCCCCAAGCACTCAGCGCGACGTGGAGGAGCCCATGCAGTACTTGGATGCGCATCAATCACACTTCTTTTTAATTTCTTAGAAAAGGGGGAGATCAGTGGAACAGAGCCCGTATATGCGCCTTCTTTCTTATTCATGTAAGATCGACTACAGAAAATTACAAGTCTATAGCCGCTTACAAAACTCCCCAGGCAGACAGTGGCTGGCAAAGCAGCATGTCTCGCCTGCGTTTTCAAAGTTCTATTTAAACAGTGCCCGACTTGGCGATCTTGACCTCAGCCTTGGGCTTGCCCGAGTTCGAGCCGAGCGACTCAATCTTCTTGACAAGGTCCATGCCCTGGGTGACCTCGCCAAAGACGACGTGCTTGCCGTCGAGCCAAGGGGTGACGACGGTGGTGACGAAGAACTGCGAGCCGTTGGTGTTGGGGCCAGCGTTGGCCATGGAGAGGAGTCCGGGGCGGTCGTGCTTGAGCTTGAAGTTCTCGTCGGCGAACTTCTCGCCGTAGATCGACTTGCCGCCGGTGCCGTTGTGACGGGTGAACTGGGGGGAATGTCAGCACCCATTACGCCAAGAAAAGCATAGTCTCAAACTCACGTCACCGCCCTGGAGCATGAAGTCAGGGATGACACGGTGGAAGCCCGAGCCCTCGTAGCCGTAGCCCTTCTCGCCAGTGCAGAGAGCACGGAAGTTGGCGGCGGTCTTGGGGACAACGTCGTCACGGAGCTTGAACTGGATGCGACCAGCCGGCTGGCCGTTGATGGTGATGTCGAAGAAGGTGTCACTAGAGTTGTTAGCGGGATGATCGATCGAGCCGCGAGGGCTGCGCTGGAATCTCAACCGCAACCATCCACGACCGAGATGCAGTCGTAGTACTAGCCCCAGCTGCTCCGTGGAGTCTAGCCCATTTCGGCCAGCAAGCTGGCAATGTGGAGGTCCTAGGGATCTGGGGGAAGGCACGCATTCAAGGCGGTAGGCATCTCGGGTCGACGTGTTGAGCTTTGGTTGCAATTCGCAACGCAGCGATGCAGGGGCAATCCACGGCAGCAGTCGACAAATAACACTCACGCCATGGTCTTGGTAGTCGACATAAAGCGGCGTGCGAAAGACATTGTAATGAAGGAGAGTGAGAGTATGGGGGTTATTAAGAGGAGGGAACGTGTGTTGGGGCAAGTCGAGACCGCAAAGCTAGGTGAGTATAAGCCGCTGGGACAGCGATGGGGAAGGAGGAGGAAGTGGTGGGGAGGGGGCGGTGGGGGGATAGTGGATAGTGAGGAGAGGGGGAGGGTGGGAGGATGGATGAGGACTCACGGGATATGTATTCGCTTCTGTGTTTAAGAGAAGAGAAAGATGGAGAGAAGAGGGGAATGTGCGGAGGGAGGAGGGTCTCTTTAAGAGGACTGGGACGAATGGGACGAATGGGACGAATGGGACTCGAGGAGTGGGGTGGTTGGTGCAAGTGGCAGTGGCAGCCTCCAGCCGTCTTCAAAGGGCAACTCTCCTCGGAACCCTCTCGAAGGCGAGAGCTCTCCTCGTCCTCCTCTCTCAACGCTCATTACACGTCACCGCACCGCTCCCCCCTCCCAAAATGAGCGCGACCTCCACCGCGTCACCCTCCTTGCTGTGTCAAGAACTATTCTCACACCACGTGGATCTTAACGCCGGTTGTGGCACTCAGTGCGGAGACCCCACACTCTCCCTCCTCCTCTCACTCAACCGCCACCCATCACTCGCAGGTACCAGATATCCCGAATGGTCCAACTCTCGGCCTGCACTGTTGCTCGTTGCTCAATCATTCTTCATTCTCATTCACCACTTCGCTTCTTGACATAAGCCGTCTTGGGTGCCCTTTATTATCTGCATTTGTTCAACGTTCAACTCCAATCCCACGCATCCTACACGAGGCGCCTACTCAGCTGCTGAGCCGCTGAGCAGAGGTGAACGGCCTCCAAGCCTATTCACGACCCACCCCTCCATCCCGCTCAAGCAACATGGAGGAGATTGTCCTTCCAGGTACGCCTCTTGGCCTCTTGCACATCCCATCAAGATATCGCTAACCACCCCTCAGACTTCGATGAGGACGACGACTACAGCCTCCCCTCCTTCCCCTCTAGGTCAGCCTTTGGACAAGGCACTGGCTCTCCCGAGTCGGACACCTCCTCCCGCAATGACTTCAACTCCTCTGATCACTCGGGCCTGCGGCCCTCCGGTGGCACCCTTCCCCGCTCAACTCTCCAGAGGAGCGCTCTGTCTCACTCAACTTCATCCTCCTATGCCGATCACGCAGCTGAACCCCCACGACTAGGCAAGTTCTCGAATGGTTCGTCCTCGTCGCTGGGCACCGTGCAGCCAGCGCTCGTGACCCCCGGACAATTGTCATCACCAGGTGCTGCGCTTCTCGCCTCAAGGAAGGGTTCTTTCGCCTCTCTCAAGAATATGCTCAAGCCAAACCAGCAGGGCTCAGTACCAGCTGTGCCACCCGTGCCCGCCATGGACCGGCAGGGTCGCTATCCTGCCCTCCAGAACCCATTCCGCTCGGATGCCGACCTCTCGGCCTCCCTGTCTGGGCGATCGCGCGCCAACACAAAGGCTTCGGTCTCGGCATCCCCGTCCTTCGTCATGCACCATGGTAGCAAGCAAAGCGTGGCGACGCTGCATTCGTCTCAGCGATCATACGGCGGACGATCAACAACATCCCAATCTTCCTCAAACTTCCGGGCCGAAGAGCACCCTGTGCCTGCCATGCCGAATATCCACAGTCGGTCAACCCCTTCTAGGGCGTCTCGAGCAGGACGAGGAGGCAGCGATACGAGCGTGCTTGCCGGTTTTGGACGGGGTGAAGACCCAGTAGCATTTGGAAAAACGCCGGCTGAAGAAGCTCTCAAGATTGTCTACCAGGCGTTTAGAGCGGCGGCTGATGGCAAGATTAAGAAGATCATGGCCAAGCCTGCGGTGAGTGGTGCGCCACAGAGCCAGCTTCTGACTTTAGAACTCCTTCATCGCCTTGACGTCCACTTTGGAAGCCGGCGCCGACGACGCGTTTGACGCATTAATTCTCTCAATTGCCAACTGCACAAGGCGGCATGCTCGGCGTGTGGTCGACCTCCTAGGCCTATGGGTGCGCAACCACATCGAAAGAGCACACTCCGGTGACGTGTACATCTCCCAGTCGATGGGGATGCGTATGGGCGTTGACGACGAGGCTACCGTCCTTGGAGCACGGAGAGTTTCGGCGGCGCGGTATATCTACTACCGGACGCTAATGGAGATTGTGCGCGTAGTTCCACGAGACCAGCTCGGCGACGACGTGGCTCTAAACCTCGAACATTCGGCATTCAGCGTGTTCCGCTCGGAACGGTCAGAGGACACGGTTCACCGGCGAGCGGTGTCAGGCGTGTTGGTTGACTTTCTGAGCGAACTGTCGAAGACTCGCTTCCTCACAGTGAGCGACAAATTTACCCGGGAACTTAGTGCGCTCGCTTCGGCTGGGGTAACAAAGGACACGGACGCCAAGGTTGAGCACATTCTTAAAGGAGCGCGGAAACTCATCCTCAGGGTCAGTGACTAACCAGAGACGAGACAGATGACTGACGCTGGCAGGTGTATCCTGAGAGCGAGCTCGAAATGGCGGCCGAGTTCATCGAGACGCTGTCCGGATTCTTCGCCAATGCTCATGGCGCCGCTCTCAAAATTGCGTACGCTGAAGCGTTTACTCATCTTCTTCACCCAGTCATCGAGACAGCAACAGCCGAGGTTAACCATCCCACTTGGGCAAGAGCAATCGCTGTGGTTCTTCAACGAGCACTATCTATGGCGGCGAAGCCTCGTTACTGGAGTGTCGCCTTTCCTTTGGTCATCGTAGCACTGGCAGTTTCGCCGCGCGAGGTGTTCATGGAACACTGGCAATGGTGCATCGACACCATCCAAGCGAAGACCAAGGTGAGCTGAACTTGGTTGACGTGGCTGACAGGCAGGATAGGAACATGCGGCTTATCGGAATGAACGCCTTTATCCTACTCCTTTGGGTTTACCTCAACCGTATCACTGAGAGCTCGACTTCGAGGCGAAAACGGCTGGAAGGTCTCCTTCAAGCATACTTCCCTCCACATTCCGGCCACCTTTTGCCAGTGGAGATGCCACTTGAGGCATTCGTCTCTGTCCTCCACTACGTTATGGCGCGCCAAACCAATTACGGCCAGGAGCTCATAGCGGACTTCTTGCGGGACAGCGTCCCCAACCGTCATCAAGACGGCTCGCCGCGAGACATTCTGCACCCCGACCGCGCCTACGTTGCGGTGCGAGCTGCGACCTTAACCCTTCGATGTCTCGGCAATGACACGCCGGTCCGGCTACCGTTAAGTGCCGACTTTACTCGCTTCGACTTCCCCAAGTACAAGCCTGCGCCTGACAACTCGCTTGACAATATCCCCGAGGCGCAGGAGTATATTCAGAAATGCGGGCCGCTGTCCTTGAACGTCCTTATGAGCTGTGACCGCATGGTCGGCCATATCCTCATCTCGAGCGACAATGTTAACGTCTCCGTCCATGCATCAAGCGCAGCCTGGGACTCGGTCGGTGACCAGGTAACCAGGAAACACGGCGATGTCTACGTGGGTTACCAAGCCCGACATGAGGCAAACTTCAGACTCCTCGCCGCTCTTCTCGAGCCTCTCCCTGCGCTACTGCCTACAGCTAAGGAGACACGACCACTTGTCGACATCCTCTGTCGCTCCACTTTCTCAGCATGTCCTACAACTTGCGAAGCAGCGGCCGAGACGATGCGTCGCGTGGCTGACGACCCCATCATGTGCGCCACTCTCGTGGCTACATATCGCCACTTCCTTTTCGAAACGGACCATGTCTTCAAGGGCGACTTTGTGGGTACAAGGCTACTCGAGTCGCAACTTGTGCGCGTCGTCAAGTTATGGCTTCAAATCCTGGAGAAACTCGCCGAGCAGCACCGCTCAAGCTCAGACGCAGACCCCATGGACCCTGCGTTTGTCGCGAAGGTCGAGGGATGCGGCCTCTTTCTCCTGTGCTCGACAAGCCTCAACCTTCGCAAGCTTGCCTACGGCGTCTTCTCGGCTGCTCGCGACCTCGGTGGGCTCGAGCGTGGCCCCTCAGCACCTTTCCGCATTAGTCGAGTCATGTTGGACGTCCCGACGAAAACGGCGTCGGTGCTTCAGATGTTTGAGCACGAGCTTGAGCCTGCAGACATTGTGGTGCTGCGTAAGCTGCCGGCCCTTACGCCCGCGGACAAGGCGCGACTGGAGTCGATCAAGGGCCGTAAGCTTATTCAGCTTGTGGCCGAGGGTGACAGCCCCAAAGACAGCGCTCTATGGGCTGCCCTCCTCCCCGTCTTTGTTGGGAAGGTCAACGACCAACTGCCCGATTCCGCCCTTGAGTTGCGCCTGCTGATAGGCGGCCTCGTGCCGAGATTACAGAGCCACGTCAGTCTGGTCGCATCAGCAGCAAGTAAGCCTTTGCGGGCTACACCCAATCGCGCGACTTCCGACCCCGGCCTCCTGGCAGAGCAGTGGCGGCTCTACCTCTCCGTTCTGTGCGGGACGATGAACCCAATGAAGAAAGTTCCACATCACTTAAAGGGTGCCGCCTCTCCCTCAGCGGTCATGACGACCACCGCACTTTTCGCATATCTTGTCCAGATACTCACTTGGGAAGACCGGCGCTTCCAGGACGCGGCGGTGTTTGCCATGGGCTCGATTCGTGCCCCCGCCTTGAAAGCACTTGCTGAGCAACTACTGACATTCGTCCGTCGGCTGGCCGACTCGTACAAATCAACTCCCTCGCGCCAAAGCCGCCCTCTCGGCCACAGCGGCATGTGGACGGCCGCTGCTCGAGTCTTCAGCTTCATTTCACCGCTTCTTCTCGACGGGCGCGCCAACTCCTCTGCCCACCTGGAGATCCTCTCGTCGTTCATAGGCTTCGTCAAGCTCACGCTGACTCTCCTCTCCGACCGGCGCGAAGATTATGACCTGCAAAACTTGCGACGCGAGTTCTGCATTGTCACTGACAAGCTGTCGACGGCCTTAGGCAAACTCGACTCAAGCGACCGCTTCTTGGGAGAGGAGGTGCGCGGAGCTATCTTCAAGTTGTGCGCCGACTGGTGTCTTCTAGGCAGCCGGCCCGACGTGGTCAAGGCCCGCGAGGGCAGCATTCTGCAAGCCGCTGCGGCCGCGTACGGTCCTGCTGGCTCGTCGCAAGAACGCGCGCAGTATCTTGACGACGTGCAGTCGAAGACCAAGCTTCTGTCCATCACATCCGCCGAGGCCATGGCGTCGCTCTGCTCCGGCAAGCTCATCTCAGCAGCCGACGCGACTCCTGCAGGCCAAGCCTCCGATCACATCGTCGAACCATTGACGGTGTTGCGGTGGATTCGCGGCCTATTCCAGCTGACTCCAACCAACTACCACGACACCGCCCGCAAGGCGCTCATGGCACTCATGAAGTACAACTGGGATGTCGAGCGGCTTGCCGACGAGGTGCTCCACCAATCCTTCGGCGAAGGGGAGCACTTCGCTCTCGAGGCGTCGTTCTTTGGCGTTGTCGCAGACATGGTCTGCGAAGGGACCATTGTCCTTCCGCCCGCTCAGCTGGCGTGTCTGTCGCTCTCCAAACTCGGCCACCCTGTCTCAGAGGTTCGGCAACGTGCCTTCCAGCTGGCAGAGTGGCTGTTTGATGATCCTGAGGATCACGCCTCGCTTTCGACTGTGCTCCCGTCCGTTGGTAGCGCGGCTCCCAACGTCTACCGCCAAGCACAGCTGGAGATGGCGACCCGCCTGGCCGCCATGTTCCCCGACCTTGCGATGCCCTTCCTCGAGGAATGCACCATCCGGCTTACCCAATTGGAGGCGCCTCGCCGACGGGCGACGCTGTTGATCCTGCCAGCATTCCTGAAGGTCTTGGTTTTGGGCTCGGACAGCAAGGCTGAGCCCAACGAGGTCGCCCAGGAGCACCAAGCCCTCTCCAACCTGGTGTATCTTGCTGTCCGTTTCTCAGATGACCACCTCGGAGACATTCGCGAGATTCTTCTCAGCTTCGCCGGCGGTCCGGGTCGCTCGCGCAACACCATGGCGCTCGTAAAGTTCTTGTTCGAGCAAGGTGCCAAACGAGCCAACCCTGACTTTATGGTGCACGCACAGCAGATCATGGCTTGCCTTGCTGATTCCCCGGCTGGGGACAGCATATTCGAGGAGATTTGTCAGTTTGTTCATCCCTCGGACATGGCGACAAGTGCCCAAGCCGACGTTCCACCAAGCCCGAGTGGCAGTACATTGGCCAATCTCGATGCTCTATTCGCGAGCACCTTGCGCACCAAGCCGTTATCGCAGGGACAAATGGCTCTGCTGCTTGCAGGAGAGCTGCTCCCTTCCCGTCTCGGCCACCCACTTCTCGTGAGCCGCCTGCCAGCTATGCTTCATGTCGCCTTTATTCACTGCGACGACCCCAACGCAACGATGCGTGAGGGCGCCCAGCGTGTGCTCTTCCAGGTTCTGCGGACGTGGATCAGCTCGCTGTCGAGATCCCATGTGCTCGAGCCTGCGGAGAGGGCGTCTGCATGGCAGGCCGCTGAGCTCAAGACAACAGCACTTGCCCGCCAAAGCCAAGACCTATTCTGGAAGGCAGACGACACTGGAAGCATGGACACATTCTCATATGCGCCGTCCCGCATGTCGACCCTTGTGGCCAAGGTGCTTGGTATACTTCAACAGGCACATCCACAGCTGCGCCAGCAGTGGGGATGTCTGGCCCTTGACTGGGCAACGTCGTGTACCGTTCGCCACCTAGCTTGCCGGTCGTTCCAAGTCTTCCGCATCCTTACTCCGGACATCAACGCACGCATGATGTCAGACATGCTCGCCAGGCTGTCTTCGACCATCGGAAGTCCTGCACCCGAGATTCAAACGTTTAACAACGAAGTATTGCGCACATTGGCTTGCATCGTGCAGTCGCTGTCGGCCGAGGATATGCGTAACTACCCGCAGATCTTCTGGTGCTTGACAGCGTGTCTAGGAACGCCATACGAGCCCGAATTCAACGAAGTCATTGAGCTCTTCTCGCACGTGTTGGACAAGACAAACTTGGCTGATCCTGCCGTTGTCTCGCACCTCGTTTCCTTCCGCCCTGCAGACTGGGTCGGTCCGCCGCCTCATCTACAGGCCCTGCTTCTGATCGGTCTGCGCTCCTCCAAGACGGATATGATGACCTTTGACCTTATACGTCGCCTCACGTCGGTTCCGGACGCGGAGCTCATCGACGAACCTGAGGTACGGCTGTTGCATGGGTTCGTGGCTGCGCTCCCATGGATGTTGCACTCGACTGACCTCGGCGAGCCTAACGAGGAGCTGGCAGGAATGGCATCCGACCTTGCCGCCATTGCCGAGGAACAGGGCAAGGCAGGCTTTGCGCGCCTTCTCACTTCCTTCGCCCACAACCGCTTCCGTTCCAAGGACGACTTCATCCGCCAGGCTGCCAAACTGCTTCTAGAGTACATTCACAGCCACGCGCTCGAGATTGTCACCCACCTCCTTGGCTTTGTTCTCAACCAGAACGACTGGATGAGGGACAAGGCGCTGCAGATGCTGGCGCTTGTGCTCGCCAACTCGGAAGTGGTCCCGCTTCTGGCCCCGTTCAACCGCGAGTTGGTGCGCCCTCTTCTGCGCCTCGTCTCCACCAAGCACGCCTCTCTTGCTCTCGATGTCCTGGACCTCCCACTCTTCACCGGCGGCGAGGTCTCCGAGCCGTGCGACGCTCTGTTCGGCCGTATTGAAACCTCAGGCTGGAGTGTGCCCAATGCCAAGGAGCGTTCCGAGGTGACACGGAGCAATGTGCTTGCCGTCTTCAACACGGTATCTGTCGAATCGCGCGCGGCGTCGGCACATTTCTCTGTCCTTCAGTTCTCCGATCTCGCGACTGGCCCGAACCACGCTCCCGGTTGGGGCGCGTCGCAGCAGTCGTTTGAAATGCCGTCCCCGCCCATGTCAGTGCCGGACAACGCGTCAATGGGCGACCTCGTCGGTGCACTGCACTCGCTCAATCAGTTCTTTGACGACGGCCTCGACTCGACGCCAAATGGCATCACAACGTCGCCCCTGGCGCGCCGCGCTGGCCGCCATCTGGGCCGCGTTAGCTCGACCGACTCCCTGCCCTTCAGCATGGGTGGTGTGCGTGCCGTCCTGGCACGCGGCGCAATGGTGCGGTCTGGAAGCACGAACGCGGTCGACGACAGCCAACTAGGCTATTCGCTTGACCAGTCTCTCCTGAAGAGCACTGACTCGTTCGCGTCCTCGACTGACGCCACTGCCGCGCGCCCCGGCTCAGCGGCCAGTGGGCAGTCTGGCCGCCGCTCGCCAGCTCGCCAACAGCCACAGCCTGGCGACGTGATCACATTCGGCCCCAGCGGCGCGACATTTCAGGGTGCCAATGGGCGTAGCCGCAATCTATACGTGCACAATGCGCACCAGCCGAGTTTCTCGTCCGAGAGTGAGTTTGGGGCGATCAGCGACAACCACTTCTCCCTCGAGGACGCCGACGACATGCTGGCGCAGCCGGCACGACCGTGGCAGGATGGCGACCGCAGTCGCACGCCGTCGCCGCGTGACAATGCCAACGTGTAAAAACTTGACTAGCAGACAACGACTAGCTTGACTCATAGTAACCCACTCCCTTCCTCTTCTCACAACCTCTACCCCGCCTCCCTGCCACCCTCCACATCATGTCCTCTATCCCACAGCATATAGTCTCTCATCTTGGGCCTCACAGTGTTCGTATCCGATGTATCCTGCATGCAACAAACAACGCCTTCGCCGTGGCGATCGACGACTTTACTCTACGGTTGCGCTAACATTAAGCCGTGGCGCGCTTTGCGTCCTCGGCGGCGACATCCAATGGCTCGCCCTTGGTGAATGCCTTTGAGCACTGTGCCATGGTGACAGATGCGCGCGAGATGGGGTCGGTGCGGTAGAAGTCGGTGATGGGCTTTGCGAGGGTGGCGCTGGACGGGGAGGGGGCGGATGCGTCGGCGAGCGCGGCGAGGCCGGCACGCAGCACGTCGTCCGAGGGCGCCTCGACCTCGTCGTAGCGCACGAGGGTGGGCGAGACGTCCCACATACGGTCGCGGAGGGTGAGGACGTCGTCGTACGGCAGCGGGCTGCCAAGGACCTCTGAGAGGGCGCGGATGATCTTCCAGTCCTCGCGCGCGGCGCCGGGCGGGGGCACGGCGGTGCGGCCCATCTGCGCGCGGCCCTCGGTGTTGACCCACGTCGTCGCCTTTTCCGTGTACGCCGCGCCGGGGAGACAGACGTCGGCGTACTGGGCGCCCACGTCGCCGTGGTGGCCCTGGTACACGACGAAGGCGTTCTCGGGGATCGAGGCGCCGGCGACGTCGTCTGCGTTCAGGAGGTACACGAACTTGGGGGTGGCCTTGGCGGCGGAGGGGGAGGGGGTGAAGCCCGCGTCGAGGGCGGCGGCGCGCGACGCCGCGCGCTGCAGCACCGAGAAGCCGTTCCACTCGGGCGTGATGAACTTGCCCTCGTTCGCGAGCACGTGCTTCGCCGCGGCCTTGAGGAGCGCCGCACCGTCCTTGCCCTCGACGGCTGCCGAGCCGATCACGATCAGAGGCTTCTTGGCCTCCTTCCACAGCTTGCCGAACTCGGACTCGGAGCCGTTCTCGAGGAACTTGGCCGCGTCCGCTGCGCTCTTGCCCAGGCTCTCGTAGCCGAACGTGGAGTCAAAGTCCTCGCCGATGACGGCGAAGTTGTGGCGGCGCTGGAGCCACGATGCGCGGAACCGAGTGTTGATGATGGCGGCCTCGTGGCGGGGGTTGGTGCCGATCAGGAGAACGGCGTCAGCGTCCGCGACGTTGGCAATGCCGGTGTTAAAGAGGTAGTTGGAGCGGATGGCCTCGCCGGTGACGGGAACGTCCGAGCCGGAAGCGGTGTCGACGGTGGTGTTCTCCGAGCCGAGGCGGTTGATCAGGTCCTTGAGGGCCACGAGCGACTCGGTGTCGGCGAGCGCACCAGCGACAGCCTTAATCTCGTCACCCTTGGCGCCGGTCTTCTCGAGGCCCATGCGGATCGTCTCGAGCGCGTGCTCCCAGGTGGCGGGGACGAAGCGGTCGCCTTCACGAACAAGAGGGGTGGTGAGGCGCTGGTAACGCAGGCCGTCGTATGCGTAGCGGGTCTTGTCGTTGATCCACTCCTCGTTGACGTCGTCGTTGATCTTGGGCTGGATACGCATGACCTGGACACCGCGCGAGTCGACGCGGATGTTGGAACCCACAGCGTCAAGCACGTCGATGCTCTCCGTCTTCTTCAGCTCCCATGGGCGGGCCTGGAACTCGTACGGCTTGCTGGTGAGCGCACCGACGGGGCACAGGTCGATAATGTTGCCCGACATCTCCGAGTTGAGCGTCTTCTCAATGTACATGCCGATCTGGAGGTCGTTTCCACGTCCCGAGGTGCCGAGGTCCTCGACACCGGCGACGTCGTTGGCGAAACGCACGCAACGCGTGCACTGAATGCAGCGGTTCATGCTCGTCTTGACGATGGGCCCAAAGTTCTTGTTCTCGACGGCACGCTTGCCGGCGATCTCGTGGAAGCGGGTCCGGTCCGAGCCGTAGCGCATGCTCTGGTCCTGCAGGTCACACTCGCCGCCCTGGTCGCAGATGGGGCAGTCGAGGGGGTGGTTGGACAGGAGGAACTCCATGACACCCTCGCGCGCCTTGTGCACGCGCTCCGTGTTCGTGAACACCTTCTGGCCGGGCATGGCGGGCTGGGCACACGACGCAATCGGTTTGGGTGCCCGCTCGACGTCGACGAGACACATGCGGCAGTTGCCCGCAATCGCCAGGCGGTCGTGGTAGCAGAAACGGGGGACGTTGGCGCCGGCTGCCTCGCACGCCTGGATGAGCGCCGAGCCCGCAGGCACGGTCACCTCCTTGCCATCGACGGTGAGGGTGATGTCGGGCGCCTGGCGCCGGGCAGTGGAGGACGAGAAGAGGCGGCCTGGAGTTAGTGTTGCGACGGG